GCCACCAAATGGTTTGTTCAGATTGCAACAATCATTCAATCAATGTCTTACTGTGTCCAAAGCTATACCAAACACCATGCTGAAATCATCAATAGTAATCAATTTCAAGACTTTTCATTGCTGACAATACAGTTTGAATTCATATGTTTCAATTTAAAACATTTAGTTTCAACCATAAGCTGAAAAAATGGTTATTGTCATTCCATTGTTGTTAAATGCTGAAATTCCTATAGGAGTCAAGATCACCACAGCTAAGTTATTGGAGTCATTATCAAGTTACATATGATTGAAGGACAGTTGATCAAGCAACTCATGTCTGTTCCTGCAACTTCACTGATGATCATCTTTATTGGGCCAATGTTTTTTTTATTTTTGATATGGCTGGTGACTATATCAAAAAATTATCACTGATCTTTGGCTCATTAACTTTTTATTCAAGCTGATCTTCATTAATTGTGGTTTTTACTGCTGGATCAACATTATTATTATTATTACCAACTATTTCCACATTCTCAGCTGCTTCATTGGCTTGCTCAATAGCTTTTTCTTTGTACATTTTTTAAAAGTGCTTCAATGTACTTCTGAGTTTTGTATTTTTCCAGCATTATTGAGAAAAAACTATACATTGTTCTTGGAAGATTTGCAATACAAAGCAAATTCACTGAGCAGTTCTTTCCTTCAAGGTTTGAATATCATTAATAGTGAGTGGTGTTTTTTTTTTCTTCTGTTTGAAAGGTCGTTATTTCTCCTTAAGAGAATGTATAAACTTTCTCCATTCTTCTAAAGTATTATGATGAATATCTATTTATTCGATTACACGACTATATTAAGTTGTAATACTTCTAACACAAAACAAAGTGTGACATTGAAATACTTTTCACAGTAATCAAATAAACAGTATAAAGTAACTCACGGCTTTTAAGAGCACATGGTAAACTTTTGCTTGCAGAAATATCCATAGCCATTTTGATTAATATAGTATTCTTTTGAATGAGGCTCAAGCTTGGATAATTCTTACCAGCTGGCAATTTCACAGCTGGCAGATCTTTTAATTCATTTGCACTTTTTAGATAATAATTGCCAATCAAGTTGTTGAAAATTGCAGTCAAACTTTTGTTTCTTTTAGTGTTCTTTTGGCTCATTTATCTTTTTGAAATTCATTTTGCAAATATTTGTAAGGCATTATCTATCTTTGGCAATATAGGAAATGCAAATGGATTGCCATTTGCCTTTCTTATATTGATGAAGATAACATGGATTGAGTAACTGTAGAACAGAAAACCCAATATCTTATGAATGGCTTTGCAGCTGCCAATTTCTCTCAACATTAGGTACTTTAAGACAGTTTAGCACTTGGCAATAATTCTTCCTTTTGTCAATAACTTGCCAGATTTCTTCAGTTCTATTCTTTTCTGCCTTGGTAATGTAGCTTTTAATATGTTGGTTCAAAACAAGGCCCTTCACATCAACATATTGTTTATCTGTCTTGGTGCTGAGGTAAATAAACTGTAACAGTCATTCATGCAAGTTTCATGATGTTTTGTCATTGTGTCTTTAAGTCATTTGACTTTGTAATATGCTTTCCACTTCTAGTTTTAAGGCAATATTCTAGAACATTGGTGCCCAAACTACAGCCACCAAGCCAAATCTGGCTCAAGGTATGTGTTAATTTGTCCAGCAAACATATTTGGCACTTCACTTATAAATGGTAGAAATAGGTCTTTTATGTTATGTCTATAGTATTCCTTGCAGTAAATAGGAGGGTACATCTCTCCTATTTAAATATCTGAATAACTGTTTACTTTATAAATTATATTTTAAATAATTTACCACCTCAGCTTTTAACCATCTTAATTTGTTTATTAATCAAATGAAATAACAAAAGCTTAATACGATGGTTATTTGGACCTCTGTCTACTGCACGAAAATCTTATATAAAGATTATTTATATTTTGTTTGATGAATAGTGAAATTAATTTAATTAATATAAATTTGCAGTTTAATAAGTGTTTTGTGTGTTATATAACTTTTTATCATATAAAATTTCCTGTTAAGTAAAATTTGTATTAATTTTTTATTGTTTATCAAATATAAAGAATTTTTTTTCCAACAGCAAATGTTTTTAACTTCTTATTAGACTATTAAACTTTAAAATTCAATTGCCGGCATATTTGAATACGAATAAAGAAAATTCGGTCGCACTCCTGTTTTATACGTAAACAAACTTAATGCCAATTGATCGACTACTTGGTCGACATTCGACTGTTATAATTGCATGTACTGTACAAACTAAGTTAGTCATTTAACAATAAATATTGAAGATAGGAAAACTGAATTAAATCTTAAGTAAATGAGAAGCAACATGTTTAATTAGCTTTAGAATATTGTTTTATTGTAAAAGTTTGGAATAGTTTGGATCCAAATGTATATTTAAGAGGATCAACTTTTACATTAAATGAACAACAATTATTAAAGAGAAGCCACTCTACAGTATACCGTAAATCTGTATTAGTGGGAGAAGCCATTCTATTGTAAATATATTTGTGCTTACAGTAGAATGGCTTCACTGGATATGCAAATTTAAATTCTCTCTTAACCCTCATTTTTTTTTAAAGCATTCATTTATAAAAAGATTGTGTTTTCTCTTTTATTTTTTAACAATGGATATACCTACGTTAGTGCTGCAAATGATACATTTACATATTTAAATTTAGAATGCTAATTTTTAGGAAAATATTATCTTTGCATGCTATTTAATCAGTAAAACTCTTGTATGTCTAATGTTTTAAAATTTGTTTCACACTCTTTTATACAAAAAATTATTTGATTATTTAGTCAGAAATATTATAAACTGTAGAAAGAATGTTAAAACAATTACATTTTAATTAAAAGCAAGACAAGATTTTATAATAAACTCTCATTATTTAGGCAAATTGTTGTTGGGAATTTCTAATTAAAATTAGCCAATGAGTGAAATGTTTGCACTAATAATTATGTTGCTTTATCTGCGCTAGAAATGAAAAGAAATACGAAATTAATTACTGTAATATATTGCATAAATACATATTAAAGAATTGGCCTGCAGGCAGAGATGGACGTAACTTTCTGGGGGTCACAGGATGGAGATTTTTTCGGGCCCATTTTTTTAAATTATTTATTTTTATTTCTTGTAGCGTGTTTCTAAACACAGTATGCAGTTTTAGCCGAACGGTAGTGACTTTCTCCTCTTTAATCTTGTTTTAAAAAATTTCCGAAAAGCCATGGTAAAACAGATTGCAACGAGATGTGTTTTACGAAAATCTTATAAATTTGTTCATTTATATAGGTAACGTGCTGGCTAGTGGCCCCGTTACGAGTAATTTTTAAATTTAAGGTCGATTGTCTTTGGGTATTAGCGCTGTCTCCAGCAGTTGGCGTTAAAAAAGATGGTAGCTCCTCACCAACGGCTGTCCATGTTCAAGTAAAAAAAAACGAACTTTATGGGAGACAGGAGAGAAAAACAGCCTATTTTAACAGTAAATACACGAGGGATATTTCCAATATTAAACGTTAAAATGGAATAGGACAGTCGGATAATAATTATTCCGTACACAAAAGTTCCATTCTGCTACAGTAATACCCGAGAGTTACGTAAGAAATGCGGACCGTAGACCTTCGCGTAAGTCGAATTTGTAAATTGCCTAAGTGTCACTACTTAATTAATAACTCGATACTGTATTTATTATTTATTTTTTCTTTTTGTATAAAAGAATTGTTTACGAGAAAGAGTGGCCTGCATGCTTGCGTACGTGTTTACAATTAGACCGTAAAGTAAAGGATTAGCAGAACAATGAAGAAATAAATCGGTACAATGCAAAAGAAAGAAAGAAAGAGAGGGTGAATGAATGTTTGAAATAGAATAATTCTTTGTAAAATTACGTGTTCTTATAATCAGATTTTTTTTCCAATTTTTGAGATATACATTTTATGTAACTTGGGGTATTACTGTACTGACAAATATTGTAATTTTACTCCAATATCCGGAAGAGGGAAATTTGGGTCATGTTTTGCCGGTCGGGTTAATCGGAGTCCGTAAAGTCGAGAGTTTAACAGTACAGTATATGGATTGGGTATATCCCCGCAGAAAAATCATTCTAAAAAGTATAAATACGATTCAATTCGAATTAACCGCGATTAATTAGTAGTAGATGGGCGTAATGTTTGCCTTCGGACACAATCAAGTTCCGTGGACTTCCGTAAAATTGGTCAGCAATACGTTATCTGAATGCTTATAAAATTCCTTTCGTTGCCTCTTGAATAAGCTTCCGAAGAATCCGTAAGTTCTCCGTTGTTTTGTTTGTTTTAGTTATGGCAACGCAACACTTGGCGATCTGCCTACGGGGGATGCCTTCCGGGAGGTCTTTTTAAGGGAAACTGGCCCCTATTTAGGCGTTACAGACGTGGAGAAAACCCGGAAAACTCCATGTGGCCAGCCCGTTCGAGCGAGGCGCGAACCCACGACCGAACTCCCAGTGTACAGGGTACGAAGACCGCTTGGCCACTGGTGGGCATCTCCGTTGCAAGACGAGAACTTTGCAATACGGGGACACCTAAATACAGTAGGGAGATTTAGTCGGGGTTGTGCGGTGACCTTTCGATACCTCCCAGCATTTTCTGGTGCATCCGGAGCCATCAATTTGACACTCGTTCGAGGTGAACAAACTCTTCAAAAGCGCCAACTATCCCTCCATCAAATTGCAAAACACAAGTTTTTCTAACGAACTGTTCAAAAACTAAAGTATTTTCTCGCCGGATATGCGTATGGGTCCACCCCGTATATCGTGTTCCGTATAAGTTATGCATACCGATAAGAAATTCTTTTAGTTTAATCTTTTCAAATGTTTAGCGTGTTTATTGCTAAGAAATTAAAATAGAATGCTGTTAAAATTAATAAATTTCATCAATTGACGTATGAACTTAATCGACAGACAATGATATTTTTCTATTTAATTATATTTTAGATAAACCACCGAATTGGAACGTTTTCCATACAAATTGGGGCGAAGGATGTAAAGACTGTCTGAGTTTTTCCGAAGAAGACCTCTGCTCCAGGCTGGTTTCCGATCATAACTATTACGCAATATGCAAGGGTATTTTAACACCTGATTCTTATTATTCTCCCCGAGGTTTTTTACACGATATTCCCCCCGACGTGGACAGAACTACGAATTTATCCTATTTGTTATCGCAATGTTCGATGCCCGAAGTCGAAGGAGGTCGCTTCGAAGTGGTTCCAAAGTTATTGCAGACCATGCAGTCGCTCTTGTAATATACGCTAACGATCTGTGATATCGTCTACCAGTGTTTAAATATCACTTTAAAACTTCTTCGGTAAAAAAAAAAAAATCATTTGTACACAATATATACCTTAATTTTTAAATATTTAAATAAAATGTCCCCGACGATAATTACTCGTTTGTAGATTATTTCGTGTAATTACTTCTCGTGATAAAAATGAGAAATCAGAGTGCGTTGCGGCTGTTATACGTTATTTAAGTGAAATGACTTTAATTAAAAGTAGGGAATATAACCGGACGAAGAAAGTTTGCAGACACTTTCACGTTGTGAGTCATATTTGTTTGCGGTATGGTCCTCTTTACTGCTCTGTGTACGAGTGGTTAAGGGTGCGTTTGGAAACCTATTACTAATAATTGCTGGTAATTACCGGAGCGATTAGAAAGTGTAACCCGAATAACCAATCGCGTTTGAAAGTCGCGGTTATGATATCACCGATTGTTACCGATGTAACCACTGTGTTAAAGCGATTACGGCGGTTCTATTGAATTACTAGATGGACACATCATATCGTGTGACGAATGTGGCCATGATTTTAAAAATGAAGAAATACAACAAATTTTGTTTCCGTGGCACAAAGCGACCAAAATCAGAAAGCCACGTCGTCCCAAATTTTAGATTGGGCAAGATGGCATGGTCAATAGCCAGCAAATGCTACGAAATTATTGATTTCATAGTTTGAACTAAACGAAGATAATTTTTTCTTCGATACTTGTCCAAAAAATTCTACAAGTTAATTTTCATCTTTTGATGAACTTGTCGAATCTTCGTTGTCATATGATTCTGAATCGATATTCGAGAGCAATGACAATTAATATCATCTTTCCACCATGTTGAACACAAAATAACTAGTGTTTTTAAACGAATTACTAACAAGTCGTCATAAAATACTAATTCAGCTCAATGCTCTACGACTCTATGCTAATAACGTTTCAAACGAAAGAAAGAGTTAACATTGTAACATAATCGTCCTCCGGCGATATCGATGTTTCTAAATTCACTCGAATGTATAAATTGTAGATTAAAGGGTGAAATGACTCAAATAATTGTCCACCAGAAGCACTCAGAAAAATATTTCGCATAAGGTGTAACTTCGAATTTTGCAATGAACTCTTACGTGTCCTGCCAGTGTTTGAATCGTCCATTACAAAATTGACGAAGCGTTTTAGTATGAATTTCTTGGTGCGTTTTTGAATATACTCCAAATATTTTGAAGCAATTTACTTAATTAACAAATTCCCATACTTCTGTTACGTAGAATTGTAAAACTAAAATTAAAACAAATTAGAAATTTACACAGTTTCTTGTTAAATGTAAAATCAAAGTTTCGTGGAAAACGAGAAGCTTTCCTTTGTAAAAGTTACTTTACAAAATGACGATTAAATGAGTTTTAAATGAATTGATATTAAAGTGTGTATCCGAACGATCAAATTGACATATTTCGAGAAGAATATTAACAGAATTTTTTAAAAATAAAACTAACGTTGGTAACAATTTATTTGGCGAGGAATTTTTCGGGGCGTGGTCCGTTCGGATATGTCGGGTTCCATCTCTCACCACCTGTTCGCCCCATTGTGGGCCTGGCTAAAGCCATAATGGGCCTGCTTTAAGAGGCCCTTATGCCTTTATTTGGCCCGTCCGGATTCGATCCCGGGTCCCCCCGGAGCGGTAGGCTGCCACCTTGACCGCTCAGCGATCTGGCCAACTTTACAGTAGTAGTACACCTTGACTGCCGAAAGGTCAAGGTGGCAGCCTACTGCTCCGAGAGACCAGGGTCGAAAAATCTCCCAGGAATTATTTGGAGGTGGTCCGTACGGATATGTTGGGCCCAGTTTCTCACCACCCGCCCGCCCCATCGTGGGCCTGGCCGAACCCATAATGGGCTTGCTAAAAAAAAAGAGGGCCTTTTAGTGACCACAGGACGGAGAGTTAAGAAAAAGTAGGGTAACTTACTTGCCGGCATTTAAGACCAAGCTTTTTTCGGGATCATGTTTTAAAAACAAATTACATTCTTGAAACGATTTTTTTCTGCAAAACCATTACGTGTGAAGGAAAAATATACGATTACAGTACATTAACTGTTTAATCTTTATATCTCTATAAATCATCTTTTGAAATCTCTTTTGTATTTGTTTTTTTCAAACAATATCAATCAATCAATCAAAATATTTTATTAGTAATAAGGCCGTTAGCCAGTTACAAGGGATGTTTTTTTTTTGTACAATCAATTTTTTTATTATAACCAATAACTTCTCATTCAACATCAACTAGTTAACCCAAAATTCCTCCATCTTATATCTAGATACATGTTCTTAATTAGTACAACTTGTACTAACAATTATATATATAATTCATTTACACTAAAATTATTAACTATTTCAATTCTATATGAACATAAATTTCTGAGCATAGTTATATAGTCTATAAATTATATCTATTGATGCTCTATTAAATACTTCGTACATTGCCTTTTCATTATTACATTTAAGTAAACATTGCAATTCTAGCTTCTGTGCTAATTTCTTAGCATCTTTACAATCACAAAACAGGTGAAATTTTGAAATTATTTCTTGACATCTTGGACACATAGTCCCAGTAAATTCAATAATTTTATTATTAACTAGCATTAATTCTTTATTTAATCTAAGTTGCACAAAAAATCTTTTAACATTAAACGCCAGATTTGTTAACATATAATTGTTATTGAATGGATACTCCAGAATTATTTTATACCAATCTGGTTTCTTCCTATTATTTAAATCCTCAACATCCTGAGACAAAGTAGTTTCTAAAACATTTTGTATTAATTGGTGATAATGATCATTTAACTCTGGTCGATCCAGGAATATATTCACAGAATAACCAAACTGATTCAGTATTTTTGATAATTGGGACACCCAATTTATATCATTCTTTTTCACCAATGACTTCTCGTATAATTGATATAGCAATATCGTTGATAAATTCCCAGTATCTCTTAATTTAAACATAAATTTCATATACAGTATATCTTCATTAATGAAATACACAACTTATATCTGCTCAGTTCTAATCTGATTGCACTACCAGGTACAGTACATTATATTCCAAAAAGAAAATTCTGCGTATAAACTTGTTTTGGATTATCTCCACTTTTTGCCAGTGTTCAAGACTCCAAATCTTAGTATCGCTTGTGATCACACATTTTTCCAAACTTGCGTTCACACATATTACGTATAAACATCAACAACCATTGCCGTTATATAATAAACACGCCAAATGATGTGCCAAATTCTTGGGTTACGTAAAGGCTATAATTAAATATTAAAAATGAATTAATTCGATTAAAAGTAGGCAGTTATTCTGTCATCTCGTATTAAATTAAATAATTATAAATAATTAATTTTTAATTCAGACATTTCTAATATTTAATTTGGAATTGGTCATTAAATTTAATACGAGATGGCAGCATAACTGCCTACTTCTAGTCGAATTAATTAATTTCTAATACAGTATTTAATTATAGCCTTTACATAGTCCAAAAATTTGGCATATCGTTTGCCATGTTTATCAGACATATTATCTGTGATTTTTTTTTGTTTTCTGCAAATCGAATTCGCATTCCAGGTTGGTTCATTCTGCGCTAGAAGAAAAATGAAAATGATTCACGCTCCATAACAATGTATAATGTATAATTTTCTTTTAATAAATATTACACATAAAATATTTCAGTATTTTTTCAGGATGGAACGCATTATCGTATTTTACATTAATTTATATGAGAAAAATTGTTTCGCTTAACGAGTGTTTTGCATTACGAGTAAGATTCTGAAACGAATNTCTAAAATAGTACAGTAGAAGCCGTTCTTCCGGTTAAGCCTTAATCCTCTCCGTCTCCCCCCGCGGGGAAATTTCGAAAAATCCTTTCTTAGTGTGCGTTTTCAGGACGTGCCCTAACTATGTACCAAATTTCACCTCTTTAGGTTCAGCGGTTTGCTCTAAGGCGCTAGATTACCCAGGTATGCTCATACGCTTCCGTCACGTGTGCAGCCATATTGGTCCTTTTGACGTCATATTCCAAGATTTTTAAATTTAGCTGTATTTTATAATTAGTTGTACTAAATTTTGGCAAAGTTTATCATTTCGACCTTGCAAAATCTTAAGATACAGTTAAATTTATGATTATTTTCGTGTCTCTTCTATTGAACTTCTACGAGAGTCGTCAGCTTTCTAAGGACCAACATGGCGGATGAGCATATCTGGGTTATCTAGCGCCTTAGTTTGCTCTGGGCGATGATGAATCAATCAGTGACTCAGTCAGTCAGTCATTCATTCATTCAGTCAGTCAGTCAGGACAAGTAATTTTATATACAGTAGACCCCTATAACACGGTAGATATGTTCCGTCTTTTATGAATTTCATGTTGTACGAGTCCTTAAATACATGAGCCAATCACAGCCCGGCACGTATGCAGTTTAGAGACTACGGCTGTTTGAAAAGTTTTCTTCAATAAAATTAATCGATTCTAGATTAATTCGACTCAACATTTCAAAAACACGTACAATTTTTTGGGAATAATCCATATAAACTATGCTATAAACAAAAAATTGTAGGATTACTTACTGAGTGTGTACCGTTCGACGACTCCATTATTTAAGCTTGTTTTCGTCGTGGAGCTTTTCATCGAATGGCGCTCGCGTGCTTTCTGATAAATTATTTTTTTTTTTTGCGAAAAATTCGCTGAACTTTGGAGACATCATTAATATAAATATAATTTAACGGTTTGTGCAATAACCGCTATTGGTCTAGATTCGACCAATCCTGTCGCGACACGAGTCGGCGATGACGTTTTACCGAATTATACGAGTTTTTTTAGCATGTTTATACGAATACTGTCGCAATTTTTTCGCCGTGATATAGGAATCCGTATTATATGAACCTGTTTTATAGGGGAGTCTACTGTATTTAGATGGTAACAGTGAATCACTTATAACAGCAACAACAGAAGAGGGCCAGAACTCAGGAGAGGATAACCAACCAACGGGTAAAGAAAACTACAGCAGTAACGAGGAACACTTTTAGTGTCTCAAAATCCTCTACCAAGTTTAACAATTAATGTATTTGTTTATACCAATTGTTTATAAGGCTTCCATTCACACTCAATGTTTTTTTTTTTAATTTTGTTTCTTTGTTTAATAATATACTTGTAATTGTTGTTTTTAAAATTAACGCAATGCGGGTGCTCATGGGCCCTCCCCCTTCCTTCCTTTCATTCTTTTATTTCCCTATCCTCCTTTCTTTACCATTTCATTCTACACTCTATCTCTTCTTCTTAGTGGGTTAGTTAGCCTTTTTCCTTAGTTAGGGCAAAACCAGCCGTTAAACGACAGACAGCCCTCTAATTCCTTTATTAAAAGTAAAGCTCTTTGCTTGTTGTTTGATAAAAGTAATTTACAACACAGAACTCACCACGAGGAGGTGGCTCATATAGAGTTCCGCTCCCACCCAATCTTATTAATTAAAATTAAAATAATTCAAGTACGTGAACACCATACAGTTTCCAGGAGATTTGCTCTCGAATCTTTGACAGTAGTCAAGAACAAATTTGAACTGTTATCATGATGCTAGTAGATTCTATGAAAATTTTCTCATAGAGACTAACTTCACCTATGAGAAAACACTGGATCGAACACCGACTAGGTCAGTGATCTACCGTTCATACGTGAATAAATTTGGTCCTGCATTGTGTGAGCGCAGGACCAGATTTATTCACGTAAGGAAACTCTGGTCCTTGTGTAAGAAATACACGGAAATATTCATATTATATTTAACGTATTTATATTAAACGAAATGACTTACTTGTAATACGAATTTATAAAAAATGGCTTTCTTCTATGGTAATTTGTTGTCAGTTCTTGAATGTTGTTTTCCAAACATTAAATTTTAAGTTTATTTTCCGTAGTTGAAGTGTTTCTTGTTTTCTTTCTCTGTCTTACTCTTTTATTATTAATTCTAAAACTCGGCAAAATATTAGCATTTTTTCTTTGAAAATTACGAGGAATACGATATTGGCATTTCCGTTTCGGCAACAATTGCCCGTGTATTGTTGATTCATTAACAATTACCGAAAAGACGCGTTGCCTAATTGTTGTCGTTTGATGACGTTTAGCGATGAAACTCCAATTTATTTATTTATTTTTTTAACTCTTTTCGCGCTGTATGCACTAAGAGAGCCTGTTTTTAGCAAGTCCATTATGTATTCGGCCAATCCCACAATGGGGGAGGAGGACGATACCCGACATATTCGGACGGACCACCCCCGAAAAATTCCTGAGGAGTTTTTCGACCCGTCCGGATTCGATTCCGGGTCCCCTAGAGCGGTAGACTGCCACTCTAACTTCTCGACCATCCGGTTACGTTTGTTTGTTAAGTTATGGCAACGCAACACTTGGGCGATCTGCCTAGGGGGATGTCTTCCGGGAGGTCTTTTAAGGGAAACTGGCCCCTATTTAGGCGTTACAGACGTGGAGAAAACCCGAAAAGCTCCACGTGCCAGCCCGTTCGAGAGAGGCGCGAACCCACTACCGAACTCCCAGTGTTTAGGGTACGAAGACCGCTTGGCCAATGATGGACTTCATCCGATTACGTCATTCAACATAACGTTTTATAAAGATAGCAAAACTGATTACTTTTTATTAAAAATAGTTTTAACGCTGGCATCTAAATTCCTTTNTTTTCTGTTTTATACAGAATTTGATGGGTATTGTTTGGTCAATTTGTAATTTTCATAGACAGAACTGCCCATTTACTTGGTTGTCTACGGCACGCCAGGCAATCGCTTTGAATCGCCACGTGTTTTACAGTAGACCGCCCTATAACACTGTAGATAATTCCGTGTTATATGAATTCCATGTTGTACGAGTCGCTTAGATTTTACAAATACGCGAGCCGTTCACAGCCCGGCACACGTATTTGTAAAATTTAAATCTAAGTGACTCGTACAACATGGAATTCATATAACACGGAATTATCTACAGTGTTATAGGGCGGTCTACTGTACTTAATTCTTTGACCTCTTACTGAACTACGCCATTAAATTGATTAATTATGCTTCTTTTTTCTATTTGTAGAATGCTGATACGCTGTTGATGTAGCTTCCACAGTCGGTTTGCTTGTTAGCTAAAGACTAATTTTTTAGAAAGGATGTTGAAGATTTCTGGCGGGAAGATAGAATACAAACGGGCAAGGTTCTTCGTACGGGGACCAACAAGCATTTGATAGAAAGCGCACTGTCAAGTAAATGCAAATACAGTGCCGACTGGAGCCAGTAACATTGTCAGAATCATACCAGGGTCTTTTTATCTGTCGACTGTCGAACTTAACGAGAGAAACCCTGGCAATTTTACAAATTTATCTGTGTATATTTACTATTATTTTATTACACATATTAAAAGCAAAACGTTCCTTTATCTCCGAAGACAAATAAAGTCAATTTACCAGGTAAAAATTAATTTCATTTTTTATTTTAATGAATTAATTTTGGTTTCTTTTTAGTTTCGATTTCGGTGTAATGGCCTGATAAAGCATCCATAACATTATACAGTTAACATTGACATTCAAAAATAACTATAAAAATCATAAATTTATCTTGTAAATTTCTGTCTAGCGTGGTTACTGTCATTATCACTTTAATTTTTGTTTCTGCTCGGTCCTTGTTGTAGTTCACCGTTTTGCACTTTTATACAATAGATAGTACACAAACAACATACAGGAAAATGTTCCTTGTATGTTGTTTCCTTAATTCTAGGCGTTATCATCAACAAAGACCTTCACACTATAAGAAGTGCATTAACGGATATAAAGTCAAAGGTCATCTTATGCCCATCAATAGAAGCATTACATAAATTTCTTATATTTTTTTTATCATTCTTTCAAAATTTTTGTGTAATTTACAATGGACAAACGTGTACTTTATGACAACTGAAGATGGTCGCTTGAACGGCTTGCAAATTGGCTGAGAACTTCAAACAAAACTTCGCTAAGGGCTAAAATTATTCACTTCTACGTCACTTGAAAGCTTCAATTCTTACAAGAGGAAAATTTCTGTTTTAAGATCGAAAGTTACTACTAAAAATATGCTCGAAAGTTATCGAGTGTTTAATAAATTGTTACCTATTTTTATGAAAATTTCGAATTTAAACACTCATTACACTGTTAGTTTATTGCTTAGTGTAGCTTCTCTTTGATTTAATACTAAGAACACCTTTTTTAAAGCCAGTTAAAGGTTGGTACAAGCTGACAAAAAAATTTCTTTGAATGTCAATTATCTCATCTTTGTAATTTATATCTTCGAATTAAGTTTTATTTAAGAAATAAAAATATTTCGGTTCTTCGAAATATTTTTAATTGGCGGGGCAACGCTTTACTTTCTTGTGTGTGCTTTGAACGAGTTTGCGCCTGTATTATTCCCTCCCATAACTAACTGCATAATTCCCAATTTAATTTATCGAAAGAAATAATAATTAGGGAATTGCACATATTACAATACTTCAAAAATTAAACAATACGAGAGACAATAGAAATTCTACAACAATACCCCCTCTTTTTGTATCCGTTAATGACCATATACTAAATCGTTTAATATGGAAAGAGAATCGGAACAGGTGAATATTTATTGCTCGGACGGATACAAAATTCGATTGAGCAGATCCTTTCTAATTCAAAATTGTCCCGGGTTCAATTGGAAACAGTTTATGGATCCCACACTAGGGCAGAGCTGCATACGCGTGAACGTTACGTCTGGTATCATGAATCAAGTGATCGAGTAAGTATTAAAATAGAATTAGCTAAACCTCAATTTCCGTGCAATTACATAAATATTTTTTCACAAGATACTTAACAGACGGAGAATATGAATTTCGGTCTGTCAAAGACGCCACGGACATTTACGAAATAAGTGAAAAAATCGGTATCGTAAATTTGGTGGATCGCTGCCGGGATTTCCTGATCGAAGAAATGAAAGTGGGCAACGTTTGCTTCATTCACGATTTCGCCTGCAAACACGAAGATCTCTTCGTGCAATTTCATTGTTGGAAGCTGTTTACCTCGTCTACCGACGAAGTATTGGAGAGTGAAGACTTCTTAAACTGCGAAGAATCGACCGTATCGAGGTTCCTCTCCCGTCCAATTTACAGTAATACGAACGAAGTTTCCCTCTTCTTGAATATATATAATTGGACGACCAGACGAATTTCTCGGAGCAATTTACAGGAAGCGTCCACTTCGATCGAAAACAGAGAGCTGTATCGAAGGACCATGCAGCCCTTCTTCCATTTAATTCGATTTGCGACTATGTCGCGCTTTAATTTAGAGAATGAAGTATTCAACAAAAACCTATTGAGCGACGAAGAAGTAGAAGGGTTGAGAATATTTGATGACAGCGTTGCCACCGCTCCACTGCCATCCACTATTTGTCAAAATACTCGAGATAGAAGATACCAATCTCAGTCTTCTCTATTTACGTATAAAAATCGGAGAAATTTAGAATTTACTGAAGAAAAACCGTTGCCAAGATTTAACACGTTCTTCTGCCAAGTTTGGGTAGAAGAAGACTGCTTCGTTACTTGTCTGAGTCTTCCGATATATTTCAAGTCCATGCCACGAGAAAACGTAATTCTCACCCGATTTCTTCCATCGACTTTCTTCCATGAAAAGACCAATCTTTCTATCTACGGTTCCGGTAGAGTAATCTTACCCAAACCGTTGTTCCTGAAGGCGAAGTCTGATACTTTATTCAAAGTCCTGATTCAGAACGTCAATCCACCATCGTACAGTGACGAAATGGTTGTGAGAAAAGAAGCTCATTGTTACGTAACGGATGACGATTTTGAGACAATGACTAAAGACCTGGAAGACTTTCTTGTTTATGCGAACGGGTGGCGGAAATTTTATTTTGACATAGATTTGTTTTTTTAATGCTATAACTCTGTGAATTAAAATTTGGATTTTAAACAAAATTCGATTTTCTGCATTCTGGTCTACGTCGATAGAGTGTGTTTGGCAGAAAATTATACGAAATAAAATAAAATGAAATTTATTTCTTGTTTGGTCTGGTTTGATGGTATAAGGCAAAGACAATNATTGAATGGATACTCCAGAATTATTTTATACCAATCTGGTTTCTTCCTATTATTTAAATCCTCAACATCCTGAGACAAAGTAGTTTCTAAAACATTTTGTATTAATTGGTGATAATGATCATTTAACTCTGGTCGATCCAGGAATATATTCACAGAATAACCAAACTGATTCAGTATTTTTGATAATTGGGATACCCAATTTATATCATTCTTTTTCACCAATGACTTCTCGTATAATTGATATAGCAATATCGTTGATAAATTCCCAGTATCTCTTAATTTAAACATAAATTTCATATACAGTATATCTTCATTAATGAAATACACAACTTATATCTGCTCAGTTCTAATCTGATTGCACTACCAGGTACAGTACATTATATTCCAAAAAGAAAATTCTGCGTATAAACTTGTTTTGGATTATCTCCACTTTTTGCCAGTGTTCAAGACTCCAAATCTTAGTATCGCTTGTGATCACACATTTTTCCAAACTTGCGTTCACACATATTACGTATAAACATCAACAACCATTGCCGTTATATAATAAACACGCCAAATGATGTGCCAAATTCTTGGGTTACGTAAAGGCTATAATTAAATATTAAAAATGAATTAATTCGATTAAAAGTAGGCAGTTATTCTGTCATCTCGTATTAAATTAAATAATTATAAATAATTAATTTTTAATTCAGACATTTCTAATATTTAATTTGGAATTGGTCATTAAATTTAATACGAGATGGCAGCATAACTGCCTACTTCTAGTCGAATTAATTAATTTCTAATACAGTATTTAATTATAGCCTTTACATAGTCCAAAAATTTGGCATATCGTTTGCCATGTTTATCAGACATATTATCTGTGATTTTTTTTTGTTTTCTGCAAATCGAATTCGCATTCCAGGTTGGTTCATTCTACGCTAGAAGAAAAATGAAAATGATTCACGCTCCATAACAATGTATAATGTATAATTTTCTTTTAATAAATATTACACATAAAATATTTCAGTATTTTTTCAGGATGGAACGCATTATCGTATTTTACATTAATTTATATGAGAAAAATTGTTTCGCTTAACGAGTGTTTTGCATTACGAGTAAGATTCTGAAACGAATTATGCTCGTTAAGCGAGGTTCCACTTTAATTGTTACAGTTGTTTTACAACAAACCCAACAGTGGAGTGCAAAACCCAGCGAACACTTCGACTTCGACCGTCCCTGGCTGTTCACCAGAGATTCTACCAGTTCACACGTCACACGTCAAATACCTAAATATGAGCAAGTTACCTATGTAAGCTTCTCTCGGGTGGCATGCCCATTGGCAGATCGCTCTCCTATTGTCTTTGCCTTATACCATCAAACCAGACCAAACAAGAAATAAATTTCATTTTATTTTATTTCGTATAATTTTCCGCCAAACACACTTTATCGACGTAGACCAGAATGCAGAAAATCGAATTTTGTTTAAAATCCAAATTTTAATTTACAGAGTTATAACATTAATTTAAAAAAACAAATCTACGTCAAAATAAAATTTCCACCAAAACTTCCGCCATTTAGGGAAGTTTTGGGCGACTCTTGTCATTCTATCAAATTCATCATCGGAAACGTAACAATGCGCTTCTTTTTTCAGAAAAATTCCATTTCTCATCCTTAACTCTTCATTCTGAACTTCGACTCTGAATAAAGAATTAGACTTCGCCTTCAGGAACAACGGTTTGGGTAAGATTACTCTACCGGAACCGTAGATAGAAAGATTAGTCTTTTCATGGAAGAAAGTCGATGGAAGAAATCGGGTGAGAATTACATTTTCTCGTGGCATGGACTTGAAATATATCGGAAGACTCAGACAAGTAACGAAGCAGTCTTCTTCTACCCAAACTTGGCAGAAGAACGTGCTAAATCTTGGCAACGGTTTGTCTTCAGTAAATTCTAAATTTCTCCCATTTTTATACATAAATAGAAAAGACTGAGGTTGGTATCTTCTATGTCCAGTATTTTGACAAATAGTGGATGGCAGTGGAGTGGTGGCAATGCTGTCATCAAATATTCGCAACCCTTCTACTTCTTCGTCGCTCAATAGGTTTTTGTTGAATACTTCATTCTCTAAATTAAAGCGCGACATAGTCGCAAATCGAATTAAATGGAAGAAGGGCTGCATGGTCCTTCGATACAGCTCTCTGTTTTCGATCGAAGTGGACGCTTCCTGTAAATTGCTCCGAGAAATTCGTCTGGTCGTCCAATTATATATATTCAAGAAGAGGGAAACTTCGTTCTTATTTCTGTAAATTGGACGGGAGAGGAACCTCGATACGGTCGATTCTTCGCAGTTTAAGAAGTCTTCACTCTCCAATACTTCGTCGGTAGACGAGGTAAACAGCTTCCAACAATGAAATTGCACGAAGAGATCTTCGTGTTTGCAGGCGAAATCGTGAATGAAGCAAACGTTGCCCACTTTCATTTCTTCGATCAGGAAATCCCGGCAGCGATCCACCAAATTTACGATACCGATTTTTTCACTTATTTCGTAAATGTCCGTGGCGTCTTTGACAGACCGAAATTCATATTCTCCATCTGTTAAGTACCTTGTGAAAAAATATTTATGTAATTGCACGGAAATTGAGGTTTAACTAATTCTATTTTAATACTTACTCGATCACTTGATTCATGATACCAGACGTAACGTTCACGCGTATGCAACTCTGCCCTAGTGTGGGATCCATAAACAGTTTCCAATTGAACTCGGGACAATTTTGAATTAGAAAGGATCTGCTCAATCGAATTTTGTATCCGTCCGAGCAATAAATATTTATCTGTTCCGATTCTCTTTCCATATTAAACGATTTAGTATATGGTCATTAACGGATACAAAAAAAGGGAGTATTGTTGTAGAATTTCTATTGTCTCTCGTATTGTTTAATTTTTGAAGTATTGTAATATATGCATTTCCCTAATTATTATTTCTTTCGATAAATTAAATTGGGAATTATGCAGTTAGTTATGGGAGGAAATAATGCAGGCGCAAACTCGTTCAAAGCACACTCGAGAGAGTAAAGCGTTGCCTGCCATTACACTAATTAATTCTTGAGAAATTATGAATAATGTAAAAAAAAAAAATATTGGAAAGTATGTAAAGCCTGGTAAACAGAGATTAAATTACACGACATTCTTAGTTATTCGGGAAATTTTGTATAAGAGCTTTAATATTTTTAATATTATGTGACCGATTCGGCTCTTTTATGTCGTGTACGTAACACAGTTATAAGATCGAATGTATGGAAATTTGTGTGTATTAAGTGTGGAAAATTTTCAATTTGAAAATAGATTTTATTCGTAATGTAATTGTTAAAATCTAGTATAAAACCTGTAAAAATGGTTTTTTTTTTCCTTTAGTTAAGAATTAAACATTTTTAGCCCTCTTCAATGGCATTTCGGTGGTGACGATTTTTGACCAACCAAAAAACTGATTTGTCGGTACTTTTTCTTATCCTGGATGTATAAAACAAAAGTTCTTTTTATGGTCAATTGTTGGGCATAATTTTAATTTTCAATTAGAGACAACCGAAGAATGCATCCAGGAAAATAAATTACGAATGTCCTCAGATGGCTGCGACCCGAATGCGAATTAAAATTATGCAGCCGTTGGGGAGTTTACTTACATTATTTTTAATTGACCGCGGTTGGCAACACTGTTTCATTTAACTAATATTATGCGCTGTCGTCCATCAATCAAAAATATGGCGCGCGTTTTCTGAGTTTCGAGCGGACACATTTATTGAGCATATACAATGCAGCCTGGCTATACGAGGAAAGAAGATAGGCGCAATATCAAAAGTGTATTTAATTAATCAAAGTAGTAAATCGAGCTTTGCTCGGAAGTATTTGGGCCGCTCGTGTGTGGCAATCCAAAAATACTTTGTGGGTGAAGAAAAGAAAGTATCGGATAGAATAAATGGTAGCCTATTTGTAGGCCTACCATTTATACTTTTAGATACTTTTAAGCCTACAGTTTTTCTGTTTTATTCAGAATTTGATGGGTATTGTTTGGTCAATTTGTAATTTTCATAGACAGAACTGCCCATTTACTTGGTTGTCTACGGCACGCCAGGCAATCGCTTTGAATCGCCACGTGTTTTACAGTAGACCGCCCTATAACACTGTAGATAATTCCGTGTTATATGAATTCCATGTTGTACGAGTCACTTAGATTTAAATTTTACAAATACGTGTGCCGGGCTGTGAACGGCTCGCGTATTTGTAAAATCTAAGCGACTCGTACAACATGGAATTCATATAACACGGAATTATCTACAGTGTTATAGGGCGGTCTACTGTAAAACACGTGGCGATTCAAAGCGATTGCCTGGCGTGCCGTAGACAACCAAGTAAATGGGCAGTTCTGTCTATGAAAATTACAAATTGACCAAACAATACCCATCAAATTCTGTATAAAACAGAAAACTGTAGGCTTAAAAGTATCTGAAAGTATAAATGGTACGCTTACAAATAGGCTACCATTTATTCTATCCGATACTTTCTTTTCTTCACCCACAAAGTATTTTTGGATTGCCACACACGAGCGGCCCAAATACTTCCGAGCAAAGCTCGATTTACTACTTTGATTAATTAAATACACTTTTGATATTGCGCCTAACTTCTTTCCTCGTATAGCCAGGCTGCATTGTATATGCTCAATAAATGTGTCCGCTCGAAACTCAGAAAACGCGCGCCATATTTTTGATTGATGGACGACAGCGCATAATATTAGTTAAATGAAACAGTGTTGCCAACCGCGGTCAATTAAAAATAATGTAAGTAAACTCCCCAACGGCTGCATAATTTTAATTCGCATTCGGGTCGCAGCCATCTGAGGACATTCGTAATTTATTTTCCTGGATGCATTCTTCGGTTGTCTCTAATTGAAAATTAAAATTATGCCCAACAATTGACCATAAAAAGAACTTTTGTTTTATACATCCAGGATAAGAAAAAGTACCGACAAATCAGTTTTTTGGTTGGTCAAAAATCGTCACCACCGAAATGCCATTGAAGAGGGCTAAAAATGTTTAATTCTTAACTAAAGGAAAAAAAAAACCATTTTTACAGGTTTTATACTAGATTTTAACAATTACATTACGAATAAAATCTATTTTCAAATTGAAAATTTTCCACACTTAATACACACAAATTTCCATACATTCGATCTTATAACTGTGTTACGTACACGACATAAAAGAGCCGAATCGGTCACATAATATTAAAAATATTAAAGCTCTTATACAAAATTTCCCGAATAACTAAGAATGTCGTGTAATTTAATCTCTGTTTACCAGGCTTTACATACTTTCCAATATTTTTTTTTTTTACATTATTCATAATTTCTCAAGAATTAATTAGTGTAATGGCAGGCAACGCTTTACTCTCTCGAGTGTGCTTTGAACGAGTTTGCGCCTGCATTATTTCCTCCCATAACTAACTGCATAATTCCCAATTTAATTTATCGAAAGAAATAATAATTAGGGAAATGCATATATTACAATACTTCAAAAATTAAACAATACGAGAGACAATAGAAATTCTACAACAATACCCCCTCTTTTTGTATCCGTTAATGACCATATACTAAATCGTTTAATATGGAAAGAGAATCGGAACAGATAAATATTTATTGCTCGGACGGATACAAAATTCGATTGAGCAGATCCTTTCTAATTCAAAATTGTCCCGGGTTCAATTGGAAACAGTTTATGGATCCCACACTAGGGCAGAGCTGCATACGCGTGAACGTTACGTCTGGTATCATGAATCAAGTGATCGAGTAAGTATTAAAATAGAATTAGCTAAACCTCAATTTCCGTGCAATTACATAAATATTTTTTCACAAGATACTTAACAGACGGAGAATATGAATTTCGGTCTGTCAAAGACGCCACGGACATTTACGAAATAAGTGAAAAAATCGGTATCGTAAATTTGGTGGATCGCTGCCGGGATTTCCTGATCGAAGAAATGAAAGTGGGCAACGTTTGCTTCATTCACGATTTCGCCTGCAAACACGAAGATCTCTTCGTGCAATTTCATTGTTGGAAGCTGTTTACCTCGTCTACCGACGAAGTATTGGAGAGTGAAGACTTCTTAAACTGCGAAGAATCGACCGTATCGAGGTTCCTCTCCCGTCCAATTTACAGAAATACGAACGAAGTTTCCCTCTTCTTGAATATATATAATTGGACGACCAGACGAATTTCTCGGAGCAATTTACAGGAAGCGTCCACTTCGATCGAAAACAGAGAGCTGTATCGAAGGACCATGCAGCCCTTCTTCCATTTAATTCGATTTGCGACTATGTCGCGCTTTAATTTAGAGAATGAAGTATTCAACAAAAACCTATTGAGCGACGAAGAAGTAGAAGGGTTGAGAATATTTGATGACAGCGTTGCCACCGCTCCACTGCCATCCACTATTTGTCAAAATACTCGAGATAGAAGATACCAATCTCAGTCTTCTCTATTTACGTATAAAAATCGGAGAAATTTAGAATTTACTGAAGAAAAACCGTTGCCAAGATTTAACACGTTCTTCTGCCAAGTTTGGGTAGAAGAAGACTGCTTCGTTACTTGTCTGAGTCTTCCGATATATTTCAAGTCCATGCCACGAGAAAACGTAATTCTCACCCGATTTCTTCCATCGACTTTCTTCCATGAAAAGACCAATCTTTCTATCTACGGTTCCGGTAGAGTAATCTTACCCAAACCGTTGTTCCTGAAGGCGAAGTCTGATACTTTATTCAAAGTCCTGATTCAGAACGTCAATCCACCATCGTACAGTGACGAAATGGTTGTGAGAAAAGAAGCTCATTGTTACGTAACGGATGACGATTTTGAGACAATGACTAAAGACCTGGAAGACTTTCTTGTTTATGCGAACGGGTGGCGGAAATTTTATTTTGACATAGATTTGTTTTTTTAATGCTATAACTCTGTGAATTAAAATTTGGATTTTAAACAAAATTCGATTTTCTGCATTCTGGTCTACGTCGATAGAGTGTGTTTGGCAGAAAATTATACGAAATAAAATAAAATGAAATTTATTTCTTGTTTGGTCTGGTTTGATGGTATAAGGCAAAGACAATCGGAGAGCGATCTGCCAATGGGCATGCCACCCGAGACGAGTTTATAGAGGTAACTTGCTCATATTTAGGTATTTGACGGGTGAAGTAAACTTTCATACGTACAACTCTAAGATAAAAACCTCTGATCCGTCAAAGTGGCACTACAGAGTTCTAAGAGACTGTAATTTAATCATTAGCGTTCGGTCACCCGTGGTGGTATTAAGGTGATTAGACTAAAAAGTCGGGCCCGAGTTAGATGCTCGGATGCTTGCATGCGTAGATGGATTGAACCATCGTCTGGTGATCCTTTATTAACCCATCCTTCCTCGCCTTTTTCGCTCTCGGGTCGAACCCTCTTACTTTGACTTACAGTTTTAGTGCAGCCTGTTCTGCACATTGAGTCCTCTACGAAAGAGAGGCCAGCTATTATAAACGGTCAGCGGGGTCTCCTCCCATAGAAAGGGAGCCCTGTCCAGTGCGTCCACTGAGCTTATAGGTCGAAGAGTCCTATTACAATTCTCATCAATTCTTTTAGTTTCAATAGGTTCCCTTTATTGCCGCAAGCGTTCGAAGTACTTGTTCAGAAGGCTTAGACCAGTCGACTTGGTCAGTCCCTGGGCAGAAATCCTTACTAAGAGGACATAGTGTCTTGCGTCACCGCGAGAACACCCACAGGAGCAGCAACCATCTCTTTGTCCAAACTTGGACTTGAAGTGGGAAAATTCCCATGTCCAGTCAGTAATTGTAACTCACAGGAGTTCGGCCAACCAGGCACGAATGCATAGGTTGACGTAGGCTACCTGGCATTTTTACCTCAACAACGACGATTGGCTCTTGTGTAAGTGGAACAGCGGAAGTACACGGTTTACGTTTTAACTCCAAGAAAAAATCGTTGCGGCGCACGTTCACAACATCATGTGACTCGGTGAACGTCGCGCATTGACTCACGGGAAATTTTCTGAAAAAATGGCGGATGCGTTAAACATCGAGGGTTTGCAGCGAAGGTAAATAAACAAATTAAACTATTTTAAAGTATTTATAGGATGTTTAATAACACTAAATAATTATTTTTAATTAGCGTGGTGTCTCCTACCGTACGATCGGACGATAGGAATCCCTCATACTTTTGTCCAGGGAAGTAAATTCGAAAGCAGCTCGGAAAATCTTCAACCATCTACAGCGTAATACGTTTGTAAATTTTTAGAAAATTTACAAACGTGTTACGCTGTAGATGGTTGAAGATGCCGTGGAAGAACAAACCTACCTTAAGATAAGCTATTATGAAGGCAAATACAGGGTGAGTCAAAATTATGTGAACGTTATTTGAGAGAAAACATTTACTCAAAGTTTGCGTTATACAGATTCTCAACCTGACCACCAACACGATTAATGCACTCAAACCATCGTTCAACAGTACAATTTAGTGCTAGAACACCAGAGATTGGGGAGGCCATAACAACGGTCCGTGCGATCAATCGGAATAGAAAACGAAACAAAATTAAGATGTTTAATTAAAAATTAAGATCGTTCAAATAATTTTGACTCATCCTGTATATGTAATTTCTATAGGCACTTCGCATCACTTGCTAAAAAATTGAATAATTAAATAATTTCTGGATTAAAATCGTCTTTATTTCTTTACAATATTATTCGTAAATGCTTAATTTAAGTAATCATTATTTTAATAAAATAGGTCATAATTTTAACTCCAAACACAACAAAAATAAAGAAGTTTAAACCGATCTTCTACTCGCCATTCTAGACGTAGCGAACGCCATTATCGACCGTCTAGAATTGCCAGATGGCGGCGCTCTCGGCCGTCTGCCGTTCACGTCTTGGGCTGAATACGATGACCGCAACCGCAATCTAGTGACGAACACGGGGAGCGTTTCCATCAAGACATCTCTATCACGGAAGGAGGTATCAGGGCCAGTGGAATTCAAGAATGCTTGCTGATTACTGTCGGACCCTCAAGAGGGATTACTGTCAGACCCTCCAAACGCCAAACACAACAGAAACTCCACATCTCACCATTTTAGACAAGATAAATAAATAAGTGTATGCGTGTTGTCTAAATAAATATGTATTACATTTAAACTGGCTATCACAAAAAACCCAGACATGAAGGAGAAAAACTGTTTATATACAGTCGACCCCCCCCTATAACACGGTAGATACGTTCCATGTTTTATGAAATTCATGTTGTACAAGTCCTTCAATACATGAGCCAATCACAGCCCGGCACGTATGCAGTTTACGGACTACGGCTGTTTGAAAGGTTTTCTTCCATAAAATTAATCGATTCTAGACTAATTCGACTCAACATTTCCAAAACGCGTATAATTTTTTGGGAATAATCCATATAAACTTTGCTATAAACAAAAAATTGTAGAATTACTTTACCGAGTGTGCACCGTTCGACGACGCCATTGCTTAAGCTTGTTTTCGTCGTGGAGCTTGTCATCGAATAGCGCTCGCGTGCTTTCTGAGAAATTATTTTTTTTTTTTGCGAAAAATTCGCTGAACTTTGGAGACATCATTAATATAAATATAATTTTTATGGGCGTTAAATAATAAATGGTTTTTAGTAGGTCCGCTGCTCGTTTAAANATAATATGACCGTATATACAAAATAATATCAATCAATCAATCAATCAATCAATCAAAAGATTTTATTAGTAATAAGGCCGTTAGCCAGTTACAAGGGATGTTTTTTTTTTACAATCAACTTTTATATTATCACCAATAACTTCTTATTCAACATCAACTAGTTAACCAAAATCCTTCCATCTTATACCTAAGTAAATGTTCTTAATTAGTACAACTTGTACTAACAATTACATATATATAATTCATTTACATTAAAATTATTAACTATTTCAATTCTTCGACAACAACAACATTCGACAACAACAACAACGAAACTTGCCCAGTGTTGAAGAAAAGTCACTTCATTGTGCCAGTATACAATATTTCAATTCTATATCAACATAAATTTCTGAACATAGTTATATAGTATATAAATTATATCTGTTGATGCTCTATTAAATACTTCGTACATTGCCTTTTCATTATTACATTTAAGTAAACATTGCAACTCTAGCTTCTGTGCTAATTTCTTAGCATCTTTACAATCACAAAACAGGTGAAATTTTGAAGTTATTTCTTGACATCTTGGACACATAGTCCCAGTAAATTCATAAATTCTATTATTAACTAGCATCAATTCTTTATTTAATCTAAGTTGCACAAAAAATCTTTTAACATTAAACTCCAGATATGTTAACATATAATTGTTATTGAATGGATACTCCAGAATTATTTTATATCAATCTGGTTTCTTCCTATTATTTAAATCCTCAACATCCTGAGACGAAGTAATTTCTAAAACATTTTGTATTAATTGGTGATAATGCTGATCACTTAACTCTGGTCGATCCAGGAATATATTCACAGAATAACCAAACTGATTCAGTATTTTTGATAATTGGGACACCCAATTTCTATCATTCTTTTTCACCAATGACCTCTCGTATAATTAATATAACAATATCGTTGATAAATTCCCAGTATCTCTTAATTTAAACATAAATTTCATATATCTCTTCATTAATGAAGTACACAACTTATATCTGCTTAGTTCTAATCTGATTGCACTACCAGGTACATTATATTCCAAAAAGAAAATTCTGCGTATAAACTTGTTTTGGATTATCTCCACTTTTTGCCAGTGTTCAAGACTCCAAATTGGAATAGCATAACCAATTGAGTTCATAATAATAGAATTAAACAACCGGAAGTGCACTTGTATATTTTTTATCTTTGCCTTAGAAAATAATCTTACCAAATTAGTTAATAACCTATTTGCACCATTTGCTGTCTTCTTGTACTGTTTCTCAAAGGCTAATTTTGGTGTCAATAAGATACCCAAAAATTTTGTTTCTTGAACTATTCTCAATTCCTCTTTGTCAATGAAAAAACGCATATGTTTCTTCGGTAAATTAGCACCGTTCCTAAAAATCATAACTTCAGATTTTTTTGGATTTATTTTCAATTTCAGCTCATCCAAATAATTTTTCACCAGCAAAATCTTCCTTCTTAAAGCCGCAGCCGTTGGAGCAATTATCACAATGTCGTCTGCAAAAGATATCGAATGTATCACTTGATTATCTATTAAGAACCCATCATCTTCATTTACAAAACAACTATTTATATCGAATGTATAAAAGTTAAAAAGATGAGGCGACCAAGGGTCTCCTTTGAATAAACCCCTGCAAGTAACAAATGAAGGCCACTGAGTATGATCCTGTTTGATTGTAATTGTATATTGACCAAATAACACTCCTACAATATTCGTTAAATATTCATCTGCTTGATAGAATTTTAATTTTTTTTTTGTAAGTCTGCAATGCTTACTGAATCGTAAGCCTTTTCCAAGTCTAGAAACAATGTAAAAACCTTTTGTCTTTTTTTACTTAACTGTAACTGAATTATTGCGATTAATGTGAATAGCCTAAAGCTAATTGAGTCCCACCATTTTTAGTGAATGCATATTTGGTTTCATTTTTATCATTCTTCTCATCTAACCATTTATTAAACTTTAATGATAAAACTGCTGTAAACACTTTACGTAGACCAGATAACAACGCAATCGGGCGATAATTGGGTGGTCTTAACCTTTCTTCACGTTTATATAACATGACAAATATTACCTCATTCCAATTATTTGGAACAATTCCTTGCTTGTAAAACCCATCAAACTGTCTAGATAAGAAGGTAACTATTTCTATTGGAAGGTTTTTAATTATAAAATTTGGAACCGAATCAGACCCTGGCGCAGATTTCTCCTTTAGTTTTTTTACACAATATAGAACTTCTTCTACCTTAATTTCTTCCTCCAAGAGGACATCCTGAGGCCCATTCCTGTTTTTAATCTTTAAGCCACCTTTACTCTTATATTCTTCTGAGAAACTTCTAAAATAGTGCAGCCAATCGCTATAAGGTACCTGAATTTTTTCTATATATCCTGGCTTATTGACTCGAAAATCATTAACCACCGTCCAGAAAACTTTTGTGTCTTTGGCTCTAGTTAATTTCTCACTAATCTCTAAAAAATATTTTCTCTTTTTAGCCTTCAGTAGATTGTGATATACTCTCTTGCTATCTAAATACATCTTCAACGATTCTCCATTATTAACTTTCCTAAATCTTTGTAAATTTTTTTGCTTTTTAAACTTGTAAATATAGCATTTTTTTATCAAATCATTTGTGCTTAAACTTGGCTGTACTTATTCCGGAACATCTCTTAAAACGATAGCTATCTAAAATTTCTATTAAATGGTTATAATTTTCAATCGGACTCTTCACTCTTCCATGAGTCTCCAAGACATCTATACTATTAGATATTTCATTAATAAATTTAACTTTGTTATACGTCTTTTTTACTTTCTTGTTACATTCTTGCTTTAAATTATACTTTTTATTCCGTTCCTCAACCTCTCCTCTCAATACTAGTCGGATCGGAAAATGGTCTGACACATCTAAGTCTAATACAGACATCATCTGACACTGATCTAGCAGGAATTCTGAACAAATTATGTAGTCTATAATTGACTTCCCCAATGGAGATACAAAGGAATACTCAGCGGGGGTGTCCCCTTTGACCCTGCCATTTAATATATATAACTCACAATCCTGCACAAATTCCAAAAGACTTCTATCTTCACTATTTACACATTTGTCTTTGGATGCTCTATCATTAGCAATGGTTGTATTTTTTTGTTTAATTTTTTGAGTCCATTTTCTCACCAATCCGAGCATTGAAATCTCCTCCCAATATCCAAAAATTTACAACACTTGACCACTGGTCTATGTAACTTTTTACCTCTTTTAATATCCACTTTTTTCTGATAAAGGGGCCAAATAGATTAAAACAACCCCCAAGTATGATTCTCCCCAATACATTTTGGTTCTTTGATCCAGATCTATCACCGCACAAATAAAATTAACTGTTATATAACAATTAAAAACCTCTCCAACGTTTTTCTTGACTATCAACAGCAGACCACCAGATGGACGACCCATTCTTCTTATTTTCTGTGCACCACTAAACAATATCATATTCCCCTGCGCTAAATATTCCTTGTCCACGTTATTCATTTCAATCATCCAGGTCTCTGTGAATCCAATTATTGAATGAGATTTTATATAATTTTTAACTGGTTCACTATACAATTTATTTTGCAACCCCTGAATGTTCCAAAAGCTTATAAGAAGATTCTCACTGTCCTTGACCATGAGCTTAACAGGCAAATTATCGTCATCATCCTTACCTACCCGACTCCTATTCATTTTGATATGCTGACCCTCCTTTGAAATATTTTGGGTTAACTCCATTTTATGACTACATCGGCTATTTTTACCTTCTTCCTCTAAATTTGTAATCACATTCCACCTAAAAAATAGTCTATTTTGATAATTCCATTTGTGTTAATATCATACGTATATATCATTTTGTCCTTTATATAGCAATCGTCTCTAATTATAATTTTGTTTTTATTTAATTTTTCGTGTTTTATTCTACTCTGTAAATATTTTCTCCTTAGTCTCGAACGTTTACATAAATCCGCTGTAAAAATTATTTTCCTCCTATCCTCATCAGATAATTTTGATTTCGTATTCCAAAATTCTCTTAGAATGTTATTTCTTGTACAAAATAATATAATAAGACAATATATACAAAATAAGTTAATATAACCATTTATACAATATAATATAATTTAACCATATATGCAAAATAATATAATNCGTGTTATGGGGGGATAGACTGTATTTAAAAACAGTATAAAAAATTCTATTGTGATCCGGTAATTTCATTTGTGTGCCAAAAAAATCTTTCATTTTGTTCCGCAGTGTTATTAATCAAAATAAATAACTAAAATTGTACGTGGCGCCATATGTTATGAGATTTTGTCGAATGCGACGTCGTACGTTTCTTAGTATCCGAGTCAGATTCGTATTTCCCAGAGATACTGGCACGCCTTTACCATTCAAATTGTAAACTTTATCGAAATCGTTTCTTCTGTTCTAGCCATTTAATTCTTTCGAAACCTCGAACGAATTAAATGGCTAGAACAGAGTAACGCAACACGTGACCGATCTGCCGCCTCCCAGAAGGACTTTATACGAGAAACTGGTCACTATTTAGGGTGTTAAACACCCGGAAAACTACGCGGTCGGCCCGTCGGTCGGGCGCCAACCCGCCACCGACTACTAGTGTTCGGTGACGTTACCCACTCGGCCGCTGGTGAGCACCTCGAAGTGAACAGAGTGTATTCGCAGACTTTCGCCAAGTTATCTGTTTAAAAATCTTTCCATTGTCCATAGTCGTCGACACCTATTTTTCTTGTTAGGGTGTGACGCCATTTTTCTTCGATGCTTTTCAACGCGTTATTCACGTCCACAAAATTGCATTAATACGAAAGAGAAATGCCATATATATAGGCCTATATTGCGAAAGTACTTCTTACCTATTCGAATCGATTTCTCTTTTCTTTAGAGACACAATTTTATCGATAACGACGTAGAAGAATCTAGCGTTTAGGCCATCACTTTTGACAATACCGTCTTCTTTCTCGACGGATATTTTTGACAAATATAACTTAAAATTGTTTCTGGAGACACTTAACTCTTCGAGCACGAATCTTTCTTTACATCGACTCACTAATTTAAGTAGAAGTAACTTAGAAGAAGTTTGTAGTTGTTTTTTAAGTGTACAAATTCTTCGGAACTGAACATCTTTGTAAACACACTCGCTTACAAATACACGAAGGGGGAAAGAAATACGGAATGATTTCTTGCTTAAAGCAATTAAATTTAAGAAATTTACGCTCTTGTTCATTAAAATTTAAAACGATAGGAAAGAAAATGGATTAATCCAAGTTCATTATTAAAACACCCGTATACGGTATTATAATCGATACCTTCTATCCCTTAAGAGAAAGTAAGTGATAAACAAAGACGTAAATAAGATTTATGTTATGTTTCTGCCTCTCTTTAAGAACTATTGTTAATTTATTTAGACATTAATTAAATGTAAATACATTCTTTGGTATGTTAATGAAAAATAATTATTTGTTTAACATAATTGATTTCCACGATGCAATGCAGATAAATATATATATATATATATCAGTGATTAAATTTATAACAATTATTATACTCGTATAATCCGCACTATATTTGGAAAAATGTCTATTTTATTTCTAACAATTTTATCTTGGTGCATTATTTTATTTAATTTCTAAAAATTTAAGAATACAGTTACATATTATACAAGGGGTTATCTGTGCAAATTGTTCGGATTATAATACATAAGAAAGAAAGTGCACGGCAGAACTACGTTCTATGTATATCGCCAAGGCTTACACTTCAAGAAACAAGTAATAATTTATGTACAGGACCGGCTCTGTGGGCAATGCGATGTCTCGAGCGCCGCACGTGAACGGCAAACGTGAACGTCGAACGTCGAGCGGTGTTCGACGTTCGACGTTCACGTTTGAGAGATGAAAACTTCGGCCGCAACCTCTCTAATGACCCATAAATGTACCTTAAACTTGTTTATATACAGCTAGAAGTGCCGAAGAAGTGATTTCCATTGGCATCAATCGTCAGGGAGAAAGAATGTTACCATCACGATTATATACAGTAACATTTCCGACAATCATACCATTTATCGATCAAATACAGTATAGGCATATTGCAACGTATTTAATGTAATGTATACGTGCCGAAGAACTTGTTAGTGTTTGAAAATTGGATAATCAGAAAGACATTTAAAATTAAAGAACTTCTTTATTTGTCATCATGCCGTTAAAGCTAATTTTTTTTTTAAAAAAAAAGAAAAGATGAAGAATCAAGCGTAATCATATATTTTGATACATCGATCGATGGCACACTTCTAGGCGTATGATAAAAACGTGGACAGTTCGTGTGCGAAGAAGCATTAGTAAGAAATCAATGGACAGAAAGCGTTACACCATTCGAAGTGTGAGCTGAAAAGAATCGTGTTTATATTCGTATAAAATAATACTTCCGTATATATATATATATATATGTATTGTATTATATATTATGTATATAAATCAACCGTAGACCAACGATTACAAAATGGCAAACGATAATTATAATTCACGGCTACATCTAATTAGGGAATAGAAAAATGGCCGCATCGGAAGCCATCTTTAAATCGTAGGCAAACATTCGAGTGACGGATTGTCTAACGTTATTTAACATCTAACTAAGAAATAAATTAAAAAAATAAAAAGCAAAATTTAGAAAAGAATCTAAATCTAGACTCTTCGAGTAAAAATTCTACCACAAAATCCAAGTTTTATCGGTTAAATGTATAATTTAGTTGTTCGTGTTCTGTCTGATCTCTACTCGAAAACACATAAGTTAGTAGCTATGCGACTAGAATGTATTCGGTTAACGAATCGCATTCCGAGACTCGAGTTTTTTTTTTTTTTTTAAAAAAACCTGTAAAAGCAGACAAATGGAGGGACGAGTTTTTTCTGGACTAAGTACATCCGACACACGTGGGCGTGGCTACATCCGGGACCGGACGAAAGCTGGGACGACGAAAAATAGTTAGCCGATGAGAGGAGTTCTGGTTCCGTCACTTCCGTCTTCAAAAGCGCTGCCACGGTGGGTCCACAGAAATTTGACTGGGTCTTCGCTGGGAAAAATCCATCAACGCTTGAGTTTCAAAGTCTACACTTCACTCTCGACACGGCCTTAACACTAGAAAGTTCAACCTACTTCGTTCTTCCCTTTCTTGGGTACCGAGAAGGGGTTCTTCTACTCTGCTCGAATACCCATTTTACCACTTTTAATGCCTCCACATTTGACTGTCGTATAAATTTTGTTACTGTTTTATTTAAAAAGAATAAAATATAAAATAAGAAACACCTGTTTGGTGTTTTATTCGTAAATGGCAGAGATGCACTAAAGATAAACGAATGAACTTTGAACTTTCCAGTGACTAAGACCGTCTCATTTGTCAAGATAATAAAGTATTTAATTACTGTACTAAAGGGAAAAAAAATGTATTAAAAGATTAGTATCAATTAAAGTAGAATATTAATTAAATCTACTTTATTTTCCTGATTTTTTTTTTAATTTTATAAAATATCCCAACTTCCACTTATTCTAAAAATCCTTCTTTTTTTTTTTTAGTCTGTTAATGGATTGTTCATTCGTAATTATGGTAAAGTAAAATGGCCGTAAGAAGAAGAATAGTTTTCATAAAGTCTCCCAGTAAAATTCATCATACTCTTTGTCGTTTATCCTTCGAAAGTCGCGACTGGAAATTCCATTATGACGTCGGCTATTTATTTCCAAAATCCTTATTTAAGCTAGCGATTGGCTGATGTACCAATATCTCTCTTAATCGATCGGAAACATTTTTGTAATCTCGTTTGTCCCCGGGATAATTCTTGTTAATAGCTTCCGCCATTATTGAATTTACAGTCACGAAAATCTCTTCCGGGTCCATTACCTGCATTTGACTTACAACTCCTCGAATTAATAATAATCAATCTAATTATCATTGGCTATAAAATTGTCTCGAACCTTTCCGAACAATTACCAAGTTTCCTCCATTTTTTTTTACTCACAGAAATCCCTCAGTTTACACGAGTAATTGGTTCCACGAAATGGAGCAATGCAAATTTTCTGTGCAACCAATTACTAGAATAGTTTCTAACTATTTCTTTCAAATATACGTATATATAAGCTTTTACTGATAACAGATAACATATTTTTGATGTATAGTCCTTCCAACTTAAGGTGGCAGCTGTCAAACCGGACTAAACCACTTTTACACCACTCGTAGGGAAGAAAGGGGCACCCAAATGCTCCAAAACTGCAATAAAAAAATTAACTATTTGCAGCTAATAAAGCGGTCTCTCCCTACAACTGAATAGAAAATGGTGTAGTCTGCTTTGACAGGTGCCAATGTAAGTATCATTTATTTCCATAAAGTTGATTATTTTAAATTTAAAAAAAAAAAAAAACTTTCGACCGCATTAAAGCGAATTGGCGTAAATGGAAGGATTATTATAATCCCTTACTCGAGAATAAAGAAAATTGAAGAAGTGGTTGCCCGTATTTAACATAAAAACAACTCACAGTTTATATTGATTTTCGTTCCCTTGTCGGCCCAACTTGTTGGTGATGTGCCTGTACGTTTTGTGTACTCTACAATGGCAGGCGGTGACTACTGCCACTACTATCAGACAAGCGCCCGCTAACGTGGCTGCCGCTATGTATATATTATGCAAATGATCCAGTGGCACACTAACTGGTCCCACCGCATCTCCTCCACGATGAACGGACGTGTCCTCGGCAGTACGTGTCAGAGATTGGTCGAGGTATCGTTCTAGAAGATCGACCTGTATATAAATAATGCCGTCGTTGTAAGTAGAAAGAGAATTAAAGATTGTTGTTACCTTCGCAACTGTCTCCAGTATATCCGGGACGGCAAGAACAGAAGAAGGAATCTAAACTTGGCCAACAACTTCCGCCGTTTTGGCACGGATTAGGATAACAAGGATCGTAGTGTTGGGTGCAGCCTGGTACTAAAGATAACATGTAACGCATTCTTTAAATAACTACAAGTCGAAAAGAATTATAACTTAATTACCATTAAAACCGGGATGGCAGATGCAACTGTAATTGTTGCCTCGATCGACGCACTGAGCTGGAGACGGGCACGGGTTAGGCTGACACAGATCCAACTTAATTTGGCAACGTCGTCCTTGATAACCGGGACCGCAATGGCATCTGTAACCGGCGACTAGATCTTCGCAAACACCTCCGTTGATACAGGGACTGGAATCGCATTCGTCGTACTCGAATTCGCAATGATCGCCACCGTATCCTAACAACAAACGAGTGTGCCATAATACCACCAAGACAAAGGATAACTATCGAGTTTTGTCTACGACTTACCGGGTAAACAATAGCATTTGTAAGTTCCCACTCCATCTTCGCACACTCCGTGAACGCAGGGGTTGGAAATGCATTCGTCCATGTTGGTTTCGCAATCTCGTCCCGTGTATCCCGACGGGCATAGGCATTTGTACCAAGTCTGGTTCCCTTGGCACACCCCGTCGTTCAGGCAAGGATTTCGATCGCATTGATTCAGCATCTCTTCGCATTTGGCTCCGCTGTAACCTACAAAACGACTGATTGAAATTTAAATTTCGAAATTTGAGAGAGACGAGGGGTTACAGAAGAGAAATTACCGTGAGGGCACAGACACTGATAGGTGTTTCCGTTTAAACCTTCGGTTATGTCGACGCAAAAGCCACCGTGAAGACACGGATTATCGTAACAACCGTCTCTCTCTTCGCAGTATCTTCCTACGTAACCCGGACAACACTGACACGTGAATACAACCTAAAAAATAAAATTAAAAAGACCTTAATTAAAAAAGTATCGTAACGAAAGGCCCGTAATTTATAATAAATAACTGAAATTTATTTAAACTTTGATATAATTTTATGACCAAACAAATACAGTACAGAGGTTACCAGTTTAAGGCTTGGAACTGCCAGGCCATATGTAAAAAAACTCGAGATTCTAGGCTAAATTTTAGGGCCTCGGTCTTTTAAACTTATTAATATTCGTTACGGGAAAGGGCCTTTTTATTAATTTTATAAACATTTCTAATCGGAACGAATTGTTATATTCCGATTGGAAACACTAAATTTCAACTTACAAATGATACATTTTCTGGTAATTATAAAATTAAATATTTTAATAAGTAATAGACGTGTTATTAATTAAATATCCCGTTAAAGATATTTACTCTCCCTTTTTTTTTTACTTTTTTAATGCATTAAAAGGGTAAAAAATGGAAGCAGAAGTTTTTGTAAAGTGACAGAATTAAATCCTGAACAAAAATAGAAAAAAAATGTTTTCTAAAACAAAGAAAAAAAAAGCATTAAAGATACATTAATTATAAAAGGATTTTCTGAACACAACTTTTACATTTTTTCCGGATCAAGAAACGTCTATCAACATCCCACTCGATCGTGTTAAATACAATTCTTCTCTTCTCCAATCCGTTTCCTCCCCCCCAAAAAAAGAGCATCACCGAGCAAAACATTAAAAAAAATCCATGATAGAACTAAATCGAAACGAATTTAAAGATTTTCTACATCAGAAGATGACATAAATAATTCAAACGGATTAAATTTACAATTAAAATCACAATGGTTAACGAGGATGGGTCTTCCCAACCTTTTCTTTACGTGCGGCTCCTTTCTAGTTTATAAGACGCTCGCGAGCTACTAGTTGCAAGGGGGTGAAGACTCTACGCGAGGGAGGAACTTTACCAGAACTCCCTACAGTTATTTATTCATTATTTATTATAAACACGTAAAAGTAATTTATAATCGTAACCTTCGTTTCGATAATATTAATTAACCTAAAGAAGCACTGGGAGAGGATGATTGACGTAAAACACATATTAACACAGATTTATGTAAATTTTATTAGATTATTATTATAATAATTTAATAAATTTAATGTAATTAATACTAATTAAATATTGTTTTTTTTTTTTACTTCTAAAAAGAGGGATATTTTGGAGACTATTTACATATGCTAAAGGCCTTCTTCTTTCAATAATATACAGTCGACCCCCCTATAAGATATAGATACGTTCCATTCTTTGGAAACAGTAAAAAACACCCTATAAGATATAGGGGGTTTTTTACTGTTTTTTACGGATAACGGTCACAATTTTTTCGTAGTTTTATAGGAACCGTAATTATAGGGGGGTCGACTGTATATATATACACCGGAACTAACCTTAGAGGAATCGATGACACAAGCTCCTATTCCGGAACATACTTCCGCTCCGGGTAAGCGAATACACTCGGAACTACTGAGTGTGACGTTAAGGGTCCAAGAAGCGGTACACTCAATTCCGGGTATCGTCGCTTGAACTGTAAAGAAATTAATTTACATTTTAATAAATTTATATTCTCCAATCTGCACGCGACTATACCAACACTAAATGCAAAAATACCGTGTTTTGCTTAATTACGTATTCATTAGATGCTAAATACGGCGGAGGCACGCTCTTGTTCCCGGACCAAAAAAAAAAAAAATGGTCGAAATTTTTACTATTTTACTACACGAACGAAGCTAATCTGTCTAAAATATTAAAATAAAACGGTTCCTTAATTGTAAATGCATTTTCTAGAATAGAAAATTAAATTATGTCATTTAAAGTGTTTAAATCTTCGCAGTTTAAAGAAAGAAAAACGGGCAAATAAATATGGTGGGCTCGACTTAAACAGAATAAATTGTTTAAGAGCTACAATCAAGAAAAAAAAAAATAGTAGTTCTAATGACTTTAAAAATAGTTTCTGTAGTCATTTATATCTTTTCTTTTTAACTTTCAATTGCTCGGAAAATTCGTTTAAAAAGAAAAAAATGGCAAAAGTAAACAGTAATTTTGCACAATGGAAGCAACACGTGATAAATGGTACTTTTCTTTACGGTAGAGGCGCCGTTCTAAAAGAATAATTATAGAAAAGTTTCATAGATCGTACGGGCTCTGTCACGGGAGAGTCTGCAATTATATAAAGAGGCCTTCGAAAAGATACGTGCCCCCGATCTATCTCGATTTCCGAGAGGCCTTGCATTCATAAAATTAAACGTTACTCTACATCAACGGGTGATTTGGGGTTATAAAGAGCCCTAGACAAGCGCGAACTAGCGAGGGGTCTATTATATACGTCCATATAGTGTAAAACCGTTCACACGACACGCGATCCGTACTGTATTTCGAGTAACTTTAATTAATAAGACTCGAGTGTCGGGGTTCCTAAAAGCGCGAGAACTAGTTAAAGGCCTAGTTACGTACGCTAAATCGTCATCGTTTATATAAGATAATAATCGAGTGGTAAAATTCACTTCACGATTTCAAGTGGATGCATTTTTTTTTACGTCAGGAAAGTAGGAAAGACGAACCTCTTAAGATGTGTATGCCCGGAGGAAGTAATTCCGTGTCGAAGGTGACATTTCCCGGAAGATCGAGAGTCCACTTGGCCAGTGTTTCGGATGGAAGAGGAGAGGAATCGCACAATTCCGATTCGTGTGTCGACACCATGTGAAGAGTAACGGTGACGTTAGTCTCGTTAACGAAATCGCTGTCGAACACCCGATTCACTGACAATCTGTAACGATCGATTCGTCAACGTAACATCATTAAACTTATAACTTTACATTTTCTTTTTTAAGATTAATAAAAACTAAAGTTATTAGCGAAGTTGCAGCCGAAGTTTTCATCTGTAAAACGTGAACGTCGAACGTCGAGCGCCGCTTACTTATAAGCGGCGCTCGACGTTCGACGTTCACGTTTTACAGATGAAAACTTCGGCCGCAACTTCGCTATTGTTATTTATAAAAAGTGAAAGGAGTTTTAAGTGACAAACTTGTACATTTCATCGTGAAGGAAACTTTTTAAATAATGGATATTGTAGACTAATCCCGAAACATTTTACATCTAGTAATTAGTGGGAAGTACTGTACTTCGAGTTGTGATACACGGGATTCATCCAACTTCAGCATTAATTAATTAGATTTAGGAAGGAAAGAAGTATCAACTTCCGACGTGTAATTTATGTCCTCCGTGTTTTAAAAACATTTATTCAATTATTTTTGGACTTAGATTTATATGACGCTTCAAATATTCACGTAAGACATGCAAAATTTGCACATGTTTTTATCACTCCTGTAAGTAGTGTGTTGGTAGACTTGAAGCGACCAATCAGAAGCTACGTATTGTGATTTAAATCCTCGCTTCTGATTAGTCCTTCGACTCACTAAACTGTTGTAGTACTCGTATAGTAAGAATCGACACTTCCAGATGTGTACACGTAGTTTACGAGCTTTATATTGTATTTTTAAAAGCCGGGAAACTTAGTTTCTCAAGTGGCATTCCTTACAAGAAAACAAATTAGAAATTAATTGGAAACACTCTGAATTCCCACTCGACAACAAAGAAGAACGTTGTAATTAACTCCTTTCACTTTCTTACAGTCAATTATAGAACATTATTAATTATAAAACTCATTGTTTACTTATTGTTTTAGATAAGAATACAAAGGATCGATCGTCACTTTTGATTAATTCTCTTTTAATTGTTCTATTCTTCTCGATAAAAGTTTCCACATTTTATACTGTTTGATTATTGTGTATTTAAGAAAATCGAAGGTTTGTAATGAAAAATACCTACACCAGTCCGTCACTTTCTTGTAATTCCACTTTGAGGGGTGGAGATGCGGCATTCTTAAATTCTTCCGTCAGATTCGTCATATGAGGACAGGTGGATTCGAGATGGCAGGCAATCTACAAAATAAAATAATACGTCAGCCGGGTCTTTGATAACATTACTTAAAATATTCAAGAAAAATCCCCAGAATCTTGCGTGATGTAATTAAACACGTTCAAATTGATGACGTTAGTACGACATCAATTTAAATGTCGTTAATTATCTTGTAGTTTGTCATCCTAATTATTGATTTGGTGTAATATTTCTATACCGACAAGAACCGTATTTGAATAATTTAAGGTATTTTTGACACTTTCTTATGTTAAATTATAGATCCGTGACATTAGTTTAGCTCGCCTTCGACGGGATCATTATTTTTCTTGGGGTTAAGATTAACACAAATGGAAACTGGTAGGTTGTGGATTTGTACTTTCTTCACGTGTCTAATACCTAAATTCCCCATAGAAATCCTCCCGGGAGGCACTCTTCTCTTGACAGATCACACACATGTTGCATTGCATTATGCCATCAATGCAATACAACCACTAACGTATCAAGTACGCGGTGATCACGAAATCTTCCCATTATGTTTCATTAGAGCAATGGAATATTTCGAGAAATCAGAAATTGTATTGCCTAGTATCAGTCTAACATGTATCTAACTTAGTGTCAACATGTATCTAACTTAATGCCCGTCCGTTGTCTGGAGAAATAAACGGCCATATATACTAACAGATAATAATTTCGTTATATAAAAATCTCTAATTTACCTGCATAAATTAAGCCGAGTATTCGCAGAACATATCCTTTCTCGATTTAACGCATTTCTACGAGATATTCGATCTTAATTTGCTACGTAAATTGCGACTGTGTTGTTTTTTTATAGCTATTTGTCTTTATAGTATACTTACTAAACACGCATTGCACACTTAAGAGAACGTCATCATTTCTCAATTTGCTCTCGTAAATTTTAGTTATATAGCATATAATAGTAACTTGTATCAGTTCTTCCTTTTAATGACTACTTAAAAATGATAGACCTGAGCAAACAGTTGAGAAAAACTATCATTTCCAGTTAGTTACGGTCTCCTGGAACGATCGACGGAGTGACATCAGATTCGAAAGTTTAAACTCCACCTAAACAGAAATACTAGCTCCTAAAGTAAAATAAAGAAGATATTCGTGTTATCTTGTAAAGAATTTGTCAAAATAAGTAAATAATACAAGTCAAAATAGTTATAAGTTTCGATAAACATAGGTGGATCTACGCCGAATACGAATGATAAAAAAAAAAATCCGAAATATTCCTACGACTATTGGTCGGAAGCGCGATCGTCCGAACGACGATTGGTTAGAAAGACTTAAAGGGGCGGAGACGTTTTTTTAAATATTTGAATCGAAACTTTTCTAGAAAATCGATTTGTTACTTATTAGAGTAACCGAAATCGATGCATACTTCTACATTCCTGTATCAGATCGATATTCGAGAGGTGTTTAGGCCTACTCTTATTGGTCCGTCGATAACACTACAAATCGCATCACGTGTCGAAATTTGTGTCGTTACGTGATCTAAACAACAATGTTTATCCGAGTTAATACGCGGTCTGGTCTACTACGAATCTATCGAACGACGTTGAATACAAACGAAGTAACTTTTCCGTTTACAATCTTCTACAGATTTAGCCTAAATAAAGGTTTATTTTGTGAACGGAAGAAGAACGAAAACACAACTCGAACAAAGAACTAAGTCTCTAATTGGAAAGTGCACGGTAAACTAACAACTACGTGTGGATTTTACGTATAAATCCATACATTATACTCCTATTGTATTCTATATTTACATAATATCCGTCGATGCATAATATAATACCATTCATCGCCTTCACTATCGATTTTTTTTTTTTTCTAGAATGGCGCAAAACTCCGGGAGGATAACTTAAGAGGCATTAAAAAGAAGAAAAAAACAAAAGTTAAGGTTATAAAATACAAGAATAGAAGAACCAGACACCGAAAAACTTTTAAAAATGGCATTTTCTGAAAAAGTGAGTACGAAACACGAGAACAGCAGGAAGAAATGTGGACGAAACGTTTGGGAGAAGGTCGTAAAAGACAGATGCCATAAAATACATACATCAAAAATTATGTGTTCGGGTTGTTACATCGGACGGGACACTCGAACTTCATATCAGTAGAAGGAATAAGGAACGAATGATTACTTCCGAAGCATCACGCTAGAAAAAAGTAAAACCAATGTTGAGAGAAGAAAAATTACATTTTTCCGAAGTGTTTTTAAGTTATTTCATTTTTCAAACGAGAAAAATACTGTATTATAGAATCGAACCTCTGAAAGATGGCCACATCGACGGGAACATAAAAAATGACCGTTGTTTGGGGGTTATTCAACAAGAAACGACGTTACCGAAAAAATGTTCGCCATTTAGAGGTTTCTTTTATTAGAGGTTCGACTGTATATATATTTTTAAATGATCAAAATTGACCTCCAAAATGGTGAGGAATGACACGCTTCGATTCTAGTCCAGTTTTGGTTTATAATTATTTATTTTAAATATAAAAGTGAAAAATATAAGTCAGACATCTCATATTATTTCTCGTCTACGAGAGTATTACGATAATTTTTTAGTGACGCCCTTAGTTACGTTACAGATCGGTTCTCGGTGGTGACGTGGAAGCGTGACGTCCTTCCACCGAATGGAACCGAATTCAATCCTCGTCTTGCTTCTCGTCGAATGCGCCCTCTCAGTAATCCATCGATGAAAATTTTTTTTTGTCGTGTCAAATTGTTTAATTTCTATTAAATGTCTTGTTAAGTTCTATATTTTTCGAGCGATAAATATTAAATTAATTTATTAAAAATTAAAAACGACTTTTATAAATGTTAAAAAATATATATATAATAAATAATTTTAACGTTACTTTCATGTCTTTCCACGACACTCTTGATTAACGACGGTGTTAAGTTTACACTCTTTAAACTTATTTACAGTTTTAACGTCGTTAGCCACGGGGTTTTTACTTATTAATTAATTTTTTTCGAATTATTTTCACTAAATTTGGTATTAAATTTGTTTTGGCAAGTATGAAAATTTATCAAAACAAAAAGAAAGAAATTATAATTGAATTATCAAGATGTAAATTCGATTGAAGTCGCATAAAGGTAAAACGTCACCGGAAACAAGGCCCTTGGGGTCCATTGTTTCAGGATCGATAAATCCGACACCCCCCCAGCTTCCGGTAGATGCCGATACAGTGGGCCTTCCAGGCCCAATTACTAGGTAATTCTTTTCTGATAATCTTTGACCGACCAAGCCCGGGATGGCACTTTTAATACTAATTACGAGGGAGGAGAAGTATTCTTGTACTCAAAACGAAAGTAAATTAGACGAGTAGCGGAGGGAATTCATCATCTGTACATTTTTACACGCATCTAAAGTAGAGTTGAAGAATTTTTGGCATTCATTAATCGTTCTAAACGTAACAGACAACACAATTACGTATAAACGCTTCGGAAGAAGACTCGCAAATCATAAACTCGCCCCCACTAATGCATTGCATGACAGAAGTTGGCAACCATAATGAAGGCCGGTGGCATTTACATTTATCATTTACTTGTTCTTTACTAAATGTTGTGTGCCGCGATGAAGTATCAAAGATGGATTATGCCATTTTGAAAGAAAAATGTTAAATTCATAAGCTATTCGTCAGACGTAGCTTTATCTTCTGGAAGACAGAACAACGGTAATGGAAAGAGGGTTACATCACCGGTCCGACTGAATCGTTTCTACCCTCGATAAAGTTAAAATATGTAAATTAAGCTTTTTAAATTATATATTTTTAAGTAAGAACGATACGAAATCCATCCAACGAGCGCTTACGAGAGAAATCGGAGTGTAAAATCCGACTCTTAATCTAACGAACCGTTTCGATGGCTAGTCGAAAGCTTGTCGTGTTTTCAATAAATGGGTCCGGGTTAGATGTCGGTTGAAAACACATCTTCATCTATCTAACTACGTTGGTGTTCTACGAAACAAAGCAATTACCGGCAAGAAATATGGTCCATAAGTTGCCAAAAACACACGGAAAGGATCCCACGCCATTCTAGAAAAAAAAAAAAAAAACTATTCAAAGTTTGAACCGAAAGAAAGGAGTGTTTCGGTATAATTACTTTGAATTTTACAAGATAACTAATTACAATTCTTTCTGTCTCTGTCTCCTTCCACCCCGCACCTGTTTAATGATGCTTGTTGGTATTTCCCAATTAAAAAAAAAGGGGGGGAATGGGAAATTGTTTCGATTTAGAAAGTAAAACTGATTTGTGTCGCTATCGATCCAATCGGAAGACCGATACACAATGTCTGGTTTGTAAGAAATCGGTCGCCTGTAACTCCTAACACATAAATTGGTTTGGCATGTGAATGTGGACGTAACAAACTTCTCCCGTCCACTCGTACGTATTGTACAAATTGTACAAACTATACGGCAAAGACAGTTTTACGGGCTCTTCCGAGGAGTGTGGATAGTAGATAACGCGGGATGATCGTTTTTCCTTCCTACGAATCGGCGAAGGGGAACCGCGAAGTGTTTTATTTTGGTTTTTTCGGAGGGATTCCGTATCGAAATTTATTTATATTTTCGGCGTCGACGGTACAAAGACCCCGGATCGACCTTTGTTTATGCGTGGCGTCGAGCGTAGAAAATCGATAGAAGTCGATGCGAGAAGAAGAGTCGCCTCCGAGCCAATCGCCTTTTCGCCTTTTGGAGTGTTGCCAACTTAGAAGATTCGATAAACAGAATTTGCACTTCAAAGTATCGTCGATAACCATCGTAATTACCCATAATGTACTTCGATTGTAAAAGGAATTCCTCGAATTAACGCATTTAGAGCCGTAGAAGATGGAGGTAAAAGCGAGAGTCGATACTTATCAGTAAACACGCCAACGAGTATCGACGGACGTCGATCGAATCCGAAATACGATCGCGATACCGGAAGGGAGAGAGCATCGATTACGTCATCGATCTAAGTCGGGAGCATTTGCTAACACCGTAAATAAAGCTCGGCATTGTGACGTTTAACGGGTCGAATGTCCGACTGCCGTCTCTTCCATCTCGGGGAGGGGGGGTTAGTTCGTTCGACGTCGCAAGTAATTACCTCATTCGCCACCCGTTTATACGTATAAGAAGTGGTATATATATATATATATATAGCGTAGGACGTATCTCGTTTTAAATAAATTTGTAAGCTAAACACGCGTTAGAGACTTACTTTAGTGTTTTTTTTTTTTTTTCACGTATAAGAAGAGCAACTTAAGTCTCTATCGGTTTTTATTATTTATAAATTTTCCGGTTTATAAATTATTCAGATGGGATATTTTTGGAAATCGCTCATAATCGAGTATCCGATATAAATTTCTTCCTGTTTCTTTACGTAACCCGAGTACTTTAAACGTATAAACTTACGGAAAATCCAACGATGAAGATACACAACCGAATTTTTTATGAAAATTTCGAGGTTTTATTTGAAAAACTGAGTCTTTTCAATGATTTTCGTTCCTCCCTCCCTCCAAACCGAGCAGTTCGAACTGTTTAAAAAGTAATTTTTTAGAAAATATTTTTTAAAAAAAAACACTTATAACGAGTGTTCGATATAATATNTTTACTCTCCCTTTTTTTTTTACTTTTTTAATGCATTAAAAGGGTAAAAAATGGAAGCAGAAGTTTTTGTAAAGTGACAGAATTAAATCCTGAACAAAAATAGAAAAAAAATGTTTTCTAAAACAAAGAAAAAAAAAGCATTAAAGATACATTAATTATAAAAGGATTTTCTGAACACAACTTTTACATTTTTTCCGGATCAAGAAACGTCTATCAACATCCCACTCGATCGTGTTAAATACAATTCTTCTCTTCTCCAATCCGTTTCCTCCCCCCCAAAAAAAGAGCATCACCGAGCAAAACATTAAAAAAAATCCATGATAGAACTAAATCGAAACGAATTTAAAGATTTTCTACATCAGAAGATGACATAAATAATTCAAACGGATTAAATTTACAATTAAAATCACAATGGTTAACGAGGATGGGTCTTCCCAACCTTTTCTTTACGTGCGGCTCCTTTCTAGTTTATAAGACGCTCGCGAGCTACTAGTTGCAAGGGGGTGAAGACTCTACGCGAGGGAGGAACTTTACCAGAACTCCCTACAGTTATTTATTCATTATTTATTATAAACACGTAAAAGTAATTTATAATCGTAACCTTCGTTTCGATAATATTAATTAACCTAAAGAAGCACTGGGAGAGGATGATTGACGTAAAACACATATTAACACAGATTTATGTAAATTTTATTAGATTATTATTATAATAATTTAATAAATTTAATGTAATTAATACTAATTAAATATTGTTTTTTTTTTTTACTTCTAAAAAGAGGGATATTTTGGAGACTATTTACATATGCTAAAGGCCTTCTTCTTTCAATAATATACAGTCGACACCCCTATAAGATATAGATACGTTCCATTCTTTGGAAACAGTAAAAAACATCCTATAAGATATAGGGGGTTTTTTACTGTTTTTTACGGATACCGGTCACAATTTTTTCGTAGTTTTATAGGAATCGTAATTATAGGGACCGTAATTATAGGGGGGTCGACTGTATATATATACACCGGAACTAACCTTAGAGGAATCGATGACACAAGCTCCTATTCCGGAACATACTTCCGCTCCGGGTAAGCGAATACACTCGGAACTACTGAGTGTGACGTTAAGGGTCCAAGAAGCGGTACACTCAATTCCGGGTATCGTCGCTTGAACTGTAAAGAAATTAATTTACATTTTAATAAATTTATATTCTCCAATCTGCACGCGACTATACCAACACTAAATGCAAAAATACCGTGTTTTGCTTAATTACGTATTCATTAGATGCTAAATACGGCGGAGGCACGCTCTTGTTCCCGGACCAAAAAAAAAAAAAATGGTCGAAATTTTTACTATTTTACTACACGAACGAAGCTAATCTGTCTAAAATATTAAAATAAAACGGTTCCTTAATTGTAAATGCATTTTCTAGAATAGAAAATTAAATTATGTCATTTAAAGTGTTTAAATCTTCGCAGTTTAAAGAAAGAAAAACGGGCAAATAAATATGGTGGGCTCGACTTAAACAGAATAAATTGTTTAAGAGCTACAATCAAGAAAAAAAAAAATAGTAGTTCTAATGACTTTAAAAATAGTTTCTGTAGTCATTTATATCTTTTCTTTTTAACTTTCAATTGCTCGGAAAATTCGTTTAAAAAGAAAAAAATGGCAAAAGTAAACAGTAATTTTGCACAATGGAAGCAACACGTGATAAATGGTACTTTTCTTTACGGTAGAGGCGCCGTTCTAAAAGAATAATTATAGAAAAGTTTCATAGATCGTACGGGCTCTGTCACGGGAGAGTCTGCAATTATATAAAGAGGCCTTCGAAAAGATACGTGCCCCCGATCTATCTCGATTTCCGAGAGGCCTTGCATTCATAAAATTAAACGTTACTCTACATCAACGGGTGATTTGGGGTTATAAAGAGCCCTAGACAAGCGCGAACTAGCGAGGGGTCTATTATATACGTCCATATAGTGTAAAACCGTTCACACGACACGCGATCCGTACTGTATTTCGAGTAACTTTAATTAATAAGACTCGAGTGTCGGGGTTCCTAAAAGCGTGAGAACTAGTTAAAGGCCTAGTTACGTACGCTAAATCGTCATCGTTTATATAAGATAATAATCGAGTGGTAAAATTCACTTCACGATTTCAAGTGGATGCATTTTTTTTTTACGTCAGGAAAGTAGGAAAGACGAACCTCTTAAGATGTGTATGCCCGGAGGAAGTAATTCCGTGTCGAAGGTGACGTTTCCCGGAAGATCGAGAGTCCACTTGGCCAGTGTTTCGGATGGAAGAGGAGAGGAATCGCACAATTCCGATTCGTGCGTCGACACCATGTGAAGAGTAACGGTGACGTTAGTCTCGTTAACGAAATCGCTGTCGAACACCCGATTCACTGACAATCTGTAACGATCGATTCGTCAACGTAACATCATTAAACTTATAACTTTACATTTTCTTTTTTAAGATTAATAAAAACTAAAGTTATTAGCGAAGTTGCAGCCGAAGTTTTCATCTGTAAAACGTGAACGTCGAACGTCGAGCGCCGCTTACTTATAAGCGGCGCTCGACGTTCGACGTTCACGTTTTACAGATGAAAACTTCGGCCGCAACTTCGCTATTGTTATTTATAAAAAGTGAAAGGAGTTTTAAGTGACAAACTTGTACATTTCATCGTGAAGGAAACTTTTTAAATAATGGATATTGTAGACTAATCCCGAAACATTTTACATCTAGTAATTAGTGGGAAGTACTGTACTTCGAGTTGTGATACACGGGATTCATCCAACTTCAGCATTAATTAATTAGATTTAGGAAGGAAAGAAGTATCAACTTCCGACGTGTAATTTATGTCCTCCGTGTTTTAAAAACATTTATTCAATTATTTTTGGACTTAGATTTATAGGACGCTTCAAATATTCACGTAAGACATGCAAAATTTGCACATGTTTTTATCACTCCTGTAAGTAGTGTGTTGACAGACTAGAAGCGACCAATCAGAAGCTACGTATTGTGATTTAAATCCTCGCTTCTGATTAGTCCGTCGACTCACGAAACTGTTGTAGTACTCGTATAGTAAGAATCGACACTTCCAGATGTGTACACGTAGTTTACGAGCTTTATATTGTATTTTTAAAAGCCGGGAAACTTAGTTTCTCAAGTGGCATTCCTTACAAGAAAACAAATTAGAAATTAATTGGAAACACTCTGAATTCCCACTCGACAACAAAGAAGAACGTTGTAATTAACTCCTTTCACTTTCTTACAGTCAATTATAGAACATTATTAATTATAAAACTCATTGTTTACTTATTGTTTTAGATAAGAATACAAAGGATCGATCGTCACTTTTGATTAATTCTCTTTTAATTGTTCTATTCTTCTCGATAAAAGTTTCCACATTTTATACTGTTTGATTATTGTGTATTTAAGAAAATCGAAGGTTTGTAATGAAAAATACCTACACCAGTCCGTCACTTTCTTGTAATTCCACTTTGAGGGGTGGAGATGCGGCATTCTTAAATTCTTCCGTCAGATTCGTCATATGAGGACAAGTGGATTCGAGATGGCAGGCAATCTACAAAATAAAATAATACGTCAGCCGGGTCTTTGATAACATTACTTAAAATATTCAAGAAAAATCCCCAGAATCTTGCGTGATGTAATTAAACACGTTCAAATTGATGACGTTAGTACGACATCAATTTAAATGTCGTTAATTATCTTGTAGTTTGTCATCCTAATTATTGATTTGGTGTAATATTTCTATACCGACAAGAACCGTATTTGAATAATTTAAGGTATTTTTGACACTTTCTTATGTTAAATTATAGATCCGTGACATTAGTTTAGCTCGCCTTCGACGGGATCATTATTTTTCTTGGGGTTAAGATTAACACAAATGGAAACTGGTAGGTTGTGGATTTGTACTTTCTTCACGTGTCTAATACCTAAATTCCCCATAGAAATCCTCCCGGGAGGCACTCTTCTCTTGACAGATCACACACATGTTGCATTGCATTATGCCATCAATGCAATACAACCACTAACGTATCAAGTACGCGGTGATCACGAAATCTTCCCATTATGTTTCATTAGAGCAATGGAATATTTCGAGAAATCAGAAATTGTATTGCCTAGTATCAGTCTAACATGTATCTAACTTAGTGTCAACATGTATCTAACTTAATGCCCGTCCGTTGTCTGGAGAAATAAACGGCCATATATACTAACAGATAATAATTTCGTTATATAAAAATCTCTAATTTACCTGCATAAATTAAGCCGAGTATTCGCAGAACATATCCTTTCTCGATTTAACGCATTTCTACGAGATATTCGATCTTAATTTGCTACGTAAATTGCGACTGTGTTGTTTTTTTATAGCTATTTGTCTTTATAGTATACTTACTAAACACGCATTGCACACTTAAGAGAACGTCATCATTTCTCAATTTGCTCTCGTAAATTTTAGTTATATAGCATATAATAGTAACTTGTATCAGTTCTTCCTTTTAATGACTACTTAAAAATGATAGACCTGAGCAAACAGTTGAGAAAAACTATCATTTCCAGTTAGTTACGGTCTCCTGGAACGATCGACGGAGTGACATCAGATTCGAAAGTTTAAACTCCACCTAAACAGAAATACTAGCTCCTAAAGTAAAATAAAGAAGATATTCGTGTTATCTTGTAAAGAATTTGTCAAAATAAGTAAATAATACAAGTCAAAATAGTTATAAGTTTCGATAAACATAGGTGGATCTACGCCGAATACGAATGATAAAAAAAAAAATCCGAAATATTCCTACGACTATTGGTCGGAAGCGCGATCGTCCGAACGACGATTGGTTAGAAAGACTTAAAGGGGCGGAGACGTTTTTTTAAATATTTGAATCGAAACTTTTCTAGAAAATCGATTTGTTACTTATTAGAGTAACCGAAATCGATGCATACTTCTACATTCCTGTATCAGATCGATATTCGAGAGGTGTTTAGGCCTACTCTTATTGGTCCGTCGATAACACTACAAATCGCATCACGTGTCGAAATTTGTGTCGTTACGTGATCTAAACAACAATGTTTATCCGAGTTAATACGCGGTCTGGTCTACTACGAATCTATCGAACGACGTTGAATACAAACGAAGTAACTTTTCCGTTTACAATCTTCTACAGATTTAGCCTAAATAAAGGTTTATTTTGTGAACGGAAGAAGAACGAAAACACAACTCGAACAAAGAACTAAGTCTCTAATTGGAAAGTGCACGGTAAACTAACAACTACGTGTGGATTTTACGTATAAATCCATACATTATACTCCTATTGTATTCTATATTTACATAATATCCGTCGATGCATAATATAATACCATTCATCGCCTTCACTATCGATTTTTTTTTTTTTCTAGAATGGCGCAAAACTCCGGGAGGATAACTTAAGAGGCATTAAAAAGAAGAAAAAAACAAAAGTTAAGGTTATAAAATACAAGAATAGAAGAACCAGACACCGAAAAACTTTTAAAAATGGCATTTTCTGAAAAAGTGAGTACGAAACACGAGAACAGCAGGAAGAAATGTGGACGAAACGTTTGGGAGAAGGTCGTAAAAGACAGATGCCATAAAATACATACATCAAAAATTATGTGTTCGGGTTGTTACATCGGACGGGACACTCGAACTTCATATCAGTAGAAGGAATAAGGAACGAATGATTACTTCCGAAGCATCACGCTAGAAAAAAGTAAAACCAATGTTGAGAGAAGAAAAATTACATTTTTCCGAAGTGTTTTTAAGTTATTTCATTTTTCAAACGAGAAAAATACTGTATTATAGAATCGAACCTCTGAAAGATGGCCACATCGACGGGAACATAAAAAATGACCGTTGTTTGGGGGTTATTCAACAAGAAACGACGTTACCGAAAAAATGTTCGCCATTTAGAGGTTTCTTTTATTAGAGGTTCGACTGTATATATATTTTTAAATGATCAAAATTGACCTCCAAAATGGTGAGGAATGACACGCTTCGATTCTAGTCCAGTTTTGGTTTATAATTATTTATTTTAAATATAAAAGTGAAAAATATAAGTCAGACATCTCATATTATTTCTCGTCTACGAGAGTATTACGATAATTTTTTAGTGACGCCCTTAGTTACGTTACAGATCGGTTCTCGGTGGTGACGTGGAAGCGTGACGTCCTTCCACCGAATGGAACCGAATTCAATCCTCGTCTTGCTTCTCGTCGAATGCGCCCTCTCAGTAATCCATCGATGAAAATTTTTTTTTGTCGTGTCAAATTGTTTAATTTCTATTAAATGTCTTGTTAAGTTCTATATTTTTCGAGCGATAAATATTAAATTAATTTATTAAAAATTAAAAACGACTTTTATAAATGTTAAAAAATATATATATAATAAATAATTTTAACGTTACTTTCATGTCTTTCCACGACACTCTTGATTAACGACGGTGTTAAGTTTACACTCTTTAAACTTATTTACAGTTTTAACGTCGTTAGCCACGGGGTTTTTACTTATTAATTAATTTTTTTCGAATTATTTTCACTAAATTTGGTATTAAATTTGTTTTGGCAAGTATGAAAATTTATCAAAACAAAAAGAAAGAAATTATAATTGAATTATCAAGATGTAAATTCGATTGAAGTCGCATAAAGGTAAAACGTCACCGGAAACAAGGCCCTTGGGGTCCATTGTTTCAGGATCGATAAATCCGACACCCCCCCAGCTTCCGGTAGATGCCGATACAGTGGGCCTTCCAGGCCCAATTACTAGGTAATTCTTTTCTGATAATCTTTGACCGACCAAGCCCGGGATGGCACTTTTAATACTAATTACGAGGGAGGAGAAGTATTCTTGTACTCAAAACGAAAGTAAATTAGACGAGTAGCGGAGGGAATTCATCATCTGTACATTTTTACACGCATCTAAAGTAGAGTTGAAGAATTTTTGGCATTCATTAATCGTTCTAAACGTAACAGACAACACAATTACGTATAAACGCTTCGGAAGAAGACTCGCAAATCATAAACTCGCCCCCACTAATGCATTGCATGACAGAAGTTGGCAACCATAATGAAGGCCGGTGGCATTTACATTTATCATTTACTTGTTCTTTACTAAATGTTGTGTGCCGCGATGAAGTATCAAAGATGGATTATGCCATTTTGAAAGAAAAATGTTAAATTCATAAGCTATTCGTCAGACGTAGCTTTATCTTCTGGAAGACAGAACAACGGTAATGGAAAGAGGGTTACATCACCGGTCCGACTGAATCGTTTCTACCCTCGATAAAGTTAAAATATGTAAATTAAGCTTTTTAAATTATATATTTTTAAGTAAGAACGATACGAAATCCATCCAACGAGCGCTTACGAGAGAAATCGGAGTGTAAAATCCGACTCTTAATCTAACGAACCGTTTCGATGGCTAGTCGAAAGCTTGTCGTGTTTTCAATAAATGGGTCCGGGTTAGATGTCGGTTGAAAACACATCTTCATCTATCTAACTACGTTGGTGTTCTACGAAACAAAGCAATTACCGGCAAGAAATATGGTCCATAAGTTGCCAAAAACACACGGAAAGGATCCCACGCCATTCTAGAAAAAAAAAAAAAAAACTATTCAAAGTTTGAACCGAAAGAAAGGAGTGTTTCGGTATAATTACTTTGAATTTTACAAGATAACTAATTACAATTCTTTCTGTCTCTGTCTCCTTCCACCCCGCACCTGTTTAATGATGCTTGTTGGTATTTCCCAATTAAAAAAAAAAGGGGGGAATGGGAAATTGTTTCGATTTAGAAAGTAAAACTGATTTGTGTCGCTATCGATCCAATCGGAAGACCGATACACAATGTCTGGTTTGTAAGAAATCGGTCGCCTGTAACTCCTAACACATAAATTGGTTTGGCATGTGAATGTGGACGTAACAAACTTCTCCCGTCCACTCGTACGTATTGTACAAATTGTACAAACTATACGGCAAAGACAGTTTTACGGGCTCTTCCGAGGAGTGTGGATAGTAGATAACGCGGGATGATCGTTTTTCCTTCCTACGAATCGGCGAAGGGGAACCGAGAAGTGTTTTATTTTGGTTTTTTCGGAGGGATTCCGTATCGAAATTTATTTATATTTTCGGCGTCGACGGTACAAAGACCCCGGATCGACCTTTGTTTATGCGTGGCGTCGAGCGTAGAAAATCGATAGAAGTCGATGCGAGAAGAAGAGTCGCCTCCGAGCCAATCGCCTTTTCGCCTTTTGGAGTGTTGCCAACTTAGAAGATTCGATAAACAGAATTTGCACTTCAAAGTATCGTCGATAACCATCGTAATTACCCATAATGTACTTCGATTGTAAAAGGAATTCCTCGAATTAACGCATTTAGAGCCGTAGAAGATGGAGGTAAAAGCGAGAGTCGATACTTATCAGTAAACACGCCAACGAGTATCGACGGACGTCGATCGAATCCGAAATACGATCGCGATACCGGAAGGGAGAGAGCATCGATTACGTCATCGATCTAAGTCGGGAGCATTTGCTAACACCGTAAATAAAGCTCGGCATTGTGACGTTTAACGGGTCGAATGTCCGACTGCCGTCTCTTCCATCTCGGGGAGGGGGGGTTAGTTCGTTCGACGTCGCAAGTAATTACCTCATTCGCCACCCGTTTATACGTATAAGAAGTGGTATATATATATATATATATAGCGTAGGACGTATCTCGTTTTAAATAAATTTGTAAGCTAAACACGCGTTAGAGACTTACTTTAGTGTTTTTTTTTTTTTTTTTCACGTATAAGAAGAGCAACTTAAGTCTCTATCGGTTTTTATTATTTATAAATTTTCCGGTTTATAAATTATTCAGATGGGATATTTTTGGAAATCGCTCATAATCGAGTATCCGATATAAATTTCTTCCTGTTTCTTTACGTAACCCGAGTACTTTAAACGTATAAACTTACGGAAAATCCAACGATGAAGATACACAACCGAATTTTTTATGAAAATTTCGAGGTTTTATTTGAAAAACTGAGTCTTTTCAATGATTTTCGTTCCTCCCTCCCTCCAAACCGAGCAGTTCGAACTGTTTAAAAAGTAATTTTTTAGAAAATATTTTTTAAAAAAAAACACTTATAACGAGTGTTCGATATAATATTTTAGTGAGAAATTGAAAATTTTTCTATTACATTTCACATTTATTTTAAGAAACGGCCCCGAATTTGACGTAAATTTGACTTCAAATTAAAATTTCAAAATTGTAATTTAAGTCAGGAATTTTTTTTATTTTTTTTTTATTTTTAGAAAACTTATATTTGTCATCCGTAATAAAAAAAAATACATAGAAAGTTCTTTTTTTTTCTAATAAAAGTCCAAAAGTTGGGCACTCTTCCAGAGAATCGTTCCTTCCATTCTAAGAATGCCAACTTTTCTAAAAGTTGGATTTTTACAAGACATCGATGAATATAAATTAAATAACTAATTTTAAATTCGAAAAAAGTAACTAGTTAGTTACTTTCTTCAACAGAAAAAACACTATAAATCCAGGTAATTCAGAAATTCAGAAATCCTCCTCCTCCTCCAAGAGGTAACACTGGAGGAATAGAGTTTGCCAGCTCTTTCCGAAGGTTAAACTTTAAATTAAACCGTTCGAGTATACTTAATTAGGTATAAATTCTATCTCTGTACTCATTCTACGCCATTAGAATTCAGAAAACAAGAGTAAAACCACCGAAACAACGCGCTTAATCCATACAAAGTCGTTAAACTCCGTAGACTAAACCATGCGAAATGATTAGTTTTTTTTTTTGCTCTTTGATGGTTTTTTCCGAACTCGCTGCCATTTTTTTTTTTTAAATTTTAGCGATTTATTGCTGAGAAAACTCGAAAAAAACATGGTGAAATTCGATTGCGTAAGCGTTACGCAACTCGGAATTGGGCGTTTCGAATCGTTGCAAAGCGATGGCGTGCTCGATAGTCGATGTCCATGAATTATATACGAAGTTTAATCCATTGTCCTACTTACCCTAACACACTAACCTAAAGCATTCGTTTAGTATTTATAGACGATCGAACTGACATTCGCCATTTGTCATTTCTTACAGACATATATTAGTGTAGATTTCCAATTTATAAATCCGGATTATGGCCACGAAAGCCGCTTTGTAACGAGACGTAACCCCCCCTCTAATGGTTAACAAACGAAAGTTTTCGATCCTTCTAATACTTAATTAATAATCGATTCCAAAGTTAATCGAGTTTAATTAATTAATTCTCTAATTTCTCTCGCACCCTGTACTAATCTGCGAAGTTTACCGCAAGTATCGACCCCTCCGGAGCCCATTTTTTTTTTTTTAATTAAGAAGAGAAATATTTATGTTTAGAGTTGTGTAATTTAAGCTTCTTCTTTTTTGGGGGGTGGTTGTTAAGTGGAGAAAGAGAGAGAGGAAAATAATTTAATTTGATGACGCTTTTTAATTAACCCGTGTAATTTCGTCGCTACGGGAGAGGTGGAAAACACCAGAAAAACTAATTCGAGGATAAAAAGGTCGAAGTAATTACACTTTACGTGTTAAGTAGTGTTATTATCGAAGTCAATTATTGAACAGAAACAAAAGAACTCGAGGAATTTCTAGTGTTTAATGAGACATTTGCATGACAATACTCCTATACAAACAAAAACACGGGATAAAAATTTGCCACGCTAATTCGTCCACGCCGGGCACTAAATCGTAAATTTCACTTCCAATTATCTAAATATTATAAAACTATATAACGATCCCTACGAATAAGAGCCGAAAATAGGGACGGAGCGCTTCGCTTTATTCATTTTTTTTTTTTTTTCGCACATAATGGGGTCATATCGGAGGGTGGTAATATCGCAAACTGGAGGAAACAGACGATGCTAGACCAAGACACACGATACGTTCTTTCCAGCGACCGCATTAAATTCCACGACCTCCGGATCGATAAACCGTTCTCTCTATATACAAACGTATCCCCGCTTTGGAATTCTTTGAATAGACATCTTTGTTTTTGTCACTCTTGCCATTTGTTCGGCACGCGCATCTTCTACTACTCCCTTCCTCGCTCTCCAAACACTCGCGGTTTCTGCACGTCCTATAGAAAGTGTTCTTTATAAAAATCCCAACCTTTTAACACGGCCACTGTTATTTGCAGTGTAAATAATGGGGAAGCGTTAAGAGATTTTACGCCCCTCTAACGCAAATTTCTAACGTTGACAGTTTGGCGGAAACGAATTAAAATGTGCAAGAATTTGTACTCCGATTAACCCCGTTGTAAATCCCTCCTCGTTTTAACGTTATCGACACTTTGCTCGATTTTTCCGGTGGAAAATAATGGATCGGTCCGTACTTTACTCTTCTAAAATTAAACGGATGGTAACGATCCGTCACACGAAGTTATCTCGAGAACGGCCGGTGTTACGTTTAAACGCGCGAATTATAATTTAACCAGAAGGGTGCCGAACTTCTGTCTCCTCGCGCTACGCGCTGGAGGTGTCGTAAAGGTTTACGCGCGTAATCGATCGAGAAGAGAATTCTTCGCCGAATGATCCCGGGGTGTAAGTACGCGTTACGACCGCATTGCGCGAGACGTCGCGTGTCCGATACGGGAATTTGCGTATCCCGGAAGTGACGTAGTGCCCGGAAACGGTACTTACGTTTCCGAGGTTCAAATCGGTGCGAACGCCTCGAGGATCTTCCCTCCAAAGACGTTGGTCGGGATCGAGAGGGGGATCGGAACAATTCGAGGGGCTCCGAATTTGGACGACATCGCCGAGGGGCGAAAGAGGAGCCACCCATCGACAGTCGACGCGACTCGAAAAGATAATCACGAGGAAAACTAAGTTACGTATTCCTACGGAAGTCATGACGAAGAAAATTACGGAACGACGAGTTCCAGCGGCATCCCGACTTTTGGAGGATCGGATAGAGGGCGCCGTCCAGAAAATCGATGCGTGCGCCGGAATCGACAAAAATGGCGGAATGCGCGAGCATCGTCTAAAACCCCTTCCCCTTCCGACTGGCTACTCGCGGGCATTGGCGCATTCGTTCGAATTAAAATATTCAAATTTCCACGTCCCTCAATCTTATCCGCCCGTAAACTAACGCCATTTGGATAATGGAATGTTAAAATCCACTTAATGCCCATCTAACTCAACTTCCTCCCTTCTCCCATCCCCTAACTCTAAATTAATGCGGGAAAACTATTTTCCAAACTACTTTTCTTAGAAATTCTTGCCATTTCCATCGCCTCGTCACCATTTCTCCGAAGATCCAACGGGCGGAAGGTCGGCGCGAACCACGGAATTTCGGAGGATCTTCGGAGGATTTCTGAAGAAGTTGATTAATTTCCGGTGTAGGATGCGGGGAATCATCTTGGAGGAAGTTTGGACGGGGCAGCAACGGGAAGAAGAAGAGAAACGATGAGAAAAATCCAGATGTTTCTACTCCCACGGATAATTACTAAACCCGTCGATGGAAGTCGAAAATTTGGCAGGAGCCATAAAAAGAAAACGGGGAGAGGGAAAGAATATATCAGTTACCATGGTTACCGGAATATCCCCCTAGTTAGACGTCAATTATTTTCCCGAAACGTGAATTCGTTACGTGAAAACGTCGACTTCTCCCCATTTTCTAGAAACCGTTCTCATCGATTTTTATTTAATAAACATTGAAATTTTATTCGAATTTTCTTACTTCCTCATCGGAAATTCGATTGAAAAATTTATCAAATTTCCATATATTTACGCTTCAAAAAAAAAGAAAAAACTATAAAGAAATTGCTAAAAACGTTGACGCAAAATAAACGTGATTTTTTTATATAATAATTTGACTAGAAACGTTTGTAGTTGGCCCGATCGATGACGGGGTGTGTTTTTTTTTTATTTTTTATTTTAAGAAGCTCTTCAAAATAAAATCAATTAAATTACGACTTTTTGGATGTTCCCGAGAAATTTATAAAGTAAAATTTTAGCCTTTTTTGGAACGGAATTTTATAAAATTTGATTTAATGACCGTTTAAAAAAATAAAATAAAATGGTTTATGGACCATTAAACGTTGCGGGATCTTCTAAAAATTCTCTAAAAAAGCTGAAAAAACCAATTAAAAAAACTCAAAAATTGGGACATTTTAGAGTTATTATAACGAAGTTTACTCTGTTACAACGTAAATGTGGAAATTTTTGTAATTTACTCCCGATTCCTGCGTAAAAACCGATTAAATTAGAGGTTCCTAAGGCTTTTAAATCCATTTTTTCCTGTTAGAAGGTAAAAAGGTAAGTTTTATAAGGGTCGGGTAGAGTTTTTAGACGTTTCCCGAGTCTTTCAATGGGTAATTTCATTGATTTTTTTGAAAGGTTTCAAAAAAAACAACCCCATCATCGATCGGGCCGACTGCAAATTTATACAAAAGGAAACGAAGTTCTTGGAGTTTTTTATTTATTTATTCCTCATCTACGAAATAATTACAATTAATTTCATGGTTTAATTATATTGTTTAAGTTGCGTAGAGAATTGGATGATTCACGAGGCGATAAAATTCCAAAAATGACCATCCGAAATTATCGTTTGCCACTCGAAATTATGGGTTTATCGTTAATTACATTGTTAATATTCGGGTGTTTTATCTAACGATTCGTTCCTCCTACGCTTTAATGTCCGTTCGGAGTAGTCACGTGATCGAAATTGGGATAATGGCCAGATGGAACCGCGATTGCGGTTATCTTTCGCGCAATTTCTCAAGATTTTTATCGTTTAAAAGCGTTATTACGGGACCAAAAACGCTTACGGAATCGACCGTAAGTGGATCACGTGTCTATCTTGGCGTGAAATTTTTGTTTTTAATTGTTAAATTGCGTAAAAAGCATTTTGTTTTGTATCCAAAAAAACAATGGGATTTTGGGAGGAAACAAAAGTTTTTTGGAGCACCAAAGGAACAGTTCTTTGTGAGTTGGCCGTTCGGTGATCCCGACGAAAGAATCGGCCGGTAACGTGTTATTATCCTACGGTCAAAAAGGGCAATTGCCTGGATCCCCTACCAACAGGACCCCCAAAATTGATCTTTAATGAAAAAATATCCCTCGAGTCTAGTAGCGCCCCTCGAATACTGCGAATACGTGGACCAAGAGGTACAGTACCTCCGAGGATTTTCTACGAGGAAATTGGTCCTACAAGCGAAGAAAACCCCGTAAACTCCGCCCGGATGCTAATCCACGACCTGTACTTCATACTTTAGAGGTACCAAGAGATGAAAACTTATTCGGCATACCAAAAATGCTTTTTTTGAGTACAAAAAAGTAAGAAATAACTGTTTCTTCCGAGTTACCAAGTCCGAAATTTATTGTCTTGTACGTTTTTTCGTAGAATTTTTTCAAGTAAACTGTAATTAAATTATTAAAAAAAACAATTAGATAAATAAGAAAATTTCCCCCTCCTAACAATATATCAAAATGATTTTAAAATATTGAGCGAAAGAAATTTCCTGCGAGAAAATTTTCTGCCATTTCGTTATAGAAATTGATCACGAGAAAAGCTCGTCAGAGAGATTTTCGGCGATCGAATTCGTCAAAAATTTATAATAATAAAAGAAAAATCTCGTAAATAAGATTTTTAAAATGTTTCCCTGCGGATAAGAGCCGACAATTTTGTAAAATAATGTGAAATTGGAGCGATTAAATCGCAAAAGTCGACATATTTTCAATATTAATGACGTTAATTCTTTCCTCTTGGCGATTTATTTGCCTTCGAGACAAAGAACAAACGCAATTTTTCCACTTTCCAATAAAGTTTTTTCTTTTTTACAATTTATTATTTTTTTTTTCCGAGAATTTCGTAGAAAAATTCCCTAAAAATCCATTATCTTTCCTGGAAAACTTAAAACTTCGCCCCATAAAAATCTATGGGATGTTAAATTCCCAATTATACCATAGCTTTTAACGTTTCCGGGATCGAACCCGCGACTCGTGTTCGTCTTAATGCTCGCCGTACCACCCGATTTAATTAATTAATTAATTTAATTTAATTTAATTACACGAATTGGGTCGGTGGTTCGTCGATTGCTAATCGATTCTCGCGTGTGCATGGGGCGTAACGACGAAATATTGGTAAGATACGAGCGTAGAAAGCGCCGTTTCTTCCTCTATCGTTCGCTATTCGAAATAACGTCCCGCGTGCGTTACGTCGAGTTTATATTTTTCTACGTTAATTTCTATTATAAACATTAGAGTAAGTTACTTTACCTCTACAATTTATTCCAGAAGAGTTTTTCCCATTATTCTCTATCAGTTTGTCGAATTTTTAACAATAAAAAACTGACGAACAATTGTAATTCTTCTTCCTCTGTCAGTCAGTTACGTAAGAAAGAACAATTAAGTTACACTCCTACTGAAATGACTGAATAAGTTGGGCCATCAACATCCATTAGAGACGTCATCGGCCTTCTAGATCGTATCGGGTGTAATCGAGACGAAAATATTTGCCCATAATTTCCGAAAATATGGACCTTTTTCGGATATTTAGTGACGTCATTTCCTGGTGTCGATTAATATTAGAAGTATCGGGAAACAGATGAAGACGAAGCGCCTGTTTAACATCCCGAAAGTGGAGGGTTCTAATTCCCATCGGGGGTCATTTTGGGAGGGTTTTTCTAGAATTATTACTGGTGATCGAAGTCATTAACATAATTTAATTAATCTACACACTTCATATTCTTTCTGAACAAATTATTAGTGTTTAAACATTAAAATCTGATGGAGTGGTGTGAATTTCTAGAAAGTACAGAAACACATAACTCTATATTTGCTATAGAAACATACCGAGTTTAATGGGAAGCGAAGGATAAATATGGTTTATGGAAATGAGAACGAACGTGTTTAATTTCTAAGTGAAGAGTACCGGAAGTGACCGGCAAAATAAACAAAAATGTTAATTACTTCCGCTTAGTTCGTGGAAAACTGAAAGAGTTTAGTCTGGCCGACTTGACAAATTCTTGATGGTTGATAAATTGACTAGCCACATGTACACAAATAGAGCTTCTGAGTTATGATAAATGACATTTAAGACATGTGATAAAATGTATATCGATCATACTCTAAAAATCGATTTTCTCACTAAAACATGTTTCTTATTGTAGATTTTTCCTTGTAAGAAAGAAAGCGCAATCCTATTAATTATCCTATGCTTCTTTGGAATTCCTTCCAATTAAAAATCTTTAAAGATTGATCCTTTTGTTCTGTCATTTATTAATGACAAATATAAGTAAAACAATTGTTTCTTTTATAGATTGTGTAAATCCTGTACTTGTAATGGCGGTACAGGGATAGCAGATTGATAAATCTTCCTTGTTAATAGTTATATGAGTGCTTTAATTATCATTTATGGGTTAAATAATCAATAAAATTATGTGGTGGTTCTTAACTCAAAGTGTAACCAGCGGGTAGAGAGATTTATCTGTATTAAACTTTTTCATCGATAATGGACTCTCTAACTAAAATAAAACTGTAATACAAGTGTATTATTATCAGTTTTAAATATGTCTTTTCTCTATTGTAAACACCTAAACTAGACTTAGATGCTAGATGAATTTTCTTTAGGTACGGCTTAAGAAAGTTAAACTGTGTGTGTGACAATTGAATGATGTTACCTCTTTAAATCCTCAATGAATTTTTCATGGAGATGTGTGTGTATGCATGTTAAAAATTCAAGAGGTGTGAACGATGAGGAAGGTTAAAAACCACTGTTCAAATATAATAAGAGAATGTAATTTAATTGTGGTATTCAAATGTTTATATTTTAGCATTAAAGTTTACCTCAATTTGTTATTCTGCAATGTACTGAGTAAATTGAAATATTCTATTTTAATCATTTATTTAGTGTTTTAAGTCAGAGAAAATTACTTTTCTTATTTGCAATTTTAATATAACTTGAAATATCTTTGTTAAAATAAATTTGTATGCTGACGTACTAAGAAACTTAATTAAAATGAATGAGAGAATTAAACAATTATTATAAATATAGAGTTTTATTAAACTGTTACCTCAAAAATAAATTACAATAGAGAATCCAAAGCACCAATTAACTCAAAACGGTTTTGATTACATTTCGGATGAATATTTTGTGAAATTTAATAAGCTGAGATTGGTTTACCGAAAACCGGTCAAACAGTTAAAACAATCTAAATCATATATATATTTTCATATGAATATTCTTTCTATGAATAAATTCTAAAATATATCTTTATAAAATTGTTTCTTAGTAACAATTCTGGCCTTTAAACTTATACGCGCAATAACGTATTTTAATCTTCTCCCGATATATGAACGGAACTATACATTAATTATGTCTAACGCTTCTATTTTCTCAATGTAAAAGTTTTTGCAAAAGATTTTTATTAAATTTTGCATGTTTGTTACTTTTGCATTATGGTTGATAACAAAATATTAATCTGAAAAATATAAATGGCAATTTTATAATCCACATTTTGGTTAATTTTTGGAAATTACATAAGCAGACTCACTTGTTCCAAGGATGGATAGGCGATGATCATCTGCTGTTCCTCCGTGTAATTCGTCCTTATTAATTGTATTAACTGTTCGAACGTGTTTTGGATCCTTGTCTGAAATGTAATATGAATTTAGGACAACTTAAACCTTATTTCTAAAATGGAAGATGAATTAATTACCTTTATTGGACGAAAAAGAATGTATTCGGTATCCACATTGGCGAGATATAAGGCCATGGTACGTCTCAGCATCGGCAAATAGGATTTCATTTCTCTATAAACCCGACCAACGACTTCGCCCAATTTTTCAGGTGATGCAAACGGTTGATTCGGTAGTGAGACCTGACGAATTGATTCCTCTTTCTGTACTTGTATAATGACTTTTGCCTGCAAATCACAGTTAATTAAGCAATCAAGAATAGAAATTTAATCTTTAATTTAAGATGCAGACAACTCATAAGTAAATAGACACATTGGATGTCAGCAAACGCACGACACAATATTAACTCCAAAAACAATACAATGCCATATTGAAGAAGAGTCTTCTTTCAAAATTTTCCAGTGGGCTAATGGACAGAAAACATTCACTCTGTTTGTGGACAATAGAGCTTCTCGTCACACTGCCAAAAAACACCCAGAATTAGCCAACAACACGATGTGTCCACAAGCTTCTATGAGCCAGTTGGTCGTCCAGCAAATCCCATCAAACCTGTCTGGAATCTGCCGGATTGTGCAATGTGACATTGTTCGGGAAAACCCACTTCCCACAGGGAACTTTTAGATTGTTTGCCAAGCAAACCAACATTCCATGGGCCAAGATAGCAAAACTCATTGATTCCATGCCCAATTGGGTTAAGGTTTAATACACATGTGGCATTTATATCATATGGATATTTTGAAATAAAAGTGTGTCTGAAAATAAGGGCATCTATTTACCTATGGGTAAATAAATGTCTCTGTATATATATATTATTTTGGTCACAGAAATGAAATCTCAACCTTACCTTATCCATAAATGTTAAGAGAGGACCGAGAATTATTTCTGAGCAATGCGATATGAATTCTTCACAAACGACTTTCAACTGGTTGTCGACCGCTTTCTTCGAATCTATTAAATTTTCTGTGACTTGGGGAGTACCCTATTACGTACAAAGTATATGTCAAATCATTTATTAACTTGGAAAATTTGATTAAATTATTACCTCTAGAAGGAATTCCAATAGAGAATTATTTGTGCTGAGTGAGAAAAGTCGCGACTTATTCTGTAACAGACTGTAAGCGGCATCTGAAAAAATTAACGGGCTTTAATAAAGTAAATACGATTTATTTAAGAATTTTGTTACGTAAAGTTAAAAAATAATTGATTTTAAATACTTTTGACGCGACTGAAATCCAATGCAGTCTCCTTGATGGCAAAATCTACTTGAAACGGAGCAATCTGTTCTCTCAAAATAAGCAAGTGTTTAATTTGAAATAATTGTCCATCCAGAGGAGTCTGGAAAAATATAATTGGATTTAAAAAATTGTGGATCATAATTATATAAAAATAAATATATATATAATATTCAAGCTGTGAATTTGAATCCAAGTTATAATCTTAGAACTCTCACAGATACATCAAGCCCCAACCCTCGACACCAGCCAAACCCGAGATGAACACAGGAAAAGGTTTACTTAGTTCCTTGCAGGTTGATCGCATTTGAATTTTGATCGATAAAATTTTTTATAATGAATTTAAGACGAGCTTAGATTTTAGTTTTATGTTACAAAATTAAAAACCATAAGTCTAACTTAAGGAATAATCTATATAGATAAAGGAAACTTCTACTTTTTATCTTTAAAATTATGCTTTAACATAAATTTAAAATTTACAAAAAATAATAAATTTTGACAATAATTAATAAAAAAAAAATGCATTTATTCTAAACTAGAGAATATTACAAAATTAATTACCAAAAATATTCTACTAAATTGAGTATTTAAAGAAGCTAAATCGATAAATATAGTGAAAGAATTATAATTGTTTCAATGATTGCATTATACAACTTCAATAGAAATGGCAAGAGGCAAGAGCATACTAAGAATGTGATTCATCGGCAGGTCCAACAATTCTATCAATGTATACAAAATTGTAAATCTGACAAATAATAGAAGTCTTTGAAAACTGGTTGACAATTTTCTCTTACCAATCAAGTGTCTAATCACTTGTGTTTCCGTATCTTTAGGTGAGCGAATGACCAATAATTGAATAGCAGCACATCATAAATACTTATCGGTCTTTAATATCAAACTGTATTGTCAAAGCAACTTTTATCTTTAACCGAAATATCATTTTAATAAATGAGAATGGACTGATAAATAAGGTTTCCATTTTTATAAAATTACTTTTTAAACAGGTAAAATAACATGACTTGTTCTAAAATGTAGTAATATACATTTATTTTTTGACATACTTTTCCAAATGTTTGATCATTTTGCATTCTGTGCATGGAAAAAATTTCCAATTTTTGCTCAATCCGTTCTCGTATCGCAGCTTGAAATTTTGCAAGCGACAAAAATATTAACCTTTTGATGCCTCCGTTTTTATTTTACTAAATGCCAAACGAACAACCAGAAGCTTGATAGTGCCAGATCAGGCTGTAACGAGTGCATAATAATCTATAATTTTAAGTTATTAAGTGTCTTTGCTATTTCCTTACTGCAGTGTGGTCTTGCATTATCGTGGCATAAAAAAGTTTTCTGGTCTTATGCTCAAATGCTCATAAGATTTTGCAATATATCACTGAATCATTTGGAAGATTGGACACAAAGGGAGAAACAATGCCAAAAATTCAAACGCCAATCGTTGCTTTGTACCTAATAAGGAAGATAACTTTAAGCTTGAACGTGATTATTATACATGAATGCAATGTAAACCAGACTACACACACACACACTGGATACTCAAGGCTACTATTAACTAATTATGTAATGCTGTATCGATGTGTAGTCAGAGCGAGGCTGCTCGCACCTTCATTTTCTAGATTATGAGGGAAAAAAGAAAAAAAGAATCATTCGTTCTCAAGAATATATTTGATTTCTGTTGTATCATTTAAAGGTACAAATATAAGGTCAGAATAAGCCATTAATTAACAGCTATGCCAACATATCATGAAATTCTGTCTATCACTATGGGTCTTGGACTTACAAATTGACTCGTGGCAATCTTTATAGGAACTGTTTAAAAATACTATACAGTCGACCCCCCTATAAGATAGAGATACGTTCCATTCTCTAGGAATCCGCTTTCTTACGAATCCTTCCAATCACAACCCGACACGTATCAAGTTTACGGACTACGGCTGTTTGAAAGATTTTCTTCCATAAAATTAATCGATTCTAGACTAATCCGACTCAACATTTCCAAAATACGTATATATTTTTTGGGAATAATCCGTATAAACTACGCTATAAACAAAAAATTGTAGGATTACTTACCGAGTGTCACCATTCGACATTGCCATTGCTCAACATTGTTTTCGTCGCGGAACAGCTCAGCAAAGAGCGGCCGATTTCTAACAACTTATTTTTCTGTGAAAACTTCGTAGAACTTCGGAGACATCATTAATATAAATAATTTTAATCGCCGTTGAATAAGAAATGTTTCTTTCACAAGAAATGTATAAAATTACAGTACTGTATTAGACTTACGGTACCTAATTTACATACTGACAGACGATAGTTAGCGTAAAAATCTCCGTAGCGTGGCGCCACGCTAGACGGCGGAAATTATATATTTAATTATAACAAAGTTACAATAAGTTAATATATAATTATATATACAGTACCTAATTTATATATAATTAATATATAATTATATGTACAGTACCTAATTTATATATAATTTATATAATACTGTCCAGACGATAGAAATCTCTCCGTAGCGTGGCGCTACGGACGGCGGGAAAGTAGTTCGGCTTCCCGATGACGTTTGAGGTGTTTATAGGGAACTTTTACTATTTTTTACGGATACCGGTAGCAATTTTTTCGTAGTTTTATAGGAATCGTAACTATAGGGACCGTAATTATAGGGGGGTCGACTGTATCAGTTATTTTTTCACTCAGCTGAATGCAACATAGGTAAGACTGACAGCTATCTCTTTTTTACCTATATCTATTTTGATTTTTGGAAGAGTTAATCCCTGTGATTTATATATAGTCATCGAGTATGCTAAGGTAAGGAGAAACTGTCTAGGAGACTGCAATATACTGCCATCGTTCAAAGAGCATGTTATGGGGATTATTGGAAACAGATTACCATAGATGAAAGGTCCCCGATAGCTTTCAAATTCCACTAAAATAAACAGAGGAAGAGCTGGAGGGCAAGCATTAGCAGCATATATAATGTAGCTTATAGTTCCTAGTGAACCATTGATGCGACCTCCTTGCACCCATAAGTTGACTCTTAGCATGATTCTGGCATTATCTGAGAGATTCAAATACTTGGAGAGACCAAGAGCTGAGCCATCTTTGGACAAAGGCAGAGCAATATCTGGAGTGTTTTCGGATGCTATATACGCAACAGGGCACCCAGTTGACTGCAAGTAGTCTTCGTTGCTTTGTTTAACTTGCTCGTTTATTGGATATAGCTCTACTGCCGTTTGGAACTGATCAAGTTCATCTCAGGATAAACAGGCTCGATAAATAGACGCTGCCACAAAGGACGTAGCCTTAGTCAGCTTATTTTGACCTCTAATACTGAAGAAAAATGCAACCTTTGTTTTGATCCTTATCTCCAGTTCTACAAAAATGAATCATTTTTGAGAGTTGAAATTTTAATCAGTTCATCCTTGAGAGATGATGAGTTGTCCTAGAAACTTTAATCAAGATTGGATAACTCATTCTAGAGTTATAATGTTGACAAGAAATGCATGAAGTCAAGTGTTAGTCATCGCTCAGCTTCGCCTCGCTTCGACAACAAGGTGGAGGTAGTCACGTGTTCATATCCCCAAATTTTGTAGAACATCGTAATAGGAGATAAAAATATATTTCAAGCCTAAAGTAAATCTCTTCATGTTTTCAAGTTTTTTACAATACATAAATCACACAACAGCTAGAAGATTTAAGATAAATGATATAAAAAGGGAAGCTAGCTTTGGAAAGAAAAGCATAATTAAACTAGGTAAAAGCATTACTAGAAGGATTAATTAGGAATAAAGACATGCACAAATGATAAAGACTCAAAAATCTCAAATAAAAAAATAATAGGAAGAAGAGAATAGGATTAACAGTAGTTAATGTTATCTACTTCATGATCTGTTTAGTTAAGTTAACATCTACTCATATCAAATGTGGAAGAAATTTAAATGTGAGATATTAGAATTTAAAAGCTTTATAAACATTGCATTCTGAGAATGTACATTCCTAAAGATGAAACTTAAAAAAATTATTTGAGTTAATATCTTTGATTGGATTCAAACCACAGCAATTAAGAAAAATTAAGAATTAAATAACTCATATATTCAATCTAAAAGCTTGATACTTATTAGGCTACATTAAAGCTGTTCAATTATAAAGAAATTAAGTAATTTGGCTAGAGGTAGGTGGTTAAGCAGCCTTCTTATGTTCAATTTAATAATTAAATTATTTCTAATTTAGAATATTCTGGAAAATCCAAAAGATTGGCCTGGAATGGGACTCAAACCCACACGTCTTGCTTATCGTGCAGGCATGTTGCCAGTTATGTACTTTTCTTCTGAATCAAATCTTTTCTTCCGAACAAATTATCTTAGATATAAACGTACTGGTGAATCGTGGAGCCGACCAAAGATAAATTTGGTTCTCATGACCCTCCGTGGCTCTTACATTCACCTCAGCAGGGATAATTAATTTAAATATTCAATCAAACAGCCCAATTCTTATCGGGCTACATTAAGGTTAATTAACTATTAGGAAATTAAGAAACTCGGCCAGAGGCATGTGGTTAAGCGGCCATCTCTTATTAAATTTAATAATTAGAAATAATTTATTTTAATTTAACATAATCAGATAAGATTTCAACTGATCAACTGAATGTTTCAATTGGATCATTGTATATGTTATTAGCCAATTTTCTCTCTAATGTTATACAATAAGTTTAGTTTTCTGTATCAATTTTCTACATATTTCTATTGTATATAAAATTATTTACATCATCTTTTTTCATTTAATAAGACAATAAGATGTTAATTAATTTGAATAATGTGTTACAGACTGCTGTAACTGAAACTATAACAAATTCTTTAAAAAGAAAAGATTTAAAGTCTTTGAATTTATTTGTTTGTTACATATTAATCATTTTTTCACCAAAAGAAGACTTATTATAATGTACTAAAGTAGGTCATTTGAAAGGCTTCTTGTAACCAATAATGAAATTTATATACCTTATTTTTGCTGATTTGATTGCTAGCTGCAATTAAAGATTGAATACACATTGCTAGAACTTCTTGAGATAATCCTTGAAAAATTGTTTTCTGTCAAAAAATAAAATAGTGATTAGATTATTATAAAAATAAAATATTTATTTTTGATTGTGACTCTCTAATTTAATTAGTTTTAATTATTGTCAAATATGAATTAAAGGTAAACATTTGCAAAAATTATAACTATAATTATACAATAAATTTTGAGTGACTAACATGTTATCTGTAATGAATAATTTGAGCCGGGCAAGTGAAGTTAATTTCTTTATGCTTGAATTTCGTTGGATTTAAATAAACTCCTCCGAAACCACTTGAATGATCTTGACCAAATTTGGTATGAACATCAAGTCTGGGTTAACAAATGTCATAGGCTATTAGGGATCCCTATCGGATTGCCTCATCATGAGATATCATGGAAAAACTGTCGTAGACTCAAGTCAAGATTTTGAGTGCTTACAAAGTGTGTGTGGTAATTCAGTTCTGTTTACAAGCATAAACATGTCACTCAATTTTTCTTCAATAATGCTCAAGTTTTGAACAATTTCATGAGATAATTGAGTTTAAACTCCAGCTTAATGACTATATATATATAGTCATTAAGCTGGAGTTTAAACTCAATTATATCAGTATATATATATTGGATGTTTGTTCGTTCACTATACACTCCTAGGCTTTTTGCCCAATTGCTACAAAACTCTGTAATTATGTTCAAATACTTCTAACTTAGATCATGTCACACATCTCACCCCAAAATATCTGATGGCCAGTCGGCCAAATGCTCAAGGTGGCAGCCTACCACTCTGGAGGACCAGGGTTCGAATTTGGATGAGTTGATAAATCCCCAGGATTTTTTGGGGCTGGTTTGTCGGATATGTCGGGCACCATCTCTCATCACCCAGTCGCCCCATTGTGGGTCTGGCCGAACCCATACTGAGCTTGCTATAAGAGGCCCTCTTAGTGCCCACAGGAAAGAAAGAGTAAAATATATATATATATATAAACCCAAAATAGCAATTGCATTTCTATAAATCAATTTTTTTTACAGTTGATTTTCTGTTACATGTAGCACCATCTATTGGTAAAAAAAGTTAACAAAATAATTAACCGAATTCTTACAAAAAATATATATATTATATTCACAAAATTACTGCAACAATAATATAGCTCGAAATAGATGCGCCATTAAATCATTACTGCGACAGTTAGCACATAGCACTTTCCTGCATGAAGTGTAGTAGCTCCTGTACATCATACTTTTCCTGTTAGCAATACAGTTGTGCCGGTTATGTATCTAACTCCATTTGGTAAAAAATTTTTGTATTGAAATAATGTGAATTGTGGTATATACCAGATATTCATATATAGGTAATCTGGTCCTTTTCTCTTAGGATTTCTAAGTCTGGTCTCGACTTTCATCTATATAACTTCTTTCTCGAGATGAAGGAAGAACAGATAAATAAGGGAAGACAGTGGGAATTTATAGGTCTATAATTTTTTCAAATTGCAGCCCAATAATTTTTCCATAACACAATATTTATGAGAACATTCTCCCCATGCAGTTTATATAATTTGTTGCCAAAATTTTAAAAAATTTATCATCACATAAAAGCAATTATTCTAGCATTTATATGATGTTTTTATTTAAACAAGTCATAAGAAGTCCTTCGGACATTAAGGTTAACAACTTTGATCACACGTGGGACCATCACAACCTAACCAACACAGGTTACTTTTCAAATATTAACAGTAAACCAGAGTATTAATTAGTAGTCTTTGACCATCAGGTCAACGACCACTTTTAGTCAAATTACTTCAATCCCCTTCCACAACTGTCTCTTCTTCCTATTGGACTAGCAGTATGGTGGCATTCAAATAGGAAAATTAGACAATATGAGGTTACCAACCTGCGCAAAACGTTTTTAGTAGTTTTAGAGCACGCTGAGTTTAAATATTTAATACATCTTTTGTAATATTTGATTTGTTGGCAGATTATCATTTGATATTTAGGTTGAAAGGTATAATTTCTTAAAATTAACATTAGAAAAAATTATATCTGAAAAAATTTAAGATATTGTATTTTTAACTGGTGTTTACTTGACCAATGAAACTGTGCCATTTTGTATCATTCGAGTATTGCAATAAAAGTGACAATGGTAGGCTGAAATAACCAAACTCTTTATATAGTTTTTGTTTTAATGTTTGTTTTATTATAATAGTATTCGATTTATGTAACTACAAAGGTTATATTACGTAAGAGTTTATCATACCAAGTGAACAATCTAACTCATTTTAAAAATTCTTTATTTCTCTAATGACTAGAGGAATAAAGTTAAAATGTGTTAGATTGGTCACTCAGTGTGATAAACATTAAGATTATTAGATAATTTCATACTTCTAACCCTTATATTATATTACCTGCTAATTCTGCTAGTTCATTTCTATATTTGTAAACAATACTGGCCAACTACACCAAAAAAGCTCGAAAGCTGTTACTTATGAACTGAATTAGATCATTCAAAAGCAAAATTTGAAAGAAATTGAGTTTCCAAATTGGCCACTAAATCAAATATTGTTGCTTCAGAAATATCAAATCTTTTGAAACAAAATAAACTCTATGTTTAAGTATAAATCTTGCTTGGCTCAATTTGTGGGCGTTGAAAGCAATGGGCTGAATCATAGTATCCTAGTATACATGTTTCAAATAATCAAGTCCAGTTTACCAATTTTTTTTTTTTTTTGTTTTTTGATGTTACAATTTTCAACTAAACCCAAAAATATTTGGTTTCTCGAAGAGATTATTTTGGACAACATTAAGATTTTCATTTAAATTTCACATAATCCTGGAATTTTATCACCATATTATGTATAACTCTACAAAGTATAATAAGGTTAATCTTAAAATCTTTTAAAAAAAGACCCGAGTCAATTCTTATATATTTAAAAAAGATAATTAATTGTTAAAAATGCAAATACATTTCAATTCAACAATCCTCATCAGTATCACTTGTTTGACAATTGCTAGAACATTAATTAAAGAACAATATATAATTATAACTTATAATATTCATCATAGTTAAGTTATTACTTACAAGTTTCGACTTTCCGACAATGATCGTCATTTTGTGCCAATGCTGTCAGTACAGTTTTATCTCGGATGAACAGACGAAATGAAAATTTGCATTTTTAACAATTGATTACCTTTTTAAATATAAGCCATATTCTGTATTTAAATTGTAAATATCATTAAATATTTAATTTCGTTTACTTTAACCAAATGAAAAACTTTGTTTTTATTTTAGAAAATCACAACAGCAAATTGTTTTTGTCAGATAAAATTAAGTATTAATAAAAATTAATAACATGAAAACATCCTATATATTTTGTATTATTTGCCAGAAAGAACAGCTATGAAGTGATAACGATTAATATTAAATTGTCATCACTTTTCTTTGTTTCTGTTATCATGGGAATAAACAAATTTTTGGTATTTTTTTTTGGGTCTCTTCTCCTCGTGGATTTGGGCTTGTATGGGAAGAGTCAAGTGGCAAAGGATAGAGCCCAATGTATTTGAACACGACTCAGAAAGTGTTTCTTTCTTGGGGTTCTCTGCTCAAATTTGATTTGATTCAATTTGGCCTTTGACTTGCTGGTCAAACAAGTTTGGTTTTTAAATGTCATGTATTAGTAATATTATATTATGATAAAAAATAAAGATTTAATCAAAATATAAGTACTTTTTGATTTTTTATTTATTCAAAAACACTTTTGGTCTGCATCAAATTGCATTTTAATTAAATAATACTGCAAGTTACTGTTTACTAATTATATAATATTAATTATCAAAAATAAAAAAGCTTAAATCAAAACAAATATTTCTCAGCAATCATTCGTTTCACTTTTAATTTTTGTTTTTTGAAAATTAATATTTTGAAAAAAAAATAAACAATAACTTCCTTTTTGTATGTATGCATATAATAAACTATTACATTCACTTACAACTAAATACGTAATCAGAGTAAAAGTACTTATATTTTGATCAAAATTTGTGTTTCTTGGCTAACGATAATCTCTAATCATTTCATCATTTCAGTTGAAAGCTACTAATTTTAATAATGGTTTACTTGATTAGGAAGCATAAGTTATATGCTATTGATATATTTCATTAATTGTTCTGACATTATTAAATGTGCATTTTAGTTCATATTTTTCTCCAAAGATATGAAATTTATAGTACAGTAACTTATTGAAAAATTCAGAAATATCAAACTCTACTTACATCTAAACATCTATAGAGCTTAGAAAGACAGACGAGTGTTCTCCGAACGGTTGGATACCACATTCCATGCAAGTCTGCAGGAGAATCTACAAAATGACAATATATTATGACATTTTCATTTTTCTTAAATTTCGTTAATTTTCAATATAAGCACATGATAATATTTTTTATTTTATTAAGTAATACGTACAGATATTTCTAGATTTACTATAAGTAGACGCCGTTTCGGATCCGGCAAACAGTTGTTGTTCAGACTGAAACTGACTTTTGTTAGGATTAATTACATGTTCCGAATTACTTATTTTCAAAACTGCTACACCTGCTTCTTCTTCCGTTCTATTTGCCAATGCGGGCGAAAATGTCAAAGACGAATTAGAGGCAAGAGAACTTTTCGAACTGGTACGACTTAGCGTTCCCGCCACTAAACTTTCGGCAATACTCTATAAAATATAAAGTATTTAAAAGTAATAATTAATTTGAATATTTAATTTAACATTTACAAAATATCCTTACGTACTTCCATCATTTCTAATTTTTCCGGGTAGGCAAGATCACCGGCGGCGGGAGCGTAACCAAGAATATCCGACTGTATGTATTTGTGAATGCGATATACCAATCTTTCTTGGACATCTTCTAACAACTGTTGGGCCACTTGTTCAAATGCTTGTAATTCTATGGCTATTATGTTAAATTTCATTTTAATTATAACTCATTTTCATTAATAATAATATAAAAATTAACTTACATTCAGACTGAACATGTTCTTCTAACATTTCAACCTACAATAGAAGAAAATGATTCACTTGATACCAAAATATTAAGTTTCTAGTGTATTTTTGCTTAATTTTACAACTAAACATTCATTTAATAAGCCATGAAACTAAGAAAAAGTGATATGAATGTAAACTACATAAACTGTGTGGCTTGCAAATCCTCAAAATTCTTTTATTTAACAAAGAGCATTTTCAGGAGAATTATTTTGATTAAAAAACTGTCTTCTGTTGTTAACAAAATGTCTTTTCTCTTTCTGCATCTTAACATTTCAAATTATACTGAATAATTTTCTTTTTATTTTAGAATAAAAGAATAATTTCAGTATTTATTATTTTCATATAACAAATTCTGATGATGTTTTATATTTTTTTCATACATTTTTCACATAGTGAGTTTGCTGATATTGCATCTTTCTATATAACAATACAAATAAACTAAAATGTTTTAAATATCTATTTTCTTGTATTGGTTATCTGCTAGTATAAAGTTTTCAATAAAATAACATAAATGTTGAAAATACATCATAGATGGCTGGAAAGCAGAGGCCATTAAGGTGTCGGTCTACCCACAATCAAATCCTGGCAGTTGAAAATTCCCACAAATTTTTTGAGAGTGGTCAGTCCCAGATACATTGCCCATTCCTCACACTTAGCCACCCATTTGTGAACTTGATCTAATTCATGATCAGCCAGGAAAAAGGTCCTCTTTGCCCATAAAGAAACAAGTTAAAAAAAAAAAACTTCATACAGAATGAAGTTTATTAAAAGTTCTTTTACTTTTAATTAAATTTAAGACACCTTTGGTTAAATAGATTAATTCATTTTAAACCATTCTTGTGCGACATACAGGACCATGAAGAGGAGGGAGCTGGAAACTTTCACAGGGCTCAAAGGAAACTTAGGGCTCGTTCGTAAAGTCGAACGAGTTAAACGAGAATGACGTCATCGTTATTCTTATTTCATTAGACTTTTTGAACGATTCGTTTAGAACTAAATGGCTGTTTCTGAAATCGAAGATATGAATGTTGCTAGTACAGCCTTATCCGAAATATTTTTCTTAGATTGCTTCAGGTGGACAGTTACTTCAATCATTTCATCTTTTAATTCACAATTTAAACACTCGAGTAGATTTAGAAACATCGATATCGTCGGGCGCCATTTTCTTAATGAAGTAAACTAACTCTTTCCTTCGTGAACTTCGTTAGAGTTTCGTTCGCTCAGAGCATGCGCACTGAGCGAGACTACTACTATTCGAACGATTCGTTACTAACGCGTTTAACTCGTTTGACTTTACGAACGTACCCTTAAACTCATAGTGGTTCCTATCTCTCTAGTAACAAAACATAATCTTTAAAACTGCTTTTTATTAATAAAGAAACATTTGATGTATTTCATTTGTTCAAAAACAGAGGCCTGCTCTATTCCCAGGTCCCATAAAAGCTATTGATTGCTCCAGTATTATACTGTTAACATTTTCATTATTTTACTGAAAGGTAAATTTAATTTTGATGAATTTCAAGCTTTCTACATTCTAATAACATTAGTATATCACATGATTAACTTCTATTGTTTATTAACAGTCAACAAGTTACTCTGTAGATGTTCAGATAGAAAATTCTATTAAAAAAGAAAATATGACATGCGATAATGCCATTAAAATAGCCTTTCTTTTACATGATTTTTGTAAATTTTATAATACAAATTTTATTCAATTTATAAAATAAATATAAATTATCATTAAATTAAGTGAAGAGAGCGATATTATTTTCTTATATAAAATAGTTTATAAAATTTTTCGATCCATATTTTTAAGCATTATTTATGATTATAATATACAAAAATTTACTAACCTTAAGAATACTGCAAAGTTCTGCTAATGTTTCTAAATGATTGATATGAATGATAATTGGTCTTAATATATCATATAGACGATAGCACAATCTATCCAAGAATTTTCTGAAAAATTCATTTTATTTAGTAGTTTTATATGTAAATAACTAAGCCTAAACTTCTATAGTAATCAAATTGTTTAATGCCAGATTATTTTCAACTGTAATTAATAATTAGCCAAAATATAACCAAAATAATCTGGTGTTACATAATTTACATGTAGGGTCTTCCAAAAAGAATGATGCTACCATTTTAAATTACTGTAATTATGTTAATTTTTGTCCGAGAACATTGTAATGTACAGTACATTAAAACATTGGAAAATCCATCCAAGTTTTACATTTGTCCATTACAATTTCTCAATGAGTGCATCTTGCATCATACATCTGACTGATACTCAAATTCTTCTTATGCTTGTTATGGTAAATCCATTATCACTTCTCCCAAAACAGCCATAGTTCTACAGTTCCTACAGATTACTCATATTGCACAATGTTGAGTGACTCTAATTTTGCAAACTGCAAAGCACAAAATGCTTTCTCTGTTGCAGAGTTGCCATTTTTGCTTACGGTGCTTCCTAGAGATAGTAAACAATAAAATGTTTGAATGTGGATGGGAAACAAAACTCAAATCATAACTATTAATTGGTTTATGTCACATAATTCTCGGATAATAATTAACATAACTACAGTAATTTAAAATAGTAGCATTCATTTTGAAGCCTATGTAGTAAATAAAGTTTTCTTACTTTAGATTGTTAGTTGGTTGAGAGAAAAACTGTTGGAATAAGTGATATTCATCTTCACAAACGTGAACAAGAAAAGCACATCCACTTCTGACTAGCGAGCAATGATCTCTTTGGTGATTATTTGCCAGTTCCGAAATAGCAGCCGATACACTTGGACCTATCAAGAGGTCTCTCTGAGTGAAATAGCACTGATGACAATCTGCTAAAAGTTGTTGATATCTGTAAATAACATAATGTTATAACAACAACAATAATCAATTATATCTTTCTATACACTTTAATTAAACATACTCTACACATTTGTCTACTCTTTCTTCTATCTGTTCCATAAGCGTGTGTATTCTGGGAGCGTGCGTTCGAAATTTTCCATAAAATAAAGTAAATGCATTATCATAAGGACTCAGACTGTCCCTTTTAGGAATTACTTGTTGAGTCGTTTGCTGTAGAGTTGCCACAACATAAGATCGTATCATTGAAAGAGCTTGCGATAACAAATGCTTGAACTGACTTAGATATGTGTTAGTTTCTTTATAATGTTGCTATAAAAAATAAATATAATTTTCTTCTATTAATAGAAGACATAAACTCAGATTTAAAATATTAAACACAAAGTTTAATATAATAAATTTATGTTGCATGCAAGTATTTGCTAGTACAGTTTCAAAAAAGTAATTAAAAATTAAATGAAAATTTATAAAGTATGATAAAATAAAATTAATCATACATTAGTTTCTAAATAAGCAATGCATTCATCCAGTCTCGACAATATAGGAACAAACGATTCACTGAGAACTGTTAAAGTTGGAGATGAAAGTTTCTAGAAAATTAATTCAAAAATAAGTATTAAGTATATAAGAATATACAATTATGTTAATAAATTTAATTGATAACATGTTATTAATAATTATTTAATATACTATAAATTAGTTTATATATTATTTAAATTTGAAAATGATTAAATCTAGCATTCAGAAAGCATGATGATTAGAAGACCTATTCCGAGTTCTTCCGATAATTTAACAAAAGTAATACATGAGACATTTGATAAGTCTCCTTAACAAAAGACAGTTAACGAACCTTAGATGAATCACTATTCTCTGCTCCACGTTAAGTGGGTTTCACTATGGGTAATCGGTTGAGATGCATCTGGGTTCCAGGCTATCGATAGCTGTTACGCTTTAACCAATCACATTAGTTAACATTATCGTTTTGTTATGTGACTGCAACCTGCCGTTTTCCAAGCAAAGCATATGCTTTTGGTATTGTCATGTACCAGCATTAGCCAAATTTATGTCTGTTAAAATGTCATCAAAGAAGGGACAACGCAGCTAATGAACTACAACTTGTCAGTTCGAGATATTAGTTAAAATATTTAGGTTCTAGCCAAGGCCAATTTAGGCATTTTGAGGCCTTAAGCTGAACTGTGTGAGGTCTGTTACCAACCCTTTACAATTTTAGAAGTCAATCATATAAAGAAGAGAATTAACATAAATATCCAGTAGAACCTTGTTTAATGAACATAATTCATTCCAGAATCTTACTTGTAATGTGAAACACTCGTTAAATGAAACGATTTTTTCCATATAAATTAATGTAAAATACGATAATGCATTCCATGCCGAAAAAAATACTCAAATATTTTATATATAATGTTGATTCAAAGACAATTATACAGTATACATTGTTAAGAAGCATGAATCATCATCATCTTTTCTTCTAGCATGGAATGAACCAACCTGACATGCTAATTTGATCTGCAGAAAACAAAAAAAATCACATATAATATGTCTCATAAATGACCAAATAATATGCCAAATTTTTGGACTATGTGAAAGCTATAATTAAATATAAAAAATTGTTTAATTTGACTAGAGGTAGGCAGTTATGCTACTAACTCATATTAAATTTAATAATTAGAAATAATTTATTTCTAAATTAAATTTCTTATTAAATTTAATAATTAGAAATAATTTATTTTATTTTTAATTTAGACATTTCTGGAATTGGTCATTAAATTTAATACGAGATGGTAGCATAAGCCTATCATAGCCTACCTCTAGTCAAACAATTTCTAATATTTAATTTTAGCCTTTACATAGCCCAAGAATTTGGCATATCGTTTGGCGTGTTTACTATATAATGGTCTATGGTTGTTAATATTTACATGTAATATGTCTGAACACAAGTTTGGAGAAATGTCTGATCACAAGTGACACTAAGATGCTAGTGGAACAAGTACTAAACACAGACTAATGTAACATCGCACAATCCAGGATTTCCCCACTTCTCATCACTCATTATGCGAAATGTCGCTCAATTAAGTGGGTCATTTTTTTATAATTTGTTTTGCTCGTTAAGCGAGGTTCCACTGTATTAATTTTAATAATAAATGTTTTATTGTTAAAAAGTATTTGCAACATATTATAGATATAATAAGGTACAATTTAAAGAAGTTAATGCTAAAAATTTCATTTTCGTCAATTTTTGATGGCAACAAAAGCTACTAAAAGCTAATAAAAACTACCTATAAAAATCAAATGAATTTTATATTAAAACAGCATACATGATAACATGATTAAATTTATATTAAAAAGAAAGAATCACTAGAAATGTAGTATAAACAATATTGTTATTAATATAATTAAACACTACACAAAATAAAAAGTAAAGTATATTTTGTTGATCTGTAAAAAAATAAAATTTATTACAAAATTTGACTTCAATTTTCTTTTTGTAGAAAGTTTTGAGCTCCCTTGAAACTCAAGGCCCTAAGCTTCAGCTTGCATAGCTTACTTGTAAATCTGGCCCTGGCTCTAGCTTTTCTCATAATTCATTGCATAAATGTAATAGTAATGGTTTTGAAAGATGATAAAGTTCTTTAAAGCATGTATCATTCAGCCGAAAAGCATTATATAAAAGACAAAAAAAGCAAGATTCACAACAGTCAATGCTAATTTTCTCTCTCTCTCTCTGTAATGTAATATTACTCATGAGGTAATATTACATTACATCTAAAGTTGTCATGCTCTTTTTACTTTCGTTATGTTCTTAACAACAGCTCAAGAATGATTGATAAGACAAGCTTAGTTATTGCACGTAGCTATCAAAACCGAAAACGAAACGTATGGCTCAGAATAGCATTTTCACAGTTGATTAAATGCCAATCACGTGGTTCTAATAAAAACTAATTTTTATCATATTCATTAGCTTAACAATACAACTCAGAATAGATCCCCAGAAAATGCTATCACGGATTTGTCTTGCATACAATAATTGAACATTTGGAAAGTATAAAAGAAGATGGGACAGTCAGGTGATGAGAGACATGATATGGATTGCCAATGAAAAATTCTGGAAATTGCTTGCTCGGATTCGATCCCAGGTCCCACAAAAAAGCAGGTTGACTCTTTAATCATCTTGATCATCACTTGTCGATAAATTATTTTAAAAATCACCAAAGATCATTATGATAATGCTAAATATTATATACTTTTTAACAAATTAACTTAGCAGTTAATTGCAGCTGTGATTGAATTATCATCATATTTATTATATAAGGGTGGATCAATAAATGACCAGCCTACCAACTATGCTTCACCCAACATTTATTGGCTGGTTATTTATTGATACATCCTTATATTAATCTCCTTAATATCTAAAAAAAATCTTATATATTAAGAACAAATTCTTAATATATAAAAAACATAAATTTGCTTTTACCTGAGATATTGAATCCAATTCATTAAAATATCGCAATCGTTCGGAAATTGTCTCGGAGGAGTTTACTAGTTTCGTCTATTAAATTAAACAAAATTTATTAATAATGGAATTTTAATGGCAATATTAAAATTTTGAGAATAAAACTAATGATGAAAACTGTTTGAATTAAACTCTACTTTAATTTTCCCAATTTAATTATAAACTGGAATTGCTTTATCTATCTTCATTTAGTCTCGGAAATAATGCCCACTTAACAATACATAATTGATAAAGCAAGATATGAATTATTAGATGGTCATTATTTCCAAGTTTAACTTAACTTTTCTAATTTAATATTGATTATAATTAAGAATTGAATAGATTTTTGTCTTTAAAGTATTATTCTGTATGGTTATATATTTTTTGTATCATCTTGAATTATGAAAAACTTATTTTAAAATATAATAATTACAATTAATAAAATTTTAGAGATTAACCTGTTCTTCTAAAAGATGCTCGCACGCTTCGTGTAGATTATTAGTCTTGTTAGAGACGTGTAGATATTTTTGTTGCAGATTTTCCAACTGATTGAGGGCAGTTGTTACCTCATTAATTAGAGAAGAGCATTGAGATGAATGCTTCTTGTATTCTTCTAAATATAATCTGTCGAATTCAAATACCTTTTTCTTATTAGTATTAAACATATTTTAAATTTAATGACATGAAATTTTAAATTAACAGTTTTGTTATACATTACCTGTAAAAATTATCATCATCTNACCTTTTTCTTATTAGTATTAAACATATTTTAAATTTAATGACATGAAATTTTAAATTAACAGTTTTGTTATACATTACCTGTAAAAATTATCATCATCTTTTATCATCATATCTTCTACTTCCGAGTACCATGATAAATACTACAAGAAATAAAATAATTATTTGAAACTGGACTTAAATCGAATCTTTATTAAAGATCCATAAATAATGTTGAGAAAAATGATTAAAATTCTATTCTAAAAATTACGACAATTAACTGTTTTTTCCCCCGACTTTTACAAAATTTTCTAAAATATAAGCATTTTCATATGCATCTATTCCACCTTCAGAATCAAATGAAACCTCCAATGTTACTTCTATTTCAAATGGCTCATCTACAATTTTAAATTCAAATCAAAACATTCAGAAAAAAAGTATCATTTAGTGGAATTCAGAATGTTATAAGTTTTGCTCAACTCCAAAGACAAACAAGATGTGTTCAAAAGTGTTAGATTATAGAAAATTTTGTTAACATCCAAAGAAACAAGTAGTCATTGTAATGTGAAACTATGGAGTGCAGTAAGAGACAAAAAAAGTGATAATACATTTTATATTTTTTAGTTATAATTTTTATATGGATCTTTATTTTTTCACCGCATAACGAAAGTAATTTGTAAAGTGTTTACCTGTTGTGGAGTTTCTATTTTCTTCTGAACGATCTGCAATTCGTTAAAACTTTCGGAAACATCTTTATCGCTTTTTTCTGCTTCTAGACTTACAAATATGGAATTTTCGGAATTCTGTGCCTATAAAAAAAAATATTTTTATTCATAATTACTCAAAATTGAAAGATTAAAACATTTTTCAATTATATAATTGAAATTTTATGAATTTTATGTATTTTAGACTACAGTCAAATTCATTACATTTAAAGAAATTTAACTGATAACTAAATTCGTTATTCTGACTAGAGTTTAGGGACAGGGCAGGCGAGGAGGAAGGAAGTGAGGATTTTTTCCCCAGGCACAGTGAAAATTCAGGTGTACATAGTGATTCTTTAAGAGCACTTTTTATTAATAAGGAAACATTCCACACATTTCATTTCCTCAAAAAAAAAAAAAAAAAGGCAAAGGGGACATACTCGGAGGCAGAGAGACACTGACGACAGGAAAGCCAGACTTCACTGTTAACTCCATTTGGAGTATGATAGCTCCAAGCACTCCACGTCCAGATAAAACAGGGAAAATTGCAACATTGGGAAGATTACTGGCTGTAAGAAAATGGCCTAATTCAACCATTCAAGAATTGAACATCAAATTGATGAAGAAAAAAAAACTATTACCTTGCCAATTTGAATTTTTTTTCTGGCAAACTTAATGGCCACCAAATGCGATTTCTATCCAAAATAACATCTTTTAAACTCCAAAATAAATCAGTTCCATCAAGTAAATACAAATTATTAAACTTTCATTTAATTTTTCACAAAAACAATAATGCAAAATTAAATTATTTAAGAAGAAAGAAAAGAAATGTGTGAATTTCATTGACACCACAAAGTGAATCTGCAAGTGAAAGAATGGCACAAATTACAAAAAACTTATTTTTTTTCTTATTGATAATTTATTGAAAAGTTGTATTAAAGTATATCATTCATACAATTAAGTGACTTACTGCTTTATTCAGAATTGAGATGTAAATTACCCAAATTGCCAACAAAATTGGAAAGAAAGGTTAGCTCACTCAATTCAAAGTCTGATGGTACACGTAAATATTACTAAAATGGCTTTTACATATTGTTTTCTATCAAATAAAAACAAGAGAGTCACTTTAGTCTCAATGTTTTAGTTTCATTACACTGTAAACAAAACTAAACTATTATTTAAATATACTTTCATACCTCAAACTAAATAATATAAATATTCATTTCACTTTTTGAATCAAAATAACATCTCCATTTGCTTTATCCTCAGTGTCTGCATGCAAAGGCAAAAAATTAGATAAATTAAGAGAATTTCCATTCACATTATAACTAGACATATAGCATTCGAGACAACAGAACTAATACAAACAAAAAACATCAAGAATCCCATATGTCTTCACATACACATTTTTCTTCCGTAGTTTATGGCAGAATTGTAAAGTGTCAGTGACACTGACCACAGACAATCAGTCCCTCCTTTATCCATTATTACAAATTTCAACAGACAATCAGATGAACAAAGTGGTAAAGAACTCATCAGGAATATTTCAGAATACCCCAAATTCAAGTCCAAGTCAGAATTTTTACAACCGATTTGACCGGATATATGGTTTGATAAAGAGGATGCAATGCAACATGTGGGTGGTCTGTCAAGCAGGATGACTTTCTTTGGGAAATTGACCTCTATTTAGGTGTTACAAACATAAAGAAATACCCGAAATTTCCATGCCGCCAGTCCATCGAGAGGGACTACCAACATTCGGTGATTTTATCCGCCCAACCACCAGTGGGCACCGGATATACGAGTCCCATGGGACCCATTCTTTGCTCTACTCAAGATTTTTCATTGCAAATATAACAAAATATATTACAAGGACAAAAAACATCCTCATTCACTCCCATTCACTCACTGTTAACCCCAGAGGCTAAATGTAGATGAGTATTGATGATGGTTGAACAATGACAGAATCACCACCACTACAGTTTCCATCTAGTTCACATTTTTATTTTCGTAGCCATCACACTTTACATAATTTAATAAAAGAAAAATAAAATCTCGGATCCAACACTAAAAGGAGTACAATATATTTGCACCCGACGCAATGTTCTTCCTTGCAGTCAAAGGAAACCTCTGGGCAACTGCCGCACCAATCCACCCAATATTTCTCTATGCGAAACTTGCTCCAACAGAGTCTCTCGTAGGGCCACGACGACACGACACAGAAAACAGGCGTCTCTCTCAGGTCCCCGATGCAGAGTCTCTGTGACGAGATGACGACACCAGCAACTTCCTTGTGACACATTCTGCCCGACCAAATGGTCGGGCGGAATGTGTCACACACCAATACCACTACAAAGACCAATACACTAAAAAGAGGACACACCAATACCATCAATTAACACGATAAACTATTGTTACATAGAGAAAAGACACACAAAAATACACTCATAACTATAGTTTCTGAGGCGAGCACTCCGTCACAGGAATCACAGAATCCACCACACCCCGGCAAGAAGTCCTGCCGGGCCTTCCGAAATCGAGGGTGCCCGACCCACCACCGCAAAACAACAACAACGTCCAACAACTCGATTTTTCGGGGGGCAGTCTGTCTGGTCCCCCTTTTCCGGCTGCCACCCGAAGAATTAACCACATCCATTCAATTAATAAAGAGGGGCGGGCCGATTACGACGACGTAATATTAGGGGGCGAGGCTTTTACGAGGACGACGGGAGGAAAGCGTAAGAAACGTCCATTTTTCGTCGCCATAATACGGGGACAGCCCCCAAAGCTCCGAATGGTTCTCTTTCGAGAGATCGAAAGTTAACGCGACAAAGAATTCCGCTTGCGAGACGGACCCGTAAATAGATTTTACAAATAATTCACATTGAAACGAAAGATTATACGAATTATCGACGGTAAACGTCAGACGTGGGATACGTACGAGCGAGGGCGGATACGGTCTTTCGCCGGCTCGCAACTTCAATTTTTCCACGCTTTCCAGCTGTTTTTCGGAAAGAGGGGCCAGAGGATCATTGTCTTTCTCCCATTCGCTCAATTTATCGCTTATCTGCTTCTGATCGGAAACCATTTTCTGTTTTTTCCTCCGCGACGTGCCAGCATCTTCCGGTTTCGCTCCAGAGCGACTCGCTTCGCCCTCTGGCGACGAAAAACGGCGGCGCGTGATTTTTCCCTCCGTGCCACAGAAATCTGCTTTCGTTTCCCGGGAAATGGCCACTTTCAATCTTTTTAATTCGATTAAAACCCAAAATACTAAATTGTAAGTTTGCTCATTTTTCGAATGTTTAACTATAATTAACCGTTTTGTGTTAAAATTAACGTTTTGTTTATATTTTATCCCTTCAAGATGTCCTCTGTACAGAATTTGGAAGAGAAAATTATCGGGTGAGAAAATAATTTCGGTTATTTTTTATATTTTCTTTATTTTTCTACCGTATTTAAAGGGAGTCATATTATTTGTATAAATAATTTTTTTTTTTTTTTTTAATTTTAAAATGTAATTTGAATTTGTCGAATAAAATCGTCGATGTGAAAAAATCGGTAGTTACACATACACACACACGATACAATACGATACATACACAAGCAGAGTATATGTGTATACATAAACATTAGGCACTGAATATAATGTAGGTCCGGGTCCAAAGTATCCACCCGTGTTGTGAGTCGGTTTTCCTTCTGTTGGATTAAACATGCACGAGGAAGTACCAGCAGGCAAAAGTACATTAGTTATTATAATATCTGATGTCCCGTCGTTTTACTTTTACTAAAAATTTTATGCTCAAAATTGTTCGTTGGTTGCAAAAAGTGTGATGCCAAAATTGGGGTTCGATTCGTTGCCAGATTTTATTTTGGCGACCCAGCATGATTCAGATCTCGTTAAACTTGTGTGGTTTTAGTCCTTTGCGTACCTACGTAGTTTGGCTTTGTGCCAAATCCTTGGCCAAGCTGCCACGATACAACACGATACATACACAAGCAGAGTATATTGTATATGTGTATACGTAAACATTAGACACCAAATATAATGTGGGTCCAGATCCAAAGTATCCACCCGTGTTGTGAGTATTTGTGTAATAATTTGTGTAATGTACTCTTATTGATCATAATGCTTTTGGAGTGTAGAAATTGAACGATGACTTGACTATATGACAAAACCTGCAAAAGCTGGAGCTTGAGTGTGGTGAAAACCTTCCAGAGGTGGAAAGTTCAAATATTTTTTAGTAAAACAATTAACGTTAACGTAACAAATGTTCTCTGAAAGCCAGAACTCGAAACTTGCGGACAGAACGAAAGAAATTGGTCTTTTGCAACCCAGATACAGGGAAGTATAGATGCAAAATTAAGAAACTCGTGTGTTTGTATTTTTAAATTACAATAAAATTAATAAGGAAATAAGCATAGTTTGGTAATATAATTAAACTGAAAATAAGCTTAAAAGTTGATGCAAATTAGAACAAGCAAATGTAAAAAATCATAAAAAAGGAAAGGTATACAAACAATAAATAAAATTAAATTAATTGAATTTAGTTTTTATACAATTGACAAAATTGGAAACATTGTAATTGGATTTAATCACACCCATACTTTGTGTAAAGTGTGAGTTTGTTTATTATTGTTTATTATTGAAATTTTATTTCCTAATATGTGATAATTATCCTAGAAATCCAAATGGGAGGTTAGATACAGTTTATCTCATTATATTTCTGTTTTCTACCATAAGGTCCATTAAGGATTGTTCTGATTGAGGCCCATTGACATAATAGATTGTTTTATTAAAATTTGAACTTTGCCCACATATTATATGTAAAATCTTATCAATAACTTACATGCAGACAACTCTAATAAATGATATATATAAATTGTAAAAAAAACTTATTTTTTCACCTCCCTGTAAAATCATAAAGAATGATTTTCAAAGCATTCATGTAGATGATAGAAAGAAATAGAAAAGCAGTAGACTGATTGATGTCTTGTTGATGGCAGAAAGCTTACAAGATGTGGAATAACAAAATAGCCCTGTCGAGTTCCAGCTTTTGCAGGTTTCACTGTATACTGCCAGAAATTTAAACCATAATATTCTTTTTTACAATTATATTATTTGAAGAATTTTTCTCTTTGATTGATCCACTTGACCACGAAGTTAAAATAGGTAATGTTATGTTGTTATTTTACAGTTATTGTAGAGTTATTTAAATACATGTGGTATCTCGTTAACAAAACAAAATTACAATTTTTCTCTTTACATTTTCAGTTCAATTTAGCCTGAATTAATCTAATTCTTGAGTTTTAGCATCTAATTCAAAAACATTATGTATACATCCAGGCAGTTGAGAGGGAGAGTAAACCGAGACAGTAGTTGGCACTTCATCCAGACTCGTTTGCAATTAATGGAAAGTCCCAATGCATCCTGTTAAACTTCTTGCCAATTGCAGCTTTCTGCCATTAAAATAAACTCAAATTCATTCCTGTTTACTTGCTTTACCCAAAAAACAATGTAATTCTAATGGATTTAGACTTAGGGCATATCCTTTATAACTCATACATTTCTCAACATATTCAATAATATTTTCTTAAAATTTATCTTTTAAGAAAAAAATTACAGTAAAAATTTACTTTCTCTTTAATTAAAAAATTATCTTAAATACAGCTTATTTTTAAAAATATTAAAAATTGAACACTAAGTACAAATAAAAATTTGATGACTTTACACATTCTTCACGATCATAGAAACACAATTAACACGAGCAGAGTCGACCTTTCCTCGAGGCTCTTCTCCACTTACATATTTGTAAATTGATTAAAGTCCCTCTGGCACTGGATTCTCATAAAAATGTTTCTTGAAAAACATTTTTTAAAGTCTATGATGAATTTATAAATATTTTAAAATAGTGTTTATTTATGAATGTCGTATAAATCTGTTGACTCCGGTGTTAAAATTCTGAGATAAACTTGAGATATCATTTAAAAAATGAATAATTGTAAATAAAGATTATCAAAAATAATATTTTTTATTATAATTATTATATCTTTGATAATTTTTATTCAAAGGTAAAAAAGGTCAAACTTTGTGATAGATACTGAAACTTTAAAAAAAAAAAAAGAACAAACATAATTAACAGAAATTAGAATTTTTGTTTTAGAATCCTTCTGAATTTGTTTGACAAAATATAAATTAATTCTTATCTTAGTAAAATCTTATCTTTAATGTTATGATTTTATAAAAGTTAAGATAAAGATTCATTTATATTTTCATAGCTCTTTTGCGTTAATTTTAATTTTGTTTATAAATTTTATTAAAACATTTAATTTTCTTTAACATTTTTTCACCCTGTGGGCACTTTTAATCATTCCTATTGTGAGTTTGCCCAGGCCAGTAATGAATGATGTGATGAGCAAAGCCTGACATATCCAGAATAGATTGGCCTTGAAAAATTCCTTTAGTTTTTTGACTTTCCAGTTTCGATTCTGGGTTTTCTAGTGTGGAAGACTGACATCTTAACCGTCTCAGTCGTCTGGACTTGTGTGATGGTGGAATTCAAATAATTTAGGAACTGGTTTACTGCACTAGTGACCACTTTAAGTATAAAAAACAGTATGTTTGTGGGGCCTTAAAGAATTTTTTTTACATACTATTTAGTCTCTTTAGCATGCCTACTGTTCTCATTAAGTGAGAAACCTTCACATATAAACAGTGACCAAGGCCTAGATTAGTATATTGTAAATCAAAGTTTTGCTGTATTATTGGGATACTATTTTGTGTTAATGTAAGATAGTGGCATAACTTTCTATCTATAGGCTAAATTTCTTTAATGGCCATATGGCTAAGGCAGTGGAGACATTGACCTATCACTCTGGGAAATCTTGAAAAGCCTCAGGAACATATTGGGGAAAGATCACCTCTTTTTTGGGGGTGATCTGTCTCCAATATGTTGGGCCATGTCCCTCACACCTGGTTACCTTCATTATCGGTCTGGCTGAACTCATGTCTCATCATGAGGCATGAGTTCAGCCAGACCCATTTTTTTACTCTTTCTGCCCCGTGAGTATTAAGTTTATCATGCCTCATGATGAGGCATGATAAACTTAATACTCACGGGGCAGAGAGTCAAAAAATGAAAAATTCCTTAAATTTATTAATAAATATTAGCATAAATGTAGTCTGGTAATCCAGCAATTTAGATTCACAATCAAGAATGCTGATTTTTTTAATTGATTTCTTTATAAAGTGTTATAAATATAAATTTTTTATTACAACAGTTACTAATTTTAATTTTATGTTATAGGAGAACCGATTAATAAAATTTTAATAGCCAATCGAGGAGAGATTGCATGCAGAGTAATGAGGACCACCAGAAAACTCGGAATACAAACGGTTGCAGTTTATAGCGATGCAGACAATAATTCTATGCATATGACAATGGTGAGCTTTACAATACAAGAAAATATAAATATCGAATGATAATTTTTATGCAAATGTGTCATTTGTAATTGTCAGGCGGACGAAGCCTATCTCATTGGTCCTGCACCTTCTCACTCAAGTTACTTAAACAAAGAAAAGATATTATCCATTGCCAAAGGATCGAATGCTCAGGCGATCCATCCTGGTTATGGATTTTTGTCGGAAAATGCCGAATTTGCAGAATTGTGTAAACGTTCCGGAATAATTTTTATTGGGCCTCCACCTTCGGCCATTCGTGATATGGGGATTAAAAGGTAAATAGTCTTAATGAAATAATTTTTAAAATAAAACTTAAAGACAAATAAATTTTTTAATTACTGTATTTTTGTACTTAGTACATGCGGGTTATCTGTATTTTAAAGACAGTTTGAAAGGTGTGAAGGTTAAATTGCAATTAGAATTTGTTTATGGAGCAACAGCTGCTTATAGTTGTGGGGTATTCACAATTGAAATGAACTGTAGGGAGCAATTCAATCTTAACAACAAGAAAGCTGAAAGTAAGATTGTTAAATTTAACATTATAAATATGTGCAAACCCAATGATAATAAATAGCTATTAGATATAAATAACTTTAAATGATATATTTGCTTGTTTTAAGAGAAACAAAACAATGTTTTATTGAAGGTGAAGCGTACTCAATGCAAACTACTTAGTTTATGTGGTCTTTGACGTTCAACGGCTATCTTGTAGTCGAAGGTTATCTTCAAACTCGTGAAGAAATTTTATTAAAAATTGGGTACTCGTAATTTTTAACATAGTAATTCATGTCATGATAAAAATGCAAAAAGTTTACCAGTAAATAAAAAGGAGCATACATTTAACAACACTTTCTATGTAAACGAATTAATCATTAAAAATTGCTGAAGAAACTGCTATTAAACTTTACATTGTTACACTGTATTAAAACAATAAAATTTTCAGAAAACGGCAATTCATTTACTAATAAATTTTTGAAGTTGAGATTAAAAACCAAATTAAACAGAAAAGCTATGTTGTTTGGTGTTTTTTTATCTTTTGGGTCTCTTTGTGAATATAAATACTGTATTTACTTGAATAATTGTGCACTTTATTTATTGTGACAAAGAATCAGTGTGCATGGTTTATTTTAACAAATACAGTCAACTTGATAATTACTCCAAATATCAAATGAACAGTTAATGAATATTATTTTATTTCTAATTAAAATATTAAAAATAGTAATCTGTTTGCAGTAAACATGTAAATTTGCAAGGAAAGTGTGTGAAATTAAAAACTTAGATCTTTTTTTAGAGCCTATTGAAAAAATTGAGAATAATTATGGTATTTTGTCTGACATTAATATCTAAAATGTAAATGCATTTAACAGTATTCATAATTAGAAAATAAATGCAAATTTTGCCTTCACAATTCATTCTTCTCGCAGCGCAGGAATTACAAAGACTTGAAAATTCATGTTTGTCTTCTGACTATAAATATTTTTAAACTTGTGAATGTGTCTCTTTAATCCGATCAATTCAGTTTAGTAGACTATCATATACAGCTTTCAGGTTAGGTACTTCTTTTATTGGTTTGTCAAATGCATTTCGGACTTATTTGTATTTTAAGTCCCTCTTCAGTATGGGTGAGCCACAATTTTTCTACTGAGTCAATTGTTGTTTGGTCTCGGGCAAAGACTTGAAAATTCATGTTTGTCTTCTGACTATAAATATTTTTAAACTTGTGAATGTGTCTCTTTAATCCGATCAATTCAGTTCGGTAGACTATCATATACAGCTTTCAGGTTAGGTACTTCTTTTATTGGTTTGTCAAATGCATTTCGACTTATTTGTATTTTAAGTCCCTCTTCAGTTCAAATCTACAAATTATTTAAATTTTATATACAATTACTTAAAAACAAAAAGGTTATATACAATTAGTGAGTCTCTACAAGATATTGTATTTAAAAATTAAAGAATGAATAAAATAATAAATACATTTTTGAAAATATTATTTTGAAAAATAATAAAATGAAAACTTTACCATGTTATATATATATAACCATTTTTTAAAAGCAAATTTCTTTGTTTTTTCAAGGACATATCACTCTCGTGTGTGGAGGAGGGGATATCGAAAATAGTGCCGGCTCGAGGCAAGTTTTAGGATGGAGCGATATCCTATTATGGCGCCCCCCTTGGTTGCCCTTAATTTATACCCTTTAATTTTTTTTACCACTGAGGCGCCTCCTAGGACTTAGCTCCAGGAGCGGCTGCTCCATTCGCCCTATGGCAGGGCCTGTCCTGATCGAAAAACCTTTCTCAAAATAAAACAATTGATAAGTTGGATCCGATTGGGTCGTTGGGACGGGGCAGGTGGGAAAATGTGATTATCCATGCCCATTGTGAATCGACATGATAGCCGAGATGGTTGAGACGTTATCCTACCGCTCTGGGATCCTAGATCGAATCCGAGCAAGCAATTCCTTATGGGCAGACTATCTTGCTCATGAAAAATTCCTAAGGAGTCGTCCTGAATATGTCCAGTTCCATCCCCATCACTCGACCGCTCCCACTGTGGGATGGCAGAACCCACTAATCGATTGGTATGAATAAAGATCTTTTAAATGTACAGTACTCACCTATGGCCAAGTGAATAAAACTATTAAAGTGGGTTTATGTATCGTCACAAGCTNTTGTCAAAAACCGAAAAATTATATAGGTGAAACAAGTAGAACTTTAGAATTAAGAATTAAAGAACATGAAGCAGCAATTAGACTAAAACATAATAATTCTCCGTGGTTCGACCATATAAAAAATAGTAAATGTAAAATAGATAGAAATAACATAAAAATAATTCACTTAGAAAAAGATATGTATAAACGTAAATTTAAAGAACATATAGAGATTATAAAATGTAAAGATGATTTAATAAACATTTCAAATGGTATGCAAATAGATCAAATGTGGTATAATATAATAGAGGGCGCTAATAGATAAATTTGTTTGTAATGCCTTGTGACATAAAATAATACGTGAAATATATTGTAAAAGTGTGGATGTATTCTCTCGAGAATGTGTTAATGGTAATACACCACATGTTATTAACCTGTAAAACGTTCATTATTGCTGCAACATTTTATTGTAGAACATACACATTTTTTAAAGGTTGTAATTATAAAAGTTTTTATGAACAATTGTTAAAAGTGAGTATCATGTTATTTTTTGATGTTAAAAATGTATAATGTTATAAAGTAATAATTATAAATATATTGATATATTAGGATCAACGTATTAATGTGAAAATGTATTTGAAGTGTTTTTAAATGGCTGTATTTTTAAACTCTTTCCAACGTTACCAGTTATACACCGGAGGTTTTTAAAAAACAGAACCTTAGGTAACGTATAAGTGTAACAATTTTTTAATAGTTTTATGTCAGTAAATATAATCTACACGCGAAGAATTTGTCATCTCACTAATTGTATATAACCTTTTTGTTTTTAAGTAATTGTATATAAAATTTAAATAATTTGTAGATTTGAACTGAAGAGGGACTTAAAATACAAATAAGTCGAAATGCATTTGACAAACCAATAAAAGAAGTACCTAACCTGAAAGCTGTATATGATAGTCTACCGAACTGAATTGATCGGATTAAAGAGACACATTCACAACAAAATAGCAGCTGCCATAAGTGATATTTTTAAACTGTTGAAAATGATGATAGTTTTTTTGTAGATGTGCTCAATTAAATACTAGTCAATAAATAACAAATTAGTATGAATAAAACTCGTAAGTCTCCTTATCAAATTTTATTACAGAAGTGCAAAGAAATATTGTTTTGCCAAAATTATATATGTATTAAGTATTATTTACATTCAATTATTAAATATATATTACATTTATTCAAATATATGATGCACTTTTTTCAGGTTATAGTATCTCCAAAAATAGGGTATGTCTTAGATTTGATGGCATCTTAGATTTAATGTAATACATCGTAATTAGTGACCTCTAATGATGTGCATTTTTTTTTCTCTCACTAGAGGTCATCAAGTACTTACATCAGTATTTTAAGTACTTAGATGAAAATCCCAGTAGAAGTTGTGCAGCACTCTTTCAAGAAATGCTGCATATCCAATGCTTTAAATGTGTCGAAGATGTGGCACCGAATCCTGTGTTGATTCGAAAGAGCCTAACATGGAAAACAGAGAGGTTTCAGACTCTGATACTGAGGAAGGCAGTGATATATAACTTACTTTATTGTGCAATAAATACAGTTTCTAGCAACATAAATTTGTCTTGGGTTGTTTGAGCATGTCGAAATTAAGGTGCATCTTAGATTCAATGGTGGTTTAAATTTTAGTATTAGTATTTTAGTATTACAGTAATTTAGGTTTTAATTGATCCAGTTATAATTTTTATAATTTGAATTTACAAATTTGAAATTGAAAATGTTAAGATAGTAATTAAATACTTTTAATTTTAGCAAATCAAAAAATATCATGATCGACGCAGGTGTTCCTGTAATTAAAGGTTATCACGGTGAAGATCAGTCCAACGAAAGATTAAAGGAAGAAGCGAATAAAATTGGATTTCCCATCATGATTAAAGCTATTAGAGGTGGAGGAGGCAAGGTTATAATATTTCATAATATATAATAATAAGTTGAATCTTGAATGACACTCACTCATAAGTTATAATACAGGTATACCACTGAATTCCATCACCCTTAGTTTCAAATCCTTGTCAGAATAATTTATCAACATACCTCTAACCCACTAATTATACACCTGTCATGTCTAAAGTATATCACAGACTGCCAGAAACATAAACAAATGAAATACAGATAATTGTACAGACTTTATATCATATACAGTTGATGAACCAATACCGTAGATATCACATAGCTTATGCGCCGAAACACCACGGTCCATTTTTTCAACATCTTTATCTCGGATTCATATGGACTAGTGTTTATGTTTTACACCATTACTGACACTCTTATCTCTCCTAAAAGCTATAGTTAAGGTCATATTTAAGAAAAGTAAACTAAGAATATCACAAAATTGCAGTATAAATAATGCATGCTATGTAAATAATGTAAATAAGTGTCTCTACTCACAATACTATATGTGGTCATTCAATAAACTAGTCTAGTTAGGAATTTTAAGTTCTCTCTCATAATTTTTTCTGGATTAAAGGATGCACTGAACCATCAGTTACCAGAAATTCAGTGTTGTACTTGCATATAAATTTTAACAAAAATAAATTAATAATCCTGGGTAATCCTGGCACCACAATATTAAGAATAAATCCAAAAATGCTTAATTTAGAGAACCAATGAATTTTTTCATGCTAGTTCAATCTGATGTAGTTGTAACAGATGTTTTTCTTTTTTTGAACATAAATGAAAGCTGATTATGCTTGAACAAAAGTGTTTCTTCTAAAATGTTGGTTGATTCCCTGAATTAGGCCTTCTTAGATATATTCTCAAAAATAAATGTATAAATTTTGAATGTATGAGAGAATATATATAAATATTTTCAGAAGAAATTTGAAAAAATATAAATTTGGTATGCAACTTAATGTTAGCAAATAAGAGCCTGATTTGGGACTACTGAAAAACAATAGCAGTTAAGCAAATGCTAAACAGCAAAAAAGTTTATGCTGCGCACAATATTATTAACTCTAAAATTGGTAGTTTTTAAAAAGTAGGATGGCAATTTCCTCTTTCAAATTAAAATTTCCTTTCCACAAAAGTTATAATTGTAGCAAAGAACATCCCAGAATGTAGATCCATACAGTCAGTTGGCTTGAGACTGATCTTTAGCTAGGATTGAGAAAAATAATATTACTATTACTAATATAAAATATATAAATGGAAAAAAATAAAAGATTTGTTTATGAAAATATGCAATAGCAAATTTTAAATATTTCTTAAACATATTTCATTTTTTGGCTGCAATTTTCAAATTGCAGACCTGTACATTTCTCACTATTGTCACTGTCTATTGCCCTTTTTTAATTTCAAGAATGGAGTTAGGTGAAAATTGAGACCAGATATGGAAAGCTTAGAGGCCAGAAGCTCCAATTAATAATGTGCAAACTCCCAGTTTAGACTGGAAGTTATGTGATTTCAATTCAAAATTTTTATTTAAATTAAAATATGATTAAAAATTGCAGCTCAACATTGTGATGATGTCAAAAATAAGTAATTTTGATTTTTATATTTCTAATTGATCATTATGTCATTGTTTAATTAATAAGTAAATTAGAAATGTTTTTTTTATAAGTCAAACCAAAATATTGGCATCAGTTTTACTTAAATGCTACTTAAACAGTTTCTTTTAAAAGATTAAAAAAATCTTGTTCACTTTGTTGAATATAAAGAGATACTCTTTCATATAGAAATGTGCATTTCAGGCATTTTGTGTTCTATAAAATATTAAATATACTGACTTTACTTATGTTTTCTATTACGACATTTACCTAAGACAGTTAAAATAGTTAAAATACAAATCAAGTTACTAAAATGTCTCATTAGTTTTACAAAATTATTCCTGTCCTGCATTGACAAAAGGTCATCATATGCATACTCTACATACTTCCATTACATCATTGCTGAATTTACAATATATTCTTGCTGTATTTTATTTATTTAATTTTCCTTCTTTTAAATATATCTACATGCAATTGCATTAACTCAGTTTGCACGATTTTGTTGCCATGCAGTCTGCGATGAATAAATGGGAAATTTTCGTTTGTCGTTTTAATTAATGATATCATAATATAGTTTATCTGTTAACATTTCTTTTAATTAAATATATTAGAAATTAAATAGTAATTTTATTATTAATTCTTAATATTTTAAACTCTAATTAATAATTAGTTACATTTTGTAATTAATTTGTTTCATTAATTGTGAAGTAAATTAAAAATATTAAGTGGTTGGCGGGGTGGCCGAGACGGTAAAGTATTGCTTACAACTCTAGGGACCCAGGATTGAATTCTGGCAGTCAAAAAACCCCAGGAATTTTTTGGGATGGTGGTCCGTTTCAGATATGTCAGACCCCATCCCTTGTTGCAGGCCCAGGCAAACCCACCACAGATACAAAAAAACAGACTCTATTAGGTAATGCCCACAGGATAGAAAGAGCCAAAAATGAAAAAAAGTGATCCTTTAATATGTTTCTTAAGTTATTTGGTTTTTCTACAAAAAAATTTATTTAATAAAACATTAGCTTGATAGAATTTTTTTAAATTAATTTTTAATCAAAATTATAAAGCTCTGTAGTTTAATGATATGAATATTGTTACTTATTTTAGGGAATGAGAATAGTTACAGACATGAAAGAATTTGATTCTCAACTGGAATCTGCAAAAAGAGAAGCAGTGAAATCTTTTGGTGATGATGCCGTATTGTTAGAAAAGTTTATTAAAAGTCCAAGGTATGTTTATTTTGCTATATTTGTTTCTAGTCTTTTTAACCTATAACACCCTAAACTATTTAGAAGAGTCAACAACTTATATGTACAGTACATATCAATATAAATATACAGAGATAGTATAGAGATAGTTTCTCTTGTACAATTGTTACTCAAATTACTTATTTTTGCAAAGAATAAATATTTTCTAATTGACTAGACGTTCTTTACTAAGAAGATAAGAATGATATTTGTCAAGAATTAGAATAGATAAATAGATGCTATTAATTTCTGTATTACAGGGTGAGTCATAAATCTCCATACAAATGGTGAAAGCAGTGACTAATGTTTATTTTATTTGTACAAATGGTATCATATGATGCAACAGAATAATGTCAATCTGTTTTTCCTTCATTAGTGGCATTTCTTTTCAATTGGTTCACCTTCCTGAAAATGAAAAAGAAATTAGTCATCACTTTCACCATTTGTATGGAGACTTATGACTCAACCTGTACAATAAATAAATGAAAAAAACTTTTTTGGTACAATAAAACTTCATTCAGCCGAACCACATTAACTCAAACCTATTTCTTCATAAACTCCTATTTTTTGGTTGTTTCGTGATCTTCAATTTTTCTTATATTCCTTGTGTGAATACAGACAATTGAGATAAACATTATGGTCATGCGTCAAACACGGCACTGATCTGTTACAACTTTGTGTCGACATCCTTTTACCGATATGGTATGTTAATGCATTCTTATTGGAACATGAGTAGGCACCTTGACAAGCCCTCAAAAGTGCCACAAACTTTATAAAATTTTGTAATTGTTGTGCAAGCAGATTCTTGAAAAACAGGTTGATAATGACAAATTTATAGTCTCAGAAAAATTTGAGAAAATCGGGTATTAAACTGTTCAAGTTGGGATTTTTTTTTACCCCTTAAACTGAGGTTTTAAGGGGTAAAAAATAAGGTTAAACCCTTAATTTGTCCTGCATTGTTCCTGAATATTTTTGTATTGACCTGCCCTGGTGACCCCGAACATATTCGTCTCTGCATCGGAACATTTTTTATACTAGAATTCACTATACGTCATAATTTTTATATTAAAATGAACTTTCAAAATATAATGTTTTTTGTTTTTATAATTTTCAATATATTTATTTTGTTTGTGCACAATAAAAAAATAATTTTTAACAATACAGTAGCCTTGATTATTTTTTATTTATTTATTTTATTTTTTTTAATTTTTCATTAGGCTTAACATTGAAAAAAATTCAACATGGCGGCCACATGCAACAGAGAAAATTTTTACCATGGGATTTACTGTAATACTTGAATGAATAAAAACAAAATGTGAGGACAAAAAGCAAGCCCTTTCAATAAACAAATTTACTGCCAGTAGGCAAAAGATGATATAAACATAAACAATTATACACTCAATAGTTATAATAAAACCAAACGATTGCTGAATTAGATTGGGTTGTATTATTGCTACTATTAATAAGTAAATGCTAAGTAATTTGGTCTAGAGATAGGCATTAGTTTCTACTTCTTATTAAATTTAATAATTATAATTAAATTAATATTTATTAATTAATTTAGAATGAGTAATTTAGTTATATATAAATTAATAATTCTGAAAGAGAAGATCGGACAGAAGTCCAGATAGTATAGCTGGAAACACAATCATATTATGAGCAGGAGTTGTAGGTTTGAGTCCCACTCTAGACTGATTCTTTTCTTCCAGAACCTTCTGAATTAACTAATAAATATTAATAAGAGATAGCACCAAATGCCTACCTCTAGGCAAAATTACTTAGCATTTAATTACTAATAGTAGCATTAATAGAGCCCAATCTAATCCAGCAATTGTTTGGCCTTGATATGGAATTAAATGCAAATATTCTAGGATTTGGTAGAATTTAAAACAAATTTAAATTTTAAAATTATTTAATGCAAGTGAAACTTAATTTAATGGGAATGAAATAATAAAAAATTTCTAACAGATTCAGAAGCAATGCTTGTTTATTGGAGGCATTAAATGGACCAATTTATGGCATAAAATGGACCATTGGAGGCATTAAATATCCTACAAACACATCCAACACACTATTTAGTTTTTTCTTTTTTATATATATACCGTGTTTCCCCGAAAATAAGACATCCGCAGAAAATAAGACCTAGCACAGATTTTGCTGAATTGCGAAATATAAGACCTCCCCCTGAAAGTAAGACCTAGCGAAGTTTTTTTTTAGTCGTAACGGTCATCGACAGATGGTTGAAAGTACAGCCACTGATTGGTCAGCAGACAATTACGCCACACGGCATGATTTGCATAAGACTATGGCTTGGGAATCACAGATTTGCATAATGTTATCGCTGGTGATCGCTAATTGGTCGGCTGGGAATCACGCCACATCACATTTGCATAGTGCTACGGTTCAGTAAGCACTAATTGGTCATCGAGCTCGATGTGGACACTATAAAAAGGTTAAGTTGAATGTGTCGCAAGGTGTTCTCTCGAACCTGTTTAGCGTATTGTTCAACAATAAATGTGAATTCGTCTTCATGGAAATATAAGACATCCCCCTGAAAATAAGACCTAGTGCATTTTTTAGAGCAAAAATTAATATAAGACACTGTCTTATTTTCGGGGAAACACGGTATATTTTTTTTATTAATGCCACAGATGTAGTTTGTTGTTTTAGTCACCTAGATCAGGGATCACCAAACTTTTTTCACAGCAGGCCACATAACTAAAAGAATGATGAGTGCAGGCTGCATAACCATTTTGTTCAATATTGTATACTGAATATGCAAAAAATAAAGAAAACAAACATATTAGCAAAGTTGTGGCCAAAGTTTTCAATGCGAAAACATGAATGTTGGACATTCAGCACCACCTTCCTGTAAACCTAGAAGTTTGACAATGGTATTTGGAACATCAGTGGAATCATGCTCAACGTTCCAAATGACATTGTCAAACTTCTAGGCTTACAGGAAGGCAGTGCTTGAACATCCAATGATCACATTTTTGTGTTGAAAACTTTGGCTGCAACCTCGTTATTTATTTACCAATACACAAACACAATTGCTGCAGTAAGCTTGTAATCGCTTTTCTTAGAAACTTCATTACAGGTTCTTACACAAAAAATGCTCTGATATCCAAAGTCGCAAAAAGTCGCCAAATTTTTCATTTCACTGATTTTCCTAAAAATTATATTACTGTCAAATGCAAAAATCAGATTGGACCGATTTTTGACATTTTTACTTACATTTATTTAATTTTTCTACGTAGTAAGTTCATTTACAATCTATGATATTTCCATACAAATAATTATATATTAACTCATTTGTGGCACAGTGTGGCAGTGGGCTGGATGAATCGACCTCTCAGGCTATAGTTTGGTGACCCCTGATCCAGATGTATGTGCATAGATGTAGATAATTTGACTATAAACTACGATGCAATTTTAAATAAATTTATTTTTTCTAAAGTTCTAATCTCATAATAATAAGTAGATGTCTTGTTAAGTTTTATATAATATAATAATTTAAACATCTTAATATTTTAATATATAAGTGATATCACAAAATAAATTATAATTACAAGTCTTTTGTCAAATATAATAAATATACAATATTATTGTAATCTTTAAGGTAAAATATATTTTTTTTTAAGACATGTTGAAGTTCAGATTTTTGGAGATCAACATGGAAATTATGTTTACCTTTTCGAAAGAGATTGCAGCGTTCAGAGGAGACATCAAAAAATAATTGAAGAAGCACCTGCTGTATGTTTTGTTTGCACTATTTCTTAAAATTAAGATAACAATAATTATTTTTTTTTAATTCCTTTTGTATTAATTACACATCAGATGAAAAAAGGAGTGAAGATTGAATCTGAGATAGAATGATAGCACAGACTGAATCAGGACAACTGATTACTGACTGCTAGTTACTGACCTCCTGTGACAACTGATTGCCAAAAAAATTTTCAGTTATAGTTTTAGTAACTATGTTGCAGGTTTAGTGTTTTCCACTTAACTAATTTTATAGGATGTGGGATGTTTTTTATTTACTGAATTGCTTCCAATGTGAGATTCCATAATTTCTATCATTTTAATTCAAAGAAATTAAAGAATGAGATTAAAAAACAATTTAAAAATTTATTAATTTATTCCATGACAAATTTGTGATATTTTACACAAATATTTGATAATATTATCACATTTGTAATGATGAACGAGGCAGCAAATTCAATCGTTGGCTTGTTGATTCACTTATATTAGAGTATAACCAGCATAATCGTTTTAAATAATAAATGTATTTTACTTGAGTTTTCAACATATTCACAAATTCAAATTTTCTTAAAACTTTTGTTTTTGTTATTCAGGAATTAAGAAATAATGATAATTCACTTCAAATATTAACAATAAACCAAAATTACAAATAAATTTAAAAATTAGCTTTGTAAACACAAAGCTATGTATTCAATATTAGCTTCTGATCTGTATTATCAGTTAATTTGCAATAAATAACTATGATTCTCGTAGGCTTTTCGATTATAATTACAGATTCACCACACACCTTTTTCAATTTTTTTAGCTATGTATTCATCTTTGTGTGAACATTAATTGCATAAAGCAAACAAATCTTGCTGATTTTCCAAAGAAAGATGACTGAAAATTTCAGAGAGTCAGTTGTCTTGGGAAGTTATTTGCTTGCAATCACTTGGCAGTGGTCACAAGTCACATACTACAGACTGGCAGACTGGAGGGTAATGTTACAGGTGCAGTAAGTTTATGGTGGAGTGTATCAAATTACACACACACACATTCTCTTTTTCAATTACCGACATTACAATTTGGCATATATCACAAAATCTACTGCATCTGTAACATCTTCAGCTCATTCTGTCCAATACAGACTTTTTCTGCTTGATGCCATCCTACTTCACATTCAATGTGCATGTTTTTGTTTATTTCCTGTTAAGAAATTTATATTTAAATATATTGTAAACATATCAAGGGTAATTCTTCTTATTAAATATTCAAGCACATATAATAGCATTCCATTAACAGTCCTAATATTCTTTGGAAACCAGATTCTCAATAGAATTCATATAATATTAGTGTGAGAAGCCGGGGGTGTAGGTGGATACCCGTTTAAACCCCCTTGAATCGGCAACGGCAGCTCACTTTGTCACTGGATGGTTGACCCAAATGACAGAGGGGTGATACGTCCGTTGATAGGGTGTTGGCATCTAATAAGTCCACACAAGAGCAGATTAAACAACAAAAATAACAATTTAATGAACTAATTTAAAACATACAAGATTACAGACCGATAAACGCAACATAACGTCTGATACTATGTTTACGGACTAAATTATCAACTACATACTAATTCTCTTTAAATGCTAAAAAACTGAGAGAGAGAGAGTTTACAAACATTCTAACATAATACCTCTGAGTGGAAGTGATGATGTCTTCTACTTCCATTGCAGCATATTGATAGGGAGACTTCCATGGAGATAGCATTGGATTATGGCGGACAGGTCGTCGTCTATGGCTTTGAGTAGAGTGTCTGCTCGAGGCTCGAGTTTGAGCCTCTTTTATCCTCCGAAGGGTGCAACTCTTGTCCCAGTGACTCACATTGTTGTGTGTTCTAAGTTCAAGCCATGTCCTGGTCCAGCCGGTATGTCCTGACTCTCCTTTCCATATAAGGCAACAAATTCAAGTTCTTAGATGTCACCGAGGTGTTGTGACACTTCTTACCTCATAATTTATTTAACTTGACAGTTTCCTATCATTAATAATTAGATGTTTGATGAGGGTTTTGAAATAAGCAGGGCTGTGGAGTCAGAGTAGAGGGGAATTTCTGGCCAGAGGAGTCGGAGTCAGGAAAAATGTGTCGACTCAGACTCCAGCATTTTAAATTTAATTTAGTTTTTTTTTTTTATTTAAATGAAAGCAAATTTATTTTATATTTAATAATTTTTTAAAATATTTTTGTATTTTGTTATAATTCATTTATTTTAAATACAAAATGCAACAATTTATCGTATCATATGTGTATCGATAGTTTTCTTTGTAGTATTTGTGTTTAATAGTTAAATTATTTTGACCCAATTGAATTTGAATATTTTTGATTCATTCCTTTATTATCCTCACTCTAAATAAGTACACTATTTTTTTTGAATGAGCCAGACTAATTGATCAAAGTATATATTTTTCTTTTCTGAACAAGAGGCTGAAGTAACTAGATCACGCACTTTTTAATTGGATTAACTTTTCTAGAAAGGTGAAATTGAAGTGCAAAAGCTGTAGAATATAGATATATAGATGTAGAATTTTATCGCATCCCCTTTTTCCTCTTATTAAATATTTGTTGAAAATTAATTTTTTTTATACAAATAAATGTTAATGTAAGTTAAATATTAAAATACTAACTATAAAATTATTTGGGTAAATGCCTGGGATTTCTTTTAGAGTTCAGAGTAGAGTACCCCCCTATGAGCGCCTCTGCCCCCCATAAAATAACTTGGTATTTAATTTTGCCGGAGTCGGTCTACTAAAATTATCAAGAGTAAGCCGTGGAAATAAGTCCAAACATCATAAAGATTGTTGATTCTTGATAATATTCAATCCTCTGTTTATCTCTCAGATCCAGGTGCAACGGAAATATGAGGTGGTGGGAAAAATTGGGGTTTTTCCATTTCTGCATTAACTGCGTATTAGTTTAACTAATTAATCTAATTACTTAATTGTCCCCCCTTCAGAACCTCACATTAGTAGAATATTAAAAATCAGTGAATATTATTATAAATAAATTGCTTATAAATATTTTTTTTTAATTCTAAATATTTCTAAGTTAACTGTACCAGTAAGAAAGAATAAATATTTATGTAATTAATATTTGCAAATAATACTTTGTTTTTTCTTTAATAAATAAGGATGTAACATTAATCAATAACTATTCTAGACTTCTTAAAAGTAATATGGAAAATATTGACAGCCAGATGACCAAGGCAGTTAAGTCATTGGCCTACTGCTCTGGAGAATCGAGCATTGAATCCAAGCTAGCGATCTCCTCGGAAATTTTTTTGGCAGTCTGTCCTAGATATGTTAGGCCCCATTCTTTACCACCCAGTTGTCCCATTATGCGTTCAGTATTGGAAAAAAGGCCCTCTTAGGATCCACCGGGCAGAAACAGTCAGATACATAAATTTAATATATAAAATAAATAGGATATATAATTTTAGATGATTTATACACAAATTTATTGGAGTTTTTATTATTTTTACTAATTTACACTTAATTATATTAAAATTTTAATATTATATTTTGAAACTTAAAGTAGTTTATTAATGTTAAGAAGAAAAAAATTGATAACAAATTTTATTAAAAAAAATATATTTGTTTTAGCCAGGAATAACTGAAGAAGTAAGGCAGAGACTTGGAAAAACAGCTGTTGAAGCTGCAAAAGCTGTCAACTATGTAGGAGCAGGTAACTCTAAGAATTTTAATGCATTTATTTTCTTGTTTTTTTTTTTTAATTTTTTGTTTAAATTTTTAGGCACTGTTGAATTTATAATGGATGAAAATCAAGATTTTTATTTTATGGAAATGAATACAAGATTGCAAGTGGAACATCCAGTAACTGAAATGATAACCGGTACCGATCTCGTCGAATGGCAGATCAGGGTATAAAATGTATTACCCTTTTTATTCACTTAATAATTAGAAGATGGTTCTATTAAATAAATCATTAATAATTTTAACATGTTTGCTATGTTATGCTAATACGCTAGTAATTATACCAGTAGAATGCTGTGAAGCTTGTCATTGACACATCACAGAGTTCTAGAATTACAGAATTTGAATACATAACCCAGTAACGATGAATAAAAGTAGCTGAAAATGTTTGTTTGTTTTTAAAATTACTTTCTGGATCTTAATTTATTACTAAGAGTTATTGTAATTGAAGATCTTGGGCAAGAACATCTTAGTTTCTTTGTTGAACATCATTGAATTTCTACAAATATAGGGTAGATATAATTTTCAGATTTGAGATTCATAACTTCTCACAGACTGGACTATCAAACTCTAATATCATTAATCATCCGTGATCTCTCCTAAAATAAAGAGAAACTTTGGAACTTTAGGGTGGCTTTCCCAGAAACTTGAAAAATAAAATAGTATTCTTGCACCAAGTTCTTCAATTATTGCTAAAAAAATATTAAACAGTATAACTAATGAACAAAATTAATCAAAAATAATCAATCATTGTAAACCCAAACCAAAGGATTTTTAGTTTAAATTTATAATGATTAATTATTTTTGGTTACTTTATAACTGATTATTAATAATTAAAAAATTAATTTTACTATTATAGTACAGTCTTCCAAATGAATGTTACCATTTTAAATTACTGTAATTACATCAATTTTAAAAAAGTATTTTAAAAAGTATGCAATATGCACCAATCAATAGAATAACTGTCTGAGTTTTGTCTCCCATCTGCATTAAAACGTCTGAATGTCTACTGCCTTTAGGATGTGTCATAAAGGAAAATGGCAATGCTGCAACAGAGAAGGCATTTTCTGTTCTGTAGGCACAAAGCTGGAGACATTCATCATTGTGCAACATAAGTAATCTGCAGGAGCTGTAAAGCTGTGTGGAAGAGAGAAATGATGGATATGCATTAGCAAGCATTGGAAGAATTTGAGTATTGGATGGATATGTGCCTTGTGGTGTGAGGTGCACTCTTGAGAAATTGTAATGGGCAAATGTGAAATTTGCACAGTTTTCCAGTGTTTTAATGCACATTACAAATGTTCTCAGATAATAATTAACATAATTAAAATAATTTTAAATGGTAGCATTCTTTTTGGAAGACTCTGTGTATGTATGTGTTAAGAGCATTGTTATGATATAGGATAGATATTTATATATGTATAATTTGAAATTATTTAATTTTTAAAAAATATACAAATTACTTACTTAGGTTGCTGCAGGTGATAAACTTCCTATGGAGCAAAAAGATATAAATCTAAGAGGTCATTCGTTTGAAACTAGAATTTATGCCGAAGACCCTCGAGATAACTTCATGCCAGGCGCGGGACTTTTGGAATATATGACTGTTCCGTCTCCTTCGGAAGATGTTCGAATTGAAACGGGAGTGAGACAAGGTACTTCTCTTAAATTTTAAATTCTTAAAGAACATTGTGGACATTGTGGTTTATCTAATTAAAATGCACTAAGTAACGCAAGCAAGGCTGTAGAATTTGAAGTCAGAGTCGGTAAAATTGTATTTGTTTCAACTTCAATATAAATTCTTAAGATACCAGTCTAATACTCACAAGTATATATTAGACAATATTGGTTAATGTCAATATTTCTTTCATTTACTGGCCAGAATTCATATTGTTTTCATTAAATTTCAACAAAATATAAGCAAAAAACATTCTAAAATTTTGAATAAAAAGCTCAGCTAAATGTTCAGTTTTGTATTTGAAATTTTAGAATGCTTTTTGAAAATTTACATCATGTTACGTGTTTAATATGTTAAAGTATTGTTCTTATATTGTACAGTAGGATTAAGGATTTTTGTTTTAAAATGCCAAAATGTAAATTAATACTTCGGATATCAAGCAGAAGATAATTGAAGATTTCGATGCTTTTTCTTATTTGCAATTAATCAAAAAGTGCATTTTCACAAAAATTTATCTGAAAATAGAAAATGTAATCTTAACTGTAATACACAATTTAATGTTAATATATTTACGCAATATAACTCTCTTTGAGAACGAAATTATATAATACTTGTTAATGTCGACACTTACAGCAAATCCCATCATAGTCGACACTAATGACAATCTATTGTAGCTCAATGCAGGAAGGGAAATGGCAAAACAGAGCTTGACAGATAAAATGTTAACTTAGGAATATTTTCATAATATAATACTTTAAAACTTTGAAATAAAGCTTTGTGTTAATTAAGATTGAAGACAAAATCCATCAAAACAGTCAACTTTTTAATTCATTTTCATGTTTTGGAACACGTCTTATGATGAACCCGCCCTTCTTTTTTGGGCTCTTTGGTTGTCTCGACAGATATGTATTTTTTTCATATTTTAGGGGAATTTTAAATATCTGATTAAAAAGATTTAAGACAAATTTCCAAAGTTGGAATGGAGACAGAATTTTTAAATATTTGTAGAGACAATTAAGTAGCCTGAAAGGAAAGATCTGGGTCGTCAAAAGATGTATTCTGAAACCTAAAAATTAAAAATTAGCTAAAAGAATACAAAAAGGAATCAAAATAGCAATAGTAAAGTATAAGTATAAAGGCACTGTTTTAACAAGATTACAGTTTCATTAATTAAAAAGCTTTATTTTACTCTATTTTACTTGTTTTCTACATACATATTGGTTTAACTAACTATTGATTTCTTACCATTAAATAAAGAAACCCAATAATTTACATATTTGCTTGTCTTATTAGCTTTTCTTGTTTCTTGTTAGCACCTTTTGTATCAGAGAATAACCTAATTGATAGTTTCATTTTATTTAGAATCATTAGTTGCTCAGTAGATATGTGTAATGTAGCACTTTAATGTTGTTTGGGAACAAATTACAAATTTCAATAAGGAACAGTAGAAAAACTTGTCCCTCTTTATGAGATGTCTTTGGAAAAGAGGCTCATTAGTTAGAATTATGCTGTATTAAATTGTATACTTTGTCTTTGAATATCCAATTTTAGTAAAACATCAGCTAAAAAGATTATTTAAGTAAAATAATCTACTATCTAGATTATTTTACTTAAATAGATTATGCACTAGGACTATCCTGTCCAATTTGTCCATCTTTGCCGGCAGTTACCATAGCAATGAAATGCCAATGGCAGTTGGGACGAACAAGATGGCAGTGTTTAGTTTGTCAAATTTTTTAGTGGAACAACTGCTTCCTTGAAAAAATCGGTCAATCATTAAAGACATGTCGCAACTAATGAGAGCCATTTTTCTATTTTTACTTAATTTTAGTGGAAACATCTATTAACTATAATATCTTGTGTGGGACCAAAGAAAACCAGGGAATTTTAACAAAACGAAAAGCTAACATTTTAACAATGTTAATAGAGGAGGCAAGGCTTTATACATAACGAAATATCTCATTTGTCAAGGTTTATGTCATCCAATAACCGAACCTCATAGCTTTCAGGCAACTGCCATTTTATTGTCTGTCACTGTCGAATGGTCTTTACTGGCATGAGAGCTCAGACATTTCTAGTGTGAATCCACCATTATAAGTAGTTCTATAGTTTTTTGTAATTTAAAAATCTTAACTTGAAAGATACATAATATATTTAACAGTTTCAATTTGTTATATAAAATTATGTAATATGAATTGAAACTACAGTAGAACCTCGAAAACGCGGCTCTCGATAACCCGGCACTCCGGATAACTCGGCCACACCCTGGCAGGGTAAAAAAGTCCTTAGTTAATTAATTTTCATTATAGACAGCTTTATAAAAGTATAAAAGCTCTCATAAAGTATTTTTCTGAGGTTTGTCTTATCGGGTAAATTACTGTACACGGTGTATTCATTAATTTTCATTTTCATGTAGTAAAGGCTCTATGCCTTCATAAAGTACGTACTTTTCCTTTGTTTAAGGGTATTTGGGCAGTTTATTCTCTGTTGTATTCTCCAGCAAACAATAGATACAAGTACAGTACAGTATTTTCTGAGGAAACACTCATACTTATTTTTTTAACCCCAATAACCCGGCATTTTCACAAACTCGGCCACCCTTCGGTCCACATTAGGCCGAGTTTTCGAGGCTCTACTGTATTAAGTTGTAGAGATTTATTAATGTGAAGGAGTTATGCTGTGTGAAACAGATGTGTAGTTTAAAGTATTTTGATATTTAATTAACAAGTATTAATTTCTATGAAAATTAATGAAAAACTGTTAAAACATTTTTTCTATAAAAAAAAATTGAATTTAAAAATTTCTTATTATATCAAAAGTATTATTAAAAAGTTTATAATATTAAAATTCAAATGAAACTGTCCAAATTTTTCATGAAATGTAATTTTGGGGACTTTTTGGGCATTGAAATGTATTGTGCAATTACATTTAATATTAAATTCAAATGTAGTTTGCATTGGATTTCTAATTTTCTCTGGTTAAAAATATTTATGAAAATTTTAAAGTATTTAATTAGTTAAACTCTAACTGATTTGAAATTCAAAGTGACATAATCTTTAATTCATATGCTTTTATGTCCTTATTTTATACAGTTTATTATATAAATGTCTACTAGGACAGATCGTATTAACACTATTATACAATAGGTCCTATTAATACAATCTGTCCTAGTAGACATTTATATAATAAACTGATATAATCTTTACTTGATTGCTATAATTTTAATAGTCAAAAAAAGTCGACCTAAGTAGTTTTCCAGCAGTGAAGCAGCAGATGACTTATGAACATTTTCATAAATCATCTATTTCACTGCTGGAAAAGTACTTAGGTTGACTTTTTTGAACATAGATTTAAGTTCCAGCTTTTGGAAATTGCAATTTATATAATTTTAATGATATTGAATTTTTTTAAAATTCTTTCATTTACAGAGGATTTCCTGTAGACAACATGGAAAATTAATTTAGGTTCACAGAACTTTTGCTCTTACTGAAAAGTTTTATTTAAAAGAAAATCTATCAATTATCGGGTTGTACGGAAAGTAAGTTAGTTTTTTTTCCGTGGAAAAAAAAAAACAATATTTTTATAATAAATAAATATTTTGTTGAATTATTTATTGAACATTTTGGTCAAATACCTGTTGTCATCGTTTCTAGTAGTAGCATGATTTTACATTCATAAAAGTTTTGATCGTTGCTTACAAAAAACTGATCCAAGTGATCTTTGATATTGTCATTTCAAGTAAATGTATTACAGTTAAAAAAAATTGTATAGACCAGAACACGTAATCCGAGTGTGCTCGATCTGGCAAATATGGTTGGTGGGATAGCACGTCCCATCTAACTTATAACAGTTTCTGAGGAGTTACCAAACTTGTGTGAAATTTGACATTATTGTGGTAAAACACTACACCTTTTTTTGTTGATCAATTCTGGCCGCCTTTTCTGTTTGATGATATTACTCAATTTGTTTACTCGATGGCAGTACACTTTTGAATCAATTGTTAAATTGTATGGTAAAAGCTCCAAAAAAAAAAATTTCCTTAAAATTCCACCAAAGAGAGCATCTTTCTTTAAGAACATGTGGAACCCATATATCAGGCTTCGAAATGAAACCAATTTGTTTCAAGTAATCATAAACAGTTCAATTTGACAAATTTCATCTCTTAGTGATTTCACGTGTTGTTGTTCGGCAGTTTGCTTCAATCAGTACCTTTACTTTGTTTTCATTGGCTTCAATTGGCCATCCAGAATGTGGTACATCTTCAATATTGAAATTGCCAGTTTTGGCACTGTCGTTCTGTCAATACATCTTCTCCGTACACGTCACACAATTTTTTTCTCGCTTGAACAGCATTCTTACCTTTTAGGTAATAAAAGCAAAATATGCCGAAAATAATGCTTTCGATCTTCCATATTTGATGGGACACAAAAAATAAACAATTGCACAAAATCAAACAAAATTTTTTACAAATAAGCCTTAAAATGCTAGCTGTCAAAATATATAATGATAATACGGTTTAGAATAAAAATGGCGGAAAAAAATATGACTAATCCATCTAGTGGTAAAAAAAATGAACTTACTTTCCGAACAACCTAATATTATAATTTTCATTTAATATACAGAATGCTAAAATCTTATAGGTGACGAAGTTTCAATTCATTATGATCCCATGATTGCAAAATTGGTCGTCTGGGGTCCAGACAGGCTTTCAGCACTTCGGAAGCTTCGTCATTCTCTGTCAGACTACAACGTAAGTCACTACTTGTTCTCTTGGGGTTACTTATTACCTTTTTAAAACAAATTGTGTATTAAATTATTTGCTTTATATGTGAAGGATGCAAGGGGCTTTACCCCCAACTTCCTTCAGCAACATAATACTGTCATTTTGAAACATCTTTTATATCTATGTTACGAAGAAATGGGTTGTCAAGAACAAGAAAAGTTTTGATAAAGGCATCATGACGATAGGAGGTTTGACTGGATGTGAACAACTTCCTCTCTTCAAGATTCCACCAAACACTCAGATCAACACGTGGGTTTACATTGACTGTTCTGAAACCAATTGTTGAGATTTGTGTTTAAAAGCTATATTTTGGTGAACTGAACAGTGCTTTTCCATCATGACAAAGCCTCCTTCCATATCACAATATTAACACAACAATATTTCCAATATGTTCATGAGAAATTCAGAACTATATTTATTACCAACAAAGAAATTCCAGTCAAGTCCTCCAAAACAAGGCTCGTGGAATTTTTTGGGTGTGATTATCTGAAGCAGTAACTGTTTGGCAGATCTATGGAAAGTCACAAACTGCATATAGAGTGTAATTTTCCCTAATAATTGCGGTAAAGATATTGGGAACATATAGCACAACTGCAGGCAGTCCACAGTCAAAAAGTACACATGTAGTGTTCATAACAAAAGTGAGTCAAATAAAAAGGTAAACACGCTCTAATTAATGGAATAAATCTGGTAACTTTTTCACTTTATTATTGTTTGAGCAATAATGCAACACTTACATACGCTTACTTTAATGTATGGTAAGAGTGATAACTATGAATGGAGTGTGCACTTTTTCAATTTACAATAAGCCCTATTTTCCTTCAATAGGCATTGCAATTACCATTAGAGGGCACTGTATAACTTTTTCATCTCACATCTGTGCTAATTATTAGAATACAGTTTGTATATTTGCTTAATTATACATAAAATTAATTTTCGGTTCTTACACAGGTGAAATTTGAAGCTAGGCATAAATAAAGTTTAATTAAAGAGCAGACATGAGAATTAGTGTAAATTATAGCATATGCTAAGTTTTATAAACTTCAATATTTGGGCACTTTATGAACTCTATGGATAATATATTAATAATAATAATAATAACCACAGTTTAGTCACTGTGCCTATATAGCATTTAAAATATTGAAACTTTTGAAATTGGCAATAAAGAAATTTCTTTAAAATATTTTATAATGTTTTAAATGATAATAAATACAGACAAATTTATAAAATCAAATAAAATATAAATAATAAAGAATAGTTACAACAACAAAATTTATTTGACATTCTCTCACATCTAATGGTCTTTACTAAATTTTGGAATCATCTCCATTATACCAGACTAAAAAGACTTTTGAGTTTGAGTTTTAAGTTGACATATAAATAAACAAAAGTGAAAATATACCACTTTCTAAAGAAGACAATTTGTAAAAATTTCTGAGAATGAGTACGACTCGTTTTTCAAATCTTGGCCAGGCTGTAAAAATGGGTGTAACGCCAAGATTTGCAAAAGTAGTGGACACTGTTCCATTTACTTAGCAAATCTGTGACTAGATCACCATGCATTATCAAAGGAGTACTCTCAAACTTTTAAAATTTTCAGAACACCAACTGAATACCATACATTTTCCGGCCAAAATGTGTGAAACAATCTGTACTATAAAATTGAACACACTCTTGATGGTATTGCAATTGTTATTGACAAAACTATGTCTTGTTTATAAAATCATACTTCCCGATGTTCTTACCAGCATAGAGGTATGAAGGAGTACATGTCGAGAGTTGATATTTGGCACAGAGTATTAGGTGCCCAAATCATTTGCGCATAAAAAAATCCACACTCGTAGGTAGTCGGGACTGAGAATTGAGTCAAAATAAAATACAAAATGGCGACCCTCTTCTACAAACAGGCAAAACAGCCAGCTCACCCCACCGAAGTCAAGTAGGGGAGAGTACCACCCACAGTCATTCTAAGACGTGAACTCTGACCTTAGGACTGAACACGTAGTTTCTTCTATGTTAAATAAAATTTGTAATCTAATTTTGTAAATTTGGGAGTGCTTCAAATATGACATTAAAATGGTTTTATGTCGTTACAAGTGGGTATTTTTAACATTATCTAGTATAAAATTGTAGGACCGATAAAACTTTGATGTTATATTAGGGTTATCGTTACGTTCGGTGATGTTATAATTGGGTTAAACTGTAATTGTTTGTGTAAAATAAAAAATAATTTCGGATGATACAGTAACCACAATTATTTTTTTCAAAAACGGGAACTTTTCATTATGCATCGACAAAAATTCAACCCGGGTCAACACACAACAGAGAGAAATTTTGAAATTAGATAGGTTAATTTCATCCAAGATGCATCGTGGACGATCCCGTGGTCGTCGCCGGCGAAGTTTGAATGATCGCGCCCAAAAGCAGAAATATCAAAGAAGATAGGAGAATGAGAACAAGACCTGCCTTGAGCATCAAAGTGATTCTGTCTCCAAGATAGTCTTGTCCCAAATATGGTTTTGCCATTTTACTTGTTTTGTGTTTATTTCTTGTTGTTCTTTACTGAATCCAAACTCTTAAAGTAGTGGGATCTTTGCCATAACTGCAATCCCAATATATTTGTACCATTCTATATTTGTTACAGTTGAGCAGGACTCAAAGGCACACTGTTAGTAATTTTTTATTTTTACATTGCTAACAAAATTTATTTGAATTAAGTGGAACTCAAATTAGTAACGTGATATACAGCCATGGTGGCCAACTGTGGTTCTTCTAGACCATAGTTTCTTTAAACTTTTTTGAGACATGGCCTCGAGGATGATTATAACTCACAGCTCCCATGTATGACTTTATAAACATGGTATTTACTACTAACACATATGTAATATTTTTGTAAGATGGTGTGATATACACATCAATTGTAAGGATATATCACAGCTTAACCTGGATTGGATAACCAAAAGTCAACTGTATGTTTGTAAAGTCGAAAGAATTAAACAAATGTTTACCAAGCTGATTATTGAGTACTGGTAAAGTAAAAGTAATGATACAGAGCAACATTAACTATACTTTCTAACTATACATAATATAAAATATTGTTCCAATAAAGGCTCTCTCGTATTTCCAATAGGTGATATAATACTCCCATTGTGACAATGTTTTTCCACCCTCAGTGTATAGTTTTTAATAGTTTCTCCTACCATCTATCAAATTTTTAATGATTATTATAACTTTTAAATAAATAACATATATTTCTTTAGTAAGAATTATCGCAATATTAAAATACTTAATATTGATGATTTCTATGTTTAGAATTATACAAGAAATTATTTAAAGAATTTCCAAATTAATTCTTCCCTCAGATTGCAGGTTTGAAGAACAACATTCAGTTTCTGATGGATCTTTCGAGTCACCCAGAATTTGTGGCAGGAAATGTGCACACGAATTTTATTTCACAGCATTATGATCAGTTGTTTCCGCAGAAAATCATTCCGGATAACCTTCTCTGTATGGCAGCTTTAGGAATTGTTTTAAATAAGAAATATTTACCAGTAGTAGAGGGTACGTTTAATTCTTTTGTAAAAGAATGCGCATTTACTATTCTTGCATTTTCTTTAATAAAAATGATATTTACATATATTTATGTTTCAGATCCTTTTTCATTTCAAGATGGAAAGAAAGTAAATTCGTTTTCGAAACAAAACATTAATCTTAAGTACAAAGATAACAGTAAGAACAGTTTTAAAATATAAACTTTATTGTTAAAACAATTGCCGGTTCAAATGTAATTTTGCATAGATTATTCCGTCGACGTTGTTTATGTAAATAACGGATATGAGGTAATCGTAAACGGTAAAAATTATAAAGTGACGGGTTTCTGGAAGGAACGAGACGGAAAAACAGAAATTGTGTGCAGTGTAAATGACTTTGTCACCACGGCCGGAATAAACGTCTCCGAAAGCGGAGTTCATCTTTTTACCAGGGTAAGCCAGCAGCAATGGTAAAGTGTGATTTTTTTTCACTACATTCCTTAAAGTTTTATTTCTCTCTAGAACGGCGTGTTTGAGTTTAAAATACCAGAACCTAAATTCGTGAATTTGGAAAGTGTGGGGAGCAGTTCCGGAGGACCAGTAGCTCCGATGCCCGGCATCATAGAGAAAATAATGGTGAAAGATGGAGATGCTGTAAAAGAAGGTGATCCTCTAGTAGTCATCATCGCTATGAAAATGGAGGTAAAATTCCGAACTTGTTTTTAAAATTACCTTTAAATATAAAATATTTAAACATTAAAATAATTTTTTTTTCTAGTATGTTATTAAGTCACCACATTCTGGAAAAGTAGTTAAAGTGTTACATAAAGTAGGTGATAATGTTTCTAAAAATGCCCTTCTGGTTAAATTAATGGAGAATACCGATAACAAATGATATTTGTACAAACATTATTGAGATTTTTATAATTAAAATGTATTTTATTTTATAAATAAATCAATTAGATTGTTTCAAAAAACAGTGTCCGAAATATTATTTTTTACAAATATTATCACTTGCAAAGCTCAAGCATTGTTTACCTAATTTCGTTTTGTATTTTGTCTATTAATACAATTGTTTATATTTAAAACAATTATATCTGAGTATTAAAAAAACGAAATTATTTATCAAAACATTATTTTTTTACTCTTTACCCTGTGGGCACTAAGATGTCTTTTAAACATACCTGTTCTGGGTTTGGTCGAGTTTACAATGGCAAGGGACGGGGTGCAACTTGTTTGAGATGGACTGCCTGCAAATTATTCCTGGGAAGTCGCCCCAGTCCCAGGAGTGGTCTGCCGTCGGGTTTGTACAATTTAATCTTATTGTATTTATAAGAATGTTAATTGTGAAAATTTTCCAAAAACACTTTTTCCTATTATAAAAAAATAACTCCTCAATAAATTATACATCCGTTTTTATGTTCCTCAAATATACAAGGTGTCCAAGAAAGATCTGTTATAAAATTTCATTTAAATAACAAAGAGGTTACTGAAATGTGGTTTGTGGTAAAAGAAAGATTAACTCAAAAAGTTTTTTTATTACAAGAATCAATACAAAAGTCAAAATTGTTCTACATACATTTGGTTAACCTCAACATGTGCTCCTTTATTTGCACGGAGTGTCCAATTGACGACCGATTTCCTTCCAGATACTGTTTTGACAGGACGGTGTATCCCCTAGCAAGGCAGTTTTCTTATGGTCACCCTAAATCGCCTGTCGTAATCCGATTGGATGAGGGGCTATGTGATGTTACTGTTTTGAATGAAAGTATAACCCTTGAAATCTCCAGTGTTGTACAGAAAATACTAAATAATAATTGGCAACGAATTGGTTATCGATTGGACATTCTTTGTGCAACTAAAGGAGTGCATGTCGAGGTTTGCCAAGTGTAGTCAAAACAATTTTGGCTTTTGTATTGATTTTTGTACTAAAAACTTTTCCAGTTAATCTTTCTTTTAAGACAAACTGCATTTCAATAGACCTCTTCATTTTTAAAAAAAAAAATTTTATAATAGTGTATATCTTTCTCGGACACTTTGTATATTCTTTATATTGTTTAACCGGAATATGCAGAGTTCAGCTTTGTGTTTTTGCTGTCATTTAACTGGCAGGTAGCAGAATCGTCGTCATTATTTTCTTACCTATACTACACAATTATCTTGTGCACATTGGTTTAGTATTTTGCATTTTTATCTCTATCAATGGTATTTGAAAATTATGACCTTCATTATAGGGAACAATAACTTTGTATAATAGATATTTCCATAAATAAACTTCAAAAACCCACAGACTTTTTATGTTACATTTTTGGCTTCAAGCTACGATATATTTTATGGTGAATAGAAAAACTGCATTGCCGATAGACCCAAACAAATTAAAGTAAAAGGATGTATGGAGTGGCATGCAAAAAAATAGCACTTGTCTGTAGCTTAGTAGAAACAGAGAATAATATAGAAGCAGACTACCAGAATCTCCCAAAAGCAGTCGTCTGTGGCATCCATGTGGTCGTGTGCATATGAAATACTGTTTGGGAAGGCCCAGCATAATGTAGCGATGTCGATGGTGGCAATTGCATGGTCAATGTTTTCATTGGGTTCCCATATTGCACATATATTTGTTCATTATGGGATGCCAACATTCATTCCACTCGACAGTCCATTTGACTGATGTGATTTGTTCTCTAAGCAATATACTAGTGCCAGAGACTTTAATCGAACCTAGCACTACCGTATAGAAGATAACCAAATTAAGAAATCATCCTAAAGTTTGTTCCCATCACTCTTATCAGTATCAAAAGAATCAATTATAAGCAGCTTCAAAGTCTGTAGTATAGCTGAAAATAAACTAATGCCGCAGGAGAAACTCAACAATCATAATTCAAATTTGTAATTTGCAGCAGCAATTGAAAGACAGAAGGGTTTCCCAAAAGCTGAGTTGGTATTGCTACTCCTTCAAAGTCCTTCATTTAATATCTGACAATTGTAAGGGTTAGAATAAAAATTAGACATTTGTTGCACTTTGAAAATGTCATGTTCTACCAGAGATTTACAAAGAAATCTACCATCACTTCTCTGAAGTTGAATATACTCGCTTGGATTGCAACTGCAACTTTAGTCATACTGAAACATACATATAGAAACATGATGGAATGTCTACAGTCCTGACCACTGAGAAAGTATTATCAAGAAAACCAACAAAAAAAAAACAAATTTGTCTTAACTTAAAAATGTCTCTGCCCCCGTAAAAAGCATAAAGGCAGTTGTCATAACCGACAAACTGCCGCTTGATTTCAGCCAAGTTATAATACAGACAATCCCAACAATCTGCGTGCAGTATTGGTAAAAGCATCGCTCACACCGAAAGGTCGTCATGGGATCAGCACACATCCATATCAGCCAAGAAAAAGTATAATGGGACATTGGCAATTGCAAAACATAAAATGGCAGATATTATGTCCCTGAATCATACCAAGCTTTCTATTAGTAGATCAAGGCAGACAACACTGTTATCGATGTGGAAAACATTGACAAATAAACCGAGAAAACTAATGTAAACAAAACTATTAATTGGAATTAAAAGTATTTTATAGACAAATTCTTTTTTGAAATACTTTTCCCTAATATTTTTTGGTTTTCAATAAACAATGCTGTGAGAATAATAAATATTCTTGGAGATTTACAGTGCTATACCACATTACTTTGATAACAAATCTACAATGTTTGGAGAGCAAAAAGATTAACTCACACCTATTTGTACAATTTTAGGATTTTTTCAAACATTCAAACTCAATTACCTCAGAAATGTAATCCCGAGGGTTAAAACTATACATCCCAAGGACTTCATATACAGTACAGTCCCATACAATGCAGGGGATTCATTATGCATTATAGGAAATTGTGTTATTGAAATCTGCATTATTACATGATTTATGAAAGTTTAAACCTTGGCCTACGAGTTGAAAAAAATATATACCTCTAAATGACAAAATTCAAGGGTGTTGCTTGCTTTATTTGCATGTTGTACAGGACTCTACTGTATACAAATACAGGTATACCTCGCCTTATGTTGTTAATTGGTTCCAGGAGAGGCGACGTAAGTCTAATTTACTTGTCTTTGAATCTGCTTGTCACTAGGCTAAACCATAAATTACCATTTCCGGTTCTGTATTTTATTTATTAATGCATTTTTAATAATATATGGTTAATAAGGGTCTATTTTAAGCTTACAAACGAATAAATTTTAGTTTTTAATATAGTACAGAAAAAAGTAATCTACATTTACGAATGCATGTACTGTAAATACAGTACATACTTGTAAATGTGTATATTTTAATATGATTTTATGTGCTTTAAATGCTTTTCTAGTGATATTGCGACTTCAATATTTGTGGCGGACAGACGTAAGGTCGAATATAATGACTTAAACTTGATTTTTATTTTTCCATATACTTTTTTGACAAACGACCCATGGTATAATTGGGAACAACATAAGTTGAGGTATACCTGTATAGAGTAGATAAGTTTCCTAGTGATTATTAAAAGTATCTGTAAAATAAAATTATTGCTCTTTGTTTCTTATTTCTTGAAATTTGTTAGAAAACACATATAATATGCACTTTAAGGATACAGTGGTGCCAAATTTTGAAGTAAAATTTTCCCAAAAAGTTTAACTGCATACTTGAGATGATATTTGGGTGAGATTAAGAACATTCTGGAAGAAGAATCAATGTAATTTAATTATAATAATTATTAAAATTAGTACAAGACAGTGGCGTAATTGTCTACCTTTCGATCAAATGGCTATTATCAATCCAAGACAAAGTTATAGCCCAAAGTTAATCTGACATTTAGTGATTCAATTATATAAAATGTATGTTTTATCTTGTCGCACTTGAAATAATTGCAAATAATTCTGAATCTGAGATTTATTCTTAGTTAAAATAATAATAACACATTTATCCTGCATTCGTTTTGAATGTTATTTCACAGGCCAAACTTGGTCCAAATAAAGGTCTGTAAACATTTCTCTGTTGACTAAACTTTGATTTCCTTAAATAGTCTTCTTACAAAATACAAACTGGTATTGAGCCTTACAGAAATTTTTGATTCTAAAATAATATAATATAGTTGCAGAAACATTGGATACATTCCAGTAAGCATCAAATGGCACGTCGGTAAACTGAAATGTAATAAAAGGCGTTCCGATATTCACCGAGTTTGTCGGTGCAGCAGCGGGCGCATGTTGCACTTGTTTGGCCGTAGATGTGGCAAGCTCCAACAAAGCAATGCTGCCACTTCCAGTTGCACTATTTATGCCATTATTACTGCCATCTTTACTAACCCAAAGTTATTTTGACAAATAAGTCTGCAAATGCCAATATAGCACAGTTTCCTTCTGTCATTCTTAGATTGCCAGAAGTTCCAGTAGAAGCTTATTACACCATTCGCTAGTGCAACAGTTGTACTCGAGATTGATGCATACTGGCATGTACCCATTGTCAATTGTTAATTTGATATAAAAGGAAAACCTTAATGTTAGTATTTATTCCCAAAATTTTCTGTGTGTTTATTTGATATCAAAATTAGCCTCTTTATTTTATATTTACCAAAGTACCTTAAACAGTCAACATACAAATTCTTTAAAATTGATTTTTTATTAATATTGTTGAAAATCCAACCTTAAACAAATTAAAATTGTGAAATTGTCCATAAGATTTGTTTCTTTTTGAATATTTTGTAAACAAAAAAATTTAATTTGTCTAAATATACATATTAAATTTAATTTTTTTCGACATATGTAAGCTTTTTTTTTTTTTTAATGGATTAAAAGTATTTTCAATAGATGCAATTGAAATAACATATTTAAATGACATTGTCATCACATACGTTTCGTATTCTTGATTACATTGGTGTCTGGACGACCATTACCATTTATCTTTTGAATTACGCTGTTTTATCACTCTCTCAATTCTTAAATAATATTTTCGCTATGCAAATTTAAAATTACTTGATGATAGAAAACTGCTGTCAGGAACGAGAAACTTCTTTATATGAATTAAATTTATGACAGTTGCCTCGCATAATTTAAAATACCATAATTTATTCTAATAAATGACATGGTTGCAAGACAAAAAGTTATAGATAGGATATATCTTATTCTATTCGACATTGTCATTCTTGCCATATGTGGAAATAAAGTATGAGCACATTGAGTGTTGCACTGCAGGCCAAATAATAATAAAGAAGTTGCACCTACTTTCTAGAGAATAGAAATAAAAGTCATTGTCGAATAGTAAGCATAACTAACAAATAGCAAAGCTGAAAGATGAAAAAATTATAGACAGAATGCTATTTATTAAAATAAATACTGTACCTATCTTTTGAATATTGCATTAATTCAGTGGTGCATTTGGGGATGGACCAAGGGGCCATGATACCTCCAAAGTAAAAGAAACCCTAATAAATTTTCCAAAAATATTTACCTAATTAAAATTCATTTTTTTTATTTATATTGTGTTGTGTCTTCTATTTCTATATTACATATGAATTAGCAGTTACATAAGGTGGGAATTTTATTGTGTTTGCATTAAAAATTTTTATCTGTTCAACTCTGCTTCCTCAAGATTAAATCTTCAGTGCACCACTGCTTTACTTTAACTATTAAACAGCATTATTTTTCTGTCAAATTTAAAAATTGTTTAAAATTAGGTATAATTGCATTGCTAAATGCTGAAGTTTCTGTTCCAGGAAGCAGTTTTTTTTAAATTTTAAAATCATAATACTTACAAAAATATAATATGATGATAAAGATGCTTATCTTTACAATATATATATGTATATATTTAAGTTGTAAAAATAATAAATAAGAAAATAATATTTGGCACAATAACAAAATAATTTCAAACCCTTATAAAGGATAATAATGGCGATATGCCTAATGTAGCATCATTAATCGCTAAATATTAGCTGAAACTTTGAGTTTTTTGTTACAAAATATCTATCGAATCTTCTTTCTCTGCCCAATCTACACTAGACAACTGACTTTTCTTAATCATTTCAAAATTATTCTTGAAATGAGGATCTATATTTTTTAATTTCTCGAATCTGTGAAATAATAAATCTTTTGCATATTGATATATTGCAATATCTAGCTGATTTAATTGCTCAATTTTTTTTATATCCTTGGCATTTATGTCTTCCGAAAATTTTCTCCGGGTTCGCCGTCCAAAAATGTTATGTAGTTGCTGTTCTTTTTCGACAAACGATAGATTAAAAATGCTCTCGAACATGTATTGGGACATTTTGGGAAATTCTGACAATCCGAAGAAAGCCATTTTGTGAAGATTGTTTTTAGCACTGGTCAATAAAAGTAAATTTCTCTCTTCCACTGACATGAACGACGTGTTGTAACAACCTACTAATGTCAGATCGGCCAACATTCTTGTCTGACGATTCAGAGCCAAGTTGTTGGTACACGATAAAAATTCATCGAGAGTTAACTCTTGAAGATCCTTCCCTTCAAAACAAGATTCATTGGGTGTCGTTTCTTTTCCGTTGCACCAGTGGCGAGAAGAGCGCCAATTAAGTCCCTGTCTGGCATGCCAATATTCACTCAGGAAACGTTTTACGGGATCCCGTAAGAGAGTAATGAAAAAGTACCTGTATAGGAAAAAAAATATATTAATAAAAAAATAATTAGAATAGAGTTCTTAAGATATTCTATTAAATTAAGTTTAGAAAAAACAAAAAATTGGAACAAGGAAATTAGGAGAAACAAACAGAATAGAAATAAGTGATATATTCCTAACACACAATGTTATCAGGAGAATCAGAATAAAAGATATTTAGAGAATATCTCACTGCTACAAACCATTTATTTATAATTGCTATATTTATTATACAGCAATTATAATTATCCCAACGATAAAAAGATCTTTCTTGGATTCCCTGAATTATTATACAAATTCATAACACAAAATCAAAAAATGTTCTATCAAAATTCAGTTTGTGATAAAAGAATGCAAAAAGTTTCTTGGTACAAATGTTTATGTGAGATTCTGAATATTTTGGGTTAAAATATTCAAGAAATTATAGAAAATCTTTTAAAAATTAAATTTAATATTTCAATAAATTCTTATCAAAGCTAAAAATCAGGGAGAACAAGGAACAAATGTTTCTTGTGTTGACAGTCAGTTCCTAAGAGAGATCTTTATCTCCATGACTAAAGGGCTGACTAAGCCAAAAAGACTCATCATGACCCCCAGTCAGATAATCTTAATTCTTAATCTCTATTGGAGGAGTAAAATTGTATAAATACAGGATACGTGCCAAAATCTGTGCACATTGTACATCGTCCAATATCCTCTTATTATGAATTGGTTTGGAACTTCCTCCCACCGAATAAAATTGGGAAAAGTCAAGTTTCGCAGAGGTAATATAATATCGTTTGTAAACTCTCTCTCTCTCTCACGTATAGTTTAGGAATTTAGATATTTAATATATATCAATTGTTGTATTCGTTTGTTATCTTATTAAATCTTGTTATATTATTTTAATATGGGTTTACCTCTGGATTTGATCTTATCGCTTGCCTACACAACGCTCCACTAATAGGAATAGCCCTCCTATTTAAATTTATTTAATAGTATTTAAATGCGTGTTAATCTGCTAAAAATAGATTAACTGGTGTCAGCATCCTGACGTGATCAAGATCACACAATCTTGATCTTCACTTCCACTCTATTTAGCCATCCTTAGACAATGTGAGCAGACCGTAAGTTCTGTTAGGGAGCGCGTTGTTAATCACTTAATGGCCCCTGTATTCTCACATTTATATCAGTGTTCAATACATGGTGCAAGTGGCTTGTAGAATTAAAAATGCTGACAATATGAAAAAAGTGCAACGTGTATTGTGGTTAGCAAAAGAAATAAAAAAAAAGACATTACAACCTGCAATACTTCCACGTTTGTATTTCCTATTTACCTTCTTTGCACAGTAGTGCAAAGAAGGTATGTAGGAAATACAAAAAGACACCACCAAGTATCCCTTCAATTCATGCTCAAATGCAGGAATTTAAAGATACGGAAAATGTTTGTCACTCAAAAGATTGTAGTCACCCATCAACATCGGATGAATCCAAGGAATGGGCTAGAGAATTATTCTATAGAATTCCGAAGAATTCAGAGGTTTGTTGAATGTATGCTAATAAAATACTTTGTGTTATTCTTTCTTTTATCACTAACCACTTCATTTTTGTATTAATAATTTGGATAATAATAAAGATCTTTTTGGATATTCTGTATTTTGGTCACAAATTATTTAATGATGATAAAATATCATCATTTAAAATATCATCGCAAATATTGTAGCGCCACATTACTAGCGGACATTTGAAATTTGCCGACTAGGACGGTCGGTTAACCGAGGGATCGGTTGATCGGGGGGCGGATAATCGAGGTTCTACTGTATATGCGGATTCGGATTTAATGCGCTATATGTCCGCTTGGTGTCCTTGATGCATGGCTAACCGTCGTTCCTTCTCATGTTGTGTCTGCAATTTAAAAATTTTGGATAATGATTTACTTTCGTGTTCACAATGTTTGAAAAATGCTCATTTTTACTGTTATGGAATTGGTTGTGCTGCTTTTCATAAATTTAGTAAAACTTATAAAAAAAATTGGAAATGTGGATCCTGTAGACCAGTGAANAAAAAAATAAATAAAAATATAATTCTAATATGCTAAAATAATTATCTGCTATTTCCTTTAAATACTGATAAAACACTTCTTTTTAAAGTTATTAAACACTAATTTTATAGTGTATTTCAAAGACACGTGGCTAGTTTTTCATCAGTTATCTTTATTTAGTTGATATGGTACATCTTTTTTGTATGCGTTTTGGGCTGTACATAAATTATATATTTATGTACTCATTAATTCTTATGTATGTTCTCCCTACTGTAATAAGTAAACAATATGCATTATATTATAGTTGATTGAGGAGGGGCACAACCCGAAATGCATACAAAAAAGATGTACCATATCAACTAAATAAAGATAGCTGATGAAAAACTAGCCACGTGTCTTTGAAATACACTATAAAATTAGTGTTTAATAACTCCAAAAATACAGAAAAGGACACGGTTTCAAAAAATAAAGCTTCTTTTTAACAAAAGCAAAAGATGATAAGGCCAAAACTTTATCTTCAGAACAAAAACTCAATGAATAAATAAATAAATCATCCAAATTATAAAATAGAATAATTAAGTTTTAGGATCGAATCCATTACAATAATACAAAAATGCACAATGCAATCAATCGATGCAACTCCTTTCTACAAAATCATTCATATATTGTTCATTATTCACACACTCAGATATCCTATTTTAAACAAATTAGTTTAATTAAAGTGGCCGAGTGCAAGAGCAAATATTAAATTCTGTCGTAAATTAAGTAATTCCAGCTTTAAACACTATTCATAATGATAAGCACGAATTGCCAGCAACAAATTAATTTTTTTAAATTAAAAATTTTTATGTTTGAGTTCCCAAAAACTCAAACAAAAATTTTTAATTTAAAAAAATTATAAAAGAAACCCATTTTTAAAAATAAAATGAACATTTTTCCAGATAGATAACATCTTATTTTTAGATCCGAAGCTTACTTTTCTTCATAAGAACTCTAAATTCATATAAGGAGCCACTTATTAGTAAGTATATAAATTTATGAATAAACAAATAAAATTAATATATATTATCATTATATATAAATGAGATGTAGTTATAAATCACGTATGTAAATATTATCACAAAGAAAATCAGAAAACCACATAGAACAGAACTAATTTTGAAATATCTTTTCAGAATGAGTATGTATTCTCGGATTTCCATTTTAAAAATTTTGCCTGACATGTTTTTGTTACATTACCAGAAGCAGCATAATGGAAACTTTGGTTTAATTATCTATTAAAGACACCGCTTATTTAAGATTTCCTTTGCTGATATAAACACTGCCTATAATTCTCTCAAGACGCCGATAACCCCAATTGGAGATCAAATTTTGTCATTATTGTTTACGGTACTATCGATTAGCCATTCAAACAATAATCGATAATTTTCAATTTGCATTTTTCGCGACTGCAGTTCAAAACAAGGCGTTTGGATTCCCCTCAACAATCAAAAAAGTCAAATGAACCACGTCCCCAACCGTGACCTTTGGCACGATATCCATCTCCAAAGTTTTGGCCGATCAATAAACACCCAGTATGCTTAACAGAGTACACAGTGCAACTCCAATTGCACTGCAGTAGTTGGCATAACGGTATTTTTTGCATTTTAGGAGCTAGTAAAGTGGAAAATGGTAGAGTTTTAGCACTGTTTTGAGAAAACAATTCTAGATTTTTTTTCACTTTTAAATTTTACCCCATTTTTTTTTAAGGTCTTCAAAATTTCTGTTGGGTTGATTTCGGGCAGCCACGTCAGGCAGAATTTCATTTAAACTGTCGAACCGACAGTTTACGCTCAACTCTTTGCTCGACACGGCTACCCGAAGAGTTTCACAAAAACGCTCGGTTCCTTCGACTTTTACTCCGGCACGGTCCCGACCGCCCCATCCGGAGTCACACCCGCACTCGTACCCATGTCACGTGAGGGCAGAAATTACGGTAATCACTTTCAGGTCGCCGTCTACATATCTACAAGCATGCGAATCGCCCAAAAGTAACTCGCACCGGACGCCATTACCTTCTCTTAATCGGTCTTCCCTCCTCTTCGTCCACCACCCTGTCGACACAATTGGTAAGTTCGGTCCAGTCGGGATGAACTCCACACTTCCATCCCATGGTATATCTACTGAAGAGCCAAGGGCTTCCGATTCTGTTGGGTCGCCAACACACGCACCGGCGACGATTCTTCTTGCAAACGCAAGGCTTTTCTAGATTCAGATCTTCGACCAGCTGCTTAGCGAAGACGTTTCCTCCCGTGTTCTGGATGTGAAGAAAGACGACGACGTCCCAAGCTCTAATGTTAAAGTCGAATTGGCTCATGGACAGTTTGTCGTGACGGAAAACTGGAATCTGACGTATGTGGCTGTTGCTGGGTCGAAGTTTAACCAAAGATCTGGACGAATTGAAGACGAAAGGGAAGGAGTTTTTGGCGAAACAATTCCTTTCGTCGCAGAAATACCAAAGCAGAGTGGCGACGAAGACGGAACTCAACGCTAAACCTAAAATGGCGTATCTCAGACATTTACCGCTGCAGATGTGAGAAATGCGACTTCTCTTACGATTACCGCTCTCTTCGTTTATTATATTGCTAACTATTTCCATTTCACTAAATATACAGGATACCGATTTTTATCTTTCGTTTCTTTTTCCCGATGCCAAACGATAATTCGCCGCCGCCATTTTGATTTGTGGCGTCGACCCGTTTTTCTGACGAAATAAAAAAAATATATATATATATGACGTCGGTGTTATAAGATGCCGTGGTATTTATTAATAATAACCGAAAATAAGAAGTAATTAAATACTTTTAACAGACGTTTATGTTTTTTTTTTTTTTTAATCGATTTTAAAAATGTCCGTTAGCTAAGGATTATGGGAAATTGTCATTATAAAAATTGTTATTTAAATTTGTTTCCGTAAATGATCATTGAGCTTTCAAGATATATTTTTCCGATTATTTTAAAATTCAAACCGAAAATATACATGACTTTCTCCTATTATTCTTGTTTGTTTTTGACCGGCTGATGGCCGAGAGGTAAAGGTGGGTGCCTACCGCTCTGGGCGACCCACGATCGAATCTGAATAGGTCGAAAAAGCCCCAGGAATTTTTCGGGGGAGTGGTCCGTCCGGATATGTCGGGTCCCGTCCCTCACCACCTGGCCGCTCCATTGTGAGCCTGGCCGAACCCATAATGGGCTTGCTAAAAGAGGCCCTCTTACCGGGATATCGACCCTTTCGGTCGCAGCGANCATGTCTATGTTGCATTCGCAATGGGGACAGTCAGGTTTTCTAATGAAATATACATGAATACGAAATATGTAAGACTTTGAAATAAAAGTTTATTTTGTTTCTTTTGAGACATGTAATTGATTGCAATAATAAAGCATTGTTGTTGTTGTTTGTTAAGTTACATCAATGCAATACTTGGGCAATCTGCCTAGGGATGCCTCCCTAGGTAGATTGCCCAAGGTCCAGGAGGTCTTTTTAAATCCCTATTTAGGCATTACAGAAGTAGAGAAAACCTGGAAAACTCCATGTGGCCAGCCTGTCCTGGCCAGGCACAAACTCACAATCGAACTCCCAGTGTTCAGGGAACAGAACTATTTTGCAAAAGCTTTGTGCACTACCAATCTGAAAATTGATTCTGGACCTAGGCTGACAGTGATAAAAATTTAAAAATGCAGTTTAGCTTCATTAGTAAGTGGATTAATAATTAATAGTTGTTTTTTAGTTTTAGGTCTTCCTAAGACCTGTACAAGACCTCACTAATAAAAAAAACCATGTTTTCAAGATTATAAAAGAAAAATCTATTCAACAAAAACACCTTCATTCAAGGGAAAAAAATTATCAAAATGGGTTGACTAGAACCAACAATATTCAATAAATAATATTTTACAAAATTGATAGTTTTTTTGCACATAACTTGAAACCAAGGCCAAATCAAAAAAGTGTGAGGAAAAATTTTTTGTATTCAATGTTTTTTATCAGCTGGCAAAATATAACTCAAAAGATTGGAGACACCCTGTACATTAATTCTTCTTATTGGTAACTGAGTTAATCCATGTTAATCTTAAAATTATAGTAGAAATAATAACAAATTAAGCATCAGAATGAGGTGATTTAGTCATAACACTGCCAGAACAAACTCTCAGTTAGTTACAAGATTTTCTATGAGTCACACACTGTAGGCAAACTGTAATGTAATGAATTTTTCCATTTCAGACAATGTTAATGCAAGATGAATGCATCAAGATCATCCTAATGATTGTTCAGTGAAATAATAGAGAATGGTAAGAGTTCAAACACTCTAAGCAAGCTGCTTTTGCTGATTTTAGAGGAATCAGTAAAAGAAGCATTCAGTGCATCCTTAGTGTCCACGGCCACATCAGGCCGTGATCCTTGACATCTCAGAAGGTGTATGGATGGTTGAATCGTTCATCTGAATATTTGTGTGCAAGAGAAATTGCAATCGCATACGTTATATCATCCAAACAGCTATTTTTATCCATAGTACATGACTTATGAGACAACCTATAGATAAATAAATTAGCTGTATACTGAAATATTCAAAAATAAAAAACAGGAAATTTGAAAATACAAAACAGTAAAACAGAAATAGAATAGAATAATAAAAATAGAAATGATTCAAAATAAAGAAAATGGAAAGCCTGATAGTTAAAGTTAGATCATTGAACAAAAAGAAACCAAGGATACAGATGATGTATTCCGGAAACTAATAAAATACTGATCTCATTATTTCGTAGAGAATTCAGTGTTGCTGATTCAAGAAATTTCTCAAAAAAACATTACATTTTGAAAAATTACAGTGAAATCACAATTTACATATAGATTGCATTATTAAAGCATACACATAAAGAAAGATTCATAGAAACTAAAATCAATTACATCATAGAAATGCATTAAAATTATTTAGATGTCCAAGAAACATTGTGTAAATCATGATTTCACTATATTTCAACATATATTTAAAATTAAACTATTATAAAAAAAACATTTAAAAGATGCATTTCCACATTTTGATTCAAGCTCTAAAGACACTGCATTTCTATTTGCTCAGTTTCTATACAAAATCATAATGCCAATTAAAAATGTATTTACTAAAAAAGTATTTTATTACTTAATATATTTTATACCATACAGAGTAATTATAAACATTTTTATCATTTTTAAAAATTAATAATTAAAAGTATAAGCATAAGAAAGTTTGATTTTTACCTACCGATACAGTTGACTATTTTACACAACATATAACCAATACAGTTGTATAATAATAGGCAAAAATTTATACACATCTGGAAGAACTTTTGGCTTAGAGTCAACATGGTATAATTAGCAATGCGCTCGCACATTATGTGGGAGTTATGGGTTTGAATCACACTCCGAACTAGAGTTTTTTCTGATGTATCTAAATTAAATTATCTTAAATTTATTAAGTATTATAATATTGTTCAATAGACGATACAGGTGGCAATACCTACCTGTAATTCAAATTCTTGAATCATTAACTTAACTGGCCTAAATTATTTGATGAATTATAATAGTAACTAATTTCATTTTATTCTTTAGAATATGTTGTAACTTTAATTGGAGAAAATTCAAATATAATTATTAAATTACATTAAATGTCCTAATACTGATTTATATTTAAAAACACACAATACAAATCATTAAAAAACTAAAAATTTGATATAGAAACATCACCAAATGATTGTCTTGATTGTTTGGTAATATTTCTATATACATGTCAGGCTTTGCGATGTTCGATATAATTAAAAATTTGATATTTCAAGACTTCGCATAGTCTCATTTTCGAAAATTTTATTATATAATTTTCAACATAAGTTTTACAAATGTCAATCCAATACACTAGTATTACCAAATTAGCTACTTGATTATTTATCGGGTTATATTAGAACTACTTAAAAAGAGCTATGAAGAGCTATTGACACTAAAGTTACTCCCAATCAGTATCATGAACAACAGTATGGTTATATCTAAATTAATTAATTAATAGCTCTGGAAGCAAAGATTGGATGAAGGTCTGAGTAGCATAACTGGCAATCCATCTGCACAGTAAGCAGTAGTTGCATTCAAGTCCTGTTTTAAGCTGATTCTTTTCTTCCAGAATATTCTAAATTATAAATAAATTACTTTTAATTATTAAATTTATTACGAGATGATAGCTTAACCATCTACCTCTAGCCAAATTTCTTTGTATCTGATTATTAATTAGCCCATTAACTAATCCGGCAGATAGTTTGGAATAATGTCTGCTAAATTTTTATTGTATGCTAATTTTAATATCTTGAAATCATTAGGCTTTTCTTACATAAATTACTAATAGAAAACTTCCAGAACAGAAATTTATGCCACATTTTATTGGAGTAAATTTTTATTTAAGGTTTGAAGCAGTTTTAAGACTTTCTGACTCATCTTAACTATTTGGTATTCAACACTTCTTAGATTAATTTCTCAATTCTTCTTGATGGTGGATATATTTTGGATGATTCTTCCAAGAAGAAAAGGAGAAAATGCATTTGCAATTCTTTCCATTGGGAGGAGGCCCTTCTCAATTGGAAAGAATGGAAATAATTATTTTTAAATGAACAATTTTAAAAAATTTTTAAAATTGTTCATTTAAAAATAATTATTTCCACCAAAAATGAATCAGAAAGGATCAAATGCACTTGTGTTTTAAATCTTTAATCCAATAAAATATAGTTTTTTAATCGATACATTATACAGTTGAACCTTCAATAATACTTATCTCAAAACAGCAGCCAATTTTTCAAGGGCATTTCTTTTTGAAATGTATACAAAATAACCTCTAAACAATGACCACCTCTTAATGGCAGTCATTTACTCGGAAATGTTTCTTTTGAAATGCACACAATAACCTCCAAACAAAGACTGATGGAAATATAAAAACAATATCCCATCAGTGACCATTGTTCAGAAGTTAGACTGTATATCCTAAATTGTAATTAATTTCGATCAGAACTGATTTTTCTTAGTTGATGTTCTTAGAATCCTTAAATGGATATTCTTTAGAATATAAATATTTCAAACTCCTTTCTATTTAAATTCTGTAGCAAAAATATTCTTTTCATCGCATAAAATAATTAAGTTCTAAAGAAATGACAGTTTTAAATTTAATTATTTATCAAAACAACAGGTGGAAATGAAGAAATAGGGACATTAGAAGAAATTAGAGAAGGAATTTTTCATAAAAACTTTATTACTCTAGTTGTAATATTTAGAAATTAAAGTTTCGAAAAAGTCCATTTTTGGAGCAATTTCTCAAATTACATAAATATGTTTAAGAATCTAGTGTTGTGAAAATGGTTACTTTCCTAAAAATATCTAAGATTTTCAGGAAAACAGGAAAATATCGAGTGTTTTCCTTTTTGAGTTTTCATGTAATGTGCAGAATTCAGTGGCATATTCTGTTGTATATAACTTCCTCTCCTTAAAAAAATTATTAGGAAAAATTAAGGAGATAATTTTAGAGAGAATAAACAAGATTCCTACAATTAGAAGTGCAGAAAGTTTGTAGATTTATAAGAGCTTGTTAGTTTGCACTGCAGTTTCTTACTCAGAAATGACTTTCTACTCAGATGAAAATAAAGAAACAATATATAGAGATAATAAAAGGAAATTTGAGATAATTCATCCTCAGTTTATATATTATTACTAGAAATTCTCCTGTCAAGTATGACAGGCTACTTTCTATGAGAAAGCAGAGACTGAAGAATTGAGAAGAGATTTCAAGAAATTCAAGAAGAGTAAGTAATATTTCTACAAATTCAATAGCTTATACTGTCCATCGGAACATAACTGAAGCATGATAATACATTTTAAATAACAGGCTTGTTAGATCATTACTTCCAATTGGATAATAGAACATCACGTGGTTAGTATGGAGAGATCTTTTAAAAATTTGTTATAGAAGTGACATGATGAAGCTTTTTTTAAAGTTTAAATTTAATGAAGTTAAGTTTAAAATATGCCATTTGCCAAAATATTTTAAAATGTGACTTAAGGGAAATTCTGTCATCATGCACGAACTAAATGAGGTCACTGACATCACTGCAACATAAGTGTGATCATCAATCCAAAATCGATAAAACATTTATTCTATATCCAATATTTCTGAAAAATAAATAGCCTATACTTTCTGTCAGAACACAAATATAACCAAAATTTTAACTGTATTTACAAAAATTCCAGGGAGTTAAGAAATTCACATACACAATGGCTTTTATATTATTAATTTCATTTTTCTATTAATCTATTTCTATTAATTCTATTAATCATGTTAATGGAATTAAAAGTACAAGTTTGGTTTTTTTTAATAATATTTAAAATTAGCTGAACATGTTTAGAATGTTAGACTTTTTTTAAAACAGATTTACATGTAATTTTATATTTATACTGTGTAAGGCATCTATAAACATAAAACAGAAACTGAATTACTCAGTAAGATGAAGTGTAAGGAATGCTAGCATTCCTTACACTTCATCCTACTGAGTACCTGTAATAGTGGATGAAGTGTACACTTCCACTTTATCCACTATAAGAACCACTATAAGTGAAGATCCACTATAGAAGTGGATGAAGATTACACTTCATCCTACTGAGTACCTTTAATAGTGGATGAAGTGTAAGGAATGCTAGCATTCCTTACACTTCATCCACTATTAAAGGTACTCAGTAGGATGAAGTGTAATCTTCATCCACTTCTATAGTGGATCTTCACTTATAGTGGTTCTTATAGTGGATAAAGTGGAAGTGTACACTTCATCCACTATTACAGGTACTCAGTAGGATGAAGTGTAAGGAATGCTAGCATTCCTTACACTTCATCTTACTGAGTAATTCAGTTTCTGTTTTATGTTTATAGATGCCTTACACAGTATAAATATAAAATTACATGTAAATCTGTTTTAAAAAAAGTCTAACATTCTAAACATGTTCAGCTAATTTTAAATATTATTAAAAAAAACCAAACTTGTACTTTTAATTCCATTAACATGATTAATAGAATTAATAGAAATAGATTAATAGAAAAATGAAATTAATAATATAAAAGCCATTGTGTATGTGAATTTCTTAACTCCCTGGAATTTTTGTAAATACAGTTAAAATTTTGGTTATATTTGTGTTCTGACAGAAAGTATAGGCTATTTATTTTTCAGAAATATTGGATATAGAATAAATGTTTTATCGATTTTGGATTGATGATCACACTTATGTTGCAGTGATGTCAGTGACCTCATTTAGTTCGTGCATGATGACAGAATTTCCCTTAAGTCACATTTTAGAATATTTTGGCAAATGGCATATTTTAAACTTAACTTCATTAAATTTAAACTTTAAAAAAAGCTTCATCATGTCACTTCTATAACAAATTTTTAAAAGATCTCTCCATACTAACCACGTGATGTTCTATTATCCAATTGGAAGTAATGATCTAACAAGCCTGTTATTTAAAATGTATTATCATGCTTCAGTTATGTTCCGATGGACAGTATAAGCTATTGAATTTGTAGAAATATTACTTACTCTTCTTGAATTTCTTGAAATCTCTTCTCAATTCTTCAGTCTCTGCTTTCTCATAGAAAGTAGCCTGTCATACTTGACAGGAGAATTTCTAGTAATAATATATAAACTGAGGATGAATTATCTCAAATTTCCTTTTATTATCTCTATATATTGTTTCTTTATTTTCATCTGAGTAGAAAGTCATTTCTGAGTAAGAAACTGCAGTGCAAACTAACAAGCTCTTATAAATCTACAAACTTTCTGCACTTCTAATTGTAGAAATCTTGTTTATTCTCTCTAAAATTATCTCCTTAATTTTTCCTAATAATTTTTTTAAGGAGAGGAAGTTATATACAACAGAATATGCCACTGAATTCTGCACATTACATGAAAACTCAAAAAGGAAAACACTCGATATTTTCCTGTTTTCCTGAAAATCTTAGATATTTTTAGGAAAGTAACCATTTTCACAACACTAGATTCTTAAACGTATTTATGTAATTTGAGAAATTGCTCCAAAAATGGACTTTTTCGAAACTTTAATTTCTAAATATTACAACTAGAGTAATAAAGTTTTTATGAAAAATTCCTTCTCTAATTTCTTCTAATGTCCCTATTTCTTCATTTCCACCTGTTGTTTTGATAAATAATTAAATTTAAAACTGTCATTTCTTTAGAACTTAATTATTTTATGCGATGAAAAGAATATTTTTGCTACAGAATTTAAATAGAAAGGAGTTTGAAATATTTATATTCTAAAGAATATCCATTTAAGGATTCTAAGAACATCAACTAAGAAAAATCAGTTCTGATCGAAATTAATTACAATTTAGGATATACAGTCTAACTTCTGAACAATGGTCACTGATGGGATATTGTTTTTATATTTCCATCAGTCTTTGTTTGGAGGTTATTGTGTGCATTTCAAAAGAAACATTTCCGAGTAAATGACTGCCATTAAGAGGTGGTCATTGTTTAGAGGTTATTTTGTATACATTTCAAAAAGAAATGCCCTTGAAAAATTGGCTGCTGTTTTGAGATAAGTATTATTGAAGGTTCAACTGTATAATGTATCGATTAAAAAACTATATTTTATTGGATTAAAGATTTAAAACACAAGTGCATTTGATCCTTTCTGATTCATTTTTGGTGGAAATAATTATTTTTAAATGAACAATTTTACTTTGACATAAGAAACGAAACAAATTAAGGAGTGATCTGTATTTTATAATAATAGGCGTATAATTATGTTAGTCTTTGAGAATAAAATTATGTTATCATTTTACTTTATTTTTCTATTATTAGATAGAACATCCAGTGGTTAGAAGCTGCTTTTACGTACTTTATATGTATTTAAACATAAGCAAATGACCCTGTAACAGTNAACTATATTTTATTGGATTAAAGATTTAAAACACAAGTGCATTTGATCCTTTCTGATTCATTTTTGGTGGAAATAATTATTTTTAAATGAACAATTTTAAAAATTTTTTAAAATTGTTCATTTAAAAATAATTATTTCCATTCTTTCCAATTGAGAAGGGCCTCCTCCCAATGGAAAGAATTGCAAATGCATTTTCTCCTTTTCTTCTTGGAAGAATCATCCAAAATATATCCACCATCAAGAAGAATTGAGAAATTAATCTAAGAAGTGTTGAATACCAAATAGTTAAGATGAGTCAGAAAGTCTTAAAACTGCTTCAAACCTTAAATAAAAATTTACTCCAATAAAATGTGGCATAAATTTCTGTTCTGGAAGTTTTCTATTAGTAATTTATGTAAGAAAAGCCTAATGATTTCAAGATATTAAAATTAGCATACAATAAAAATTTAGCAGACATTATTCCAAACTATCTGCCGGATTAGTTAATGGGCTAATTAATAATCAGATACAAAGAAATTTGGCTAGAGGTAGATGGTTAAGCTATCATCTCGTAATAAATTTAATAATTAAAAGTAATTTATTTATAATTTAGAATATTCTGGAAGAAAAGAATCAGCTTAAAACAGGACTTGAATGCAACTACTGCTTACTGTGCAGATGGATTGCCAGTTATGCTACTCAGACCTTCATCCAATCTTTGCTTCCAGAGCTATTAATTAATTAATTTAGATATAACCATACTGTTGTTCATGATACTGATTGGGAGTAACTTTAGTGTCAATAGCTCTTCATAGCTCTTTTTAAGTAGTTCTAATATAACCCGATAAATAATCAAGTAGCTAATTTGGTAATACTAGTGTATTGGATTGACATTTGTAAAACTTATGTTGAAAATTATATAATAAAATTTTCGAAAATGAGACTATGCGAAGTCTTGAAATATCAAATTTTTAATTATATCGAACATCGCAAAGCCTGACATGTATATAGAAATATTACCAAACAATCAAGACAATCATTTGGTGATGTTTCTATATCAAATTTTTAGTTTTTTAATGATTTGTATTGTGTGTTTTTAAATATAAATCAGTATTAGGACATTTAATGNTACTGGTATTGGATTGAAATTATGTGAAAGATAATATTTAATGTCATTTATTCCATTTTGAAAGAGAAAGTACACACACACATTTTAAGTCAAATAATAGTATATAATTATATTATTTAATTATGGATTTTGTTTCTTTATTTCAAAAATCTCTAGTGATGAACCAAGAAATTTGAAAGTGCTAAGTGAAGAATTTGGTATCATTGGGAAAACTCCCAATGAAATTGGACTGAAATATTCAACACAAAAATTGTGCATTTTAATTTAATTTTGAGTTAACCGTACATCTTATAATCAAGGATTCTTAGAATCTAAGAGTTATGGTAATTATGTATAGTTATTTAAAGACCATTGCAGTTTATAAACTTTTAAAAATAAATAAAAACACATACCTCATATCTCTGTCCCATAATAACATTCGCATATGATTGATTATGCACTGCATTCCTAATTTAACTAAAATGCCTTGGCCATTATTGTCATCAATGGGATGTCGAGTAAATCCTCTTTCCATATCATAATTGTGAACATCACCATCAAGCAAAGCTGATTTCATTTCACCATGAAGTACTCTTGCTCCATGCTTAGGAGAGGCCACATTTTCTTCGGGAACTAAGAAGAAAAAAATTATATTAAATTTAAGATAATTTAATTCAGATACATCAGAAAAAACTCTAGTTCGGAGTGTGATTCAAACCCATAACTCCCACATAATGTGCGAGCGCATACTTAATAAATTTAAGATAATTTAATTTAGATACATCAGAAAAAACTCTAGTTCGGAGTGTGATTCAAACCCATAACTCCCACATAATGTGCGAGCGCATTGCTAATTATACCATGTTGACTCTAAGCCAAAAGTTCTTCCAGATGTGTATAAATTTTTGCCTATTATTATACAACTGTATTGGTTATATGTTGTGTAAAATAGTCAACTGTATCGGTAGGTAAAAATCAAACTTTCTTATGCTTATACTTTTAATTATTAATTTTTAAAAATGATAAAAATGTTTATAATTACTCTGTATGGTATAAAATATATTAAGTAATAAAATACTTTTTTAGTAAATACATTTTTAATTGGCATTATGATTTTGTATAGAAACTGAGCAAATAGAAATGCAGTGTCTTTAGAGCTTGAATCAAAATGTGGAAATGCATCTTTTAAATGTTTTTTTTATAATAGTTTAATTTTAAATATATGTTGAAATATAGTGAAATCATGATTTACACAATGTTTCTTGGACATCTAAATAATTTTAATGCATTTCTATGATGTAATTGATTTTAGTTTCTATGAATCTTTCTTTATGTGTATGCTTTAATAATGCAATCTATATGTAAATTGTGATTTCACTGTAATTTTTCAAAATGTAATGTTTTTTTGAGAAATTTCTTGAATCAGCAACACTGAATTCTCTACGAAATAATGAGATCAGTATTTTATTAGTTTCCGGAATACATCATCTGTATCCTTGGTTTCTTTTTGTTCAATGATCTAACTTTAACTATCAGGCTTTCCATTTTCTTTATTTTGAATCATTTCTATTTTTATTATTCTATTCTATTTCTGTTTTACTGTTTTGTATTTTCAAATTTCCTGTTTTTTATTTTTGAATATTTCAGTATACAGCTAATTTATTTATCTATAGGTTGTCTCATAAGTCATGTACTATGGATAAAAATAGCTGTTTGGATGATATAACGTATGCGATTGCAATTTCTCTTGCACACAAATATTCAGATGAACGATTCAACCATCCATACACCTTCTGAGATGTCAAGGATCACGGCCTGATGTGGCCGTGGACACTAAGGATGCACTGAATGCTTCTTTTACTGATTCCTCTAAAATCAGCAAAAGCAGCTTGCTTAGAGTGTTTGAACTCTTACCATTCTCTATTATTTCACTGAACAATCATTAGGATGATCTTGATGCATTCATCTTGCATTAACATTGTCTGAAATGGAAAAATTCATTACATTACAGTTTGCCTACAGTGTGTGACTCATAGAAAATCTTGTAACTAACTGAGAGTTTGTTCTGGCAGTGTTATGACTAAATCACCTCATTCTGATGCTTAATTTGTTATTATTTCTACTATAATTTTAAGATTAACATGGATTAACTCAGTTACCAATAAGAAGAATTAATGTACAGGGTGTCTCCAATCTTTTGAGTTATATTTTGCCAGCTGATAAAAAACATTGAATACAAAAAATTTTTCCTCACACTTTTTTGATTTGGCCTTGGTTTCAAGTTATGTGCAAAAAAACTATCAATTTTGTAAAATATTATTTATTGAATATTGTTGGTTCTAGTCAACCCATTTTGATAATTTTTTTCCCTTGAATGAAGGTGTTTTTGTTGAATAGATTTTTCTTTTATAATCTTGAAAACATGGTTTTTTTTATTAGTGAGGTCTTGTACAGGTCTTAGGAAGACCTAAAACTAAAAAACAACTATTAATTATTAATCCACTTACTAATGAAGCTAAACTGCATTTTTAAATTTTTATCACTGTCAGCCTAGGTCCAGAATCAATTTTCAGATTGGTAGTGCACAAAGCTTTTGCAAAATAGTTCTGTTCCCTGAACACTGGGAGTTCGATTGTGAGTTTGTGCCTGGCCAGGACAGGCTGGCCACATGGAGTTTTCCAGGTTTTCTCTACTTCTGTAATGCCTAAATAGGGATTTAAAAAGACCTCCTGGACCTTGGGCAATCTACCTAGGGAGGCATCCCTAGGCAGATTGCCCAAGTATTGCATTGATGTAACTTAACAAACAACAACAACAATGCTTTATTATTGCAATCAATTACATGTCTCAAAAGAAACAAAATAAACTTTTATTTCAAAGTCTTACATATTTCGTATTCATGTATATTTCATTAGAAAACCTGACTGTCCCCATTGCGAATGCAACATAGACATGATTAAAAATAGAGTACTCCTAGTGCTCACAGGGCAGTAAAAAAAAAGCTAGACTGTGGCCAGACAACCATTGATAATTGCACAAAACCTTTGATTCATTCAGTGTTTTGAAGTCACCTCACAGCACTACACAGAATATAATTTTGTGCACCACAGATTATAAAGGCACATGCATTTAATGACAGGTGGCACGTGCATGTATACCACCTGCAGACAGCTATCATCTACAATTCTTATTTTATTTCTTTAATACAAATTGGAATATTTTCAGATAGAAATGGACAAATCAAAACATTCTGGGAAAATTTTATGATCGGAACAGTGTTTAAAATTGGACGAATCCTGAAAAATTAGGATGTATGGAAACTCTGAGGAAAAGGGGCTTGGAGATGTCTCTTGCTACTCAGAGTGCAGCTGTTTTGTAGGCATTATGCCTGTAAAACAGCTGCTAAATGATATTTTTGCATTTTACTTTTTTTTGTAAAAGTGAAAATCCTCTTCAAATTTCTTTTGTTTAATGAAAACATACTAATGTAGGTTTTTTTTTTTTTGAAATGGCATAAAGCAATGGATATACGTATTTCAAAATTGAAATGATGTAAATGAACATACAAATCTAAACTCACGAAGCATAATCTGAAGGTGATTTTGAGTATCCTAAAATATTTGTTATAAATTTTCATGCTGCATTTTAAAGATTTGTGGAACTTTACTTGAACACAAAAATTATTACAGGTTTTAAAATATTCTTTAGAAAAATGTTTGGTTCTTAAACAGGATTTCTATTTATTTTCATTCTATATTCTTACAAAGGTAATGTTTAAAAGTGAAGATGTGAAACTATTGTAGGGATACCATGTTGTACGAGGGATATCTGTAAATCTTATTAATTTTAACTAGTTGATGAGTAGAATAATTATTTCAGAAAATTTCTAGTCGTAACAAAGCACATAATTGCTAGAATTATTTAATAAAAATATGACTAAGATGATTAATTTTTTGATCAGAGATTTTAACATAACTTCTTATAAAAGCAATGGATGAAGTATATTCTTTGAAGTGATAAACAATAAAAATAAACTTTTTTATAAACAGGGAATAAAATTCCTGGATCAATAATATAAACAAACTTTGAGGATGCACAAATATCCTCCTCACATTGGTTTCAGTCCTTGGCATGTACACATTCAGTGCTGATGGTGTTCTAAGGCTTCTTCAACACTGAACCTGTTAGTAACTATTGCGTTATCTGCAGCTTCACTTTCCTTGCTTCTTTCTGTTATTGTGTTATTGTTATTTTCTACAACTTGTTGCAACATGTTTTGCAGTTAAACTAAGAATTAAAATTTACTTTTTAAAATATTTTTGATAAATGTGTATTATTTAATGTAAACCAGTATTTTTAAGCATCTATGCTTATGATTATATTATTATTTTTTGGTTAAAATTATACATCATATAAGAGAGAGAATTTAATTTTGTGCTCAGTTGAGGATTAGAACATGAAAGTTTTGCCATCATAATCAATCTGTACAACTAATTAGAGCAACTAGTTGTCCCAAAACGAAAAGTAGTTGTCATGTATGATGAAGAAAGCAAATGTGTGTCAGTGTATGCTTGCCAATTGACAACTTTGGAAACTGTTTTATACCAATGTAAATGGTGGATACCTGTAAATCAAGATATAGGACATATAACATGAATGTGTGTTATTTATTAAATGTAAATTAGATACCAGACTATGGTATCTTATTGCAAAATGTGTGTTATGTAATTTACTCTTAAGTCAAAACATACAATTGTTTGTTGTTATAGACTAGGAGCTCGGGCATCTTTTTCATTAAAATTCCTGATTAGGCAATTATGATAATGATATGTGTAATTTAGGTTATATTAAAGCATTGATTTATGTGATAAATATACTAATTTCAGCATGTATAACTTATGAACCAGGAATTATTGAATACCAAGATTTTCCTGCAACTGAAGAACCAGTATGGCTTCTAGGAAAAAAATATAATGCTTTACATGGTAAATATACTTATTTTAAAATTAAAATATACGACAAATTTTTGCTAGTATATGTTTAGATAAAGCAAATATTTAAATGACAAAAATTAGAAAATATTTGAGTAATACAGGTATGTATGTGCCATTTAATAATACAGTGGTACCTTGACTTATGAGTTTTTCGAGATACAAGCCAGCTTCAGATACCCCACTACTAGTTGGTGCAGTGAATGCCCTAGATTAAGAAAAAGAAGATGGAAAACTGTCGTAATTTCGTCATTTTCATTACTCTTCAAATGTCTGACAGGCTAGCTTATAGAATAACGTGATTGAGTGATGTAGGCATTAGTTCACTTCCATGTTGTGTGCGGCACCACCATCTCATTTCTCTAATTTTCCATCTTTTCTTTCTTTATCTAAGCAGCAAATGCTGTAACATCCACAAAATCAATTTCTTGCAGTACATTCTATTGTGTTTTTATACAATATTCATTATTTATAAGTACATTTTTCTTATTTAAAAACATGTAATAAAAAAGTTGCAGTATTTTGGTGGGGTCCAGAATGGATTAATGGCATTTCAGTGGGAAAAAATGATTTGACATATGAATAATTTGAGTAAAGAGTTCTGTCACAGAATGAATTAAACTCATTAGTCAAGGTACCATTGTACTACACTGCATAGACAAAAGAGTATATAAGATTGTAATACAGCTGAAAAATTTGTAGCTGCTTGTATTTTTTATAGGTTTAGCTATGTTTAAATACACAAATATTTTGCATTATGTTACAATTGTAAACATATAGCTTATACTTAGACAAACTTTATATGACTATACCATATAAAGTTTGTCTACAAGAAAGTTCACTTGATTTCACTAACTAATTTAATTAAACATGATATCAAATAAAAGATAATTAAGATTACAATCATATACTAAAATATTATCTGCAGAATACAAGTATTAGTTGAGTTATAACTCATTAAAGTTTTTGCAATTAGACCACTCGTTAATTATCTTGCATGATTTTTTTTTTAAATTTTTGATATTACTACTAATCAAAATTTGATATATGACATATCAATTGAAAGAATTTTTAATACACTATATTATATTACAATGTTGGTTTTTGTGTATATTTACAGTGACCATATGTCCTTTATTTAAGAGGACAGTCCTTTATTTCACTGCTCTGTCCTTTAACTTTATTTATTTTCTAAAATAGGCATTTTGTCCTTTATTTTGTAAAGTTGACACAAAGTTTAAAAAAAATTTTTTTAATAATATATTGAACAAGTTAGTTTTGTATACGCCATCACGACCAGTGTTGCATTGCTACATAGAGCGCAGTAGTGCAGTGTGTTGCCAACCAAACGGCCCACTGACAGTACCAGGGGTTTCTTCCTATTGTTATTAGAAAAATGGTTTTAGCATTAGAAAAATCAGAAAATATACAAGCCAAAAAATTCAATGATGCTGTGTACACATTTTATCAAACGTGCATAGATTATCTAAATAATTGGGACATGTTTTTTATTGAAATAGAGGTGTTTGAATGGGTCACATTATGCGAAATCCCTTTTGTGGGCGAAAGTAGAGGAAAGCTATATCTTTATTTCGAATCATTGGTCCGTAAATATACTCGATGGTGAATTATTTGATGAAGTTTCATGTGTAAAAAAATATGTCACAAACGAAAAGATCGACGAATGGTGACAGAATAACCAGCCCTGCCATCAAAGGTGGATTGAGATTTTTGAACATTTTACAGCAAAAGAAATTGTTTTCAAAAACATTTGTAAAATCGTAGAATTTTCTTTGTCTCCCTGGATCTAATGCCCCCGTTGAACGAATATTTTCATTGGTGAATAATATGTGAACAAATGAAAAAAACTGATTTAAAAGTAAGCACATTAGAAGCATGTATTTCCATCAAATACAACTTTCAAATGAACTGTATGAAATTTTATGACTTTAAAGCATAAAACGGTGCTATATAAAAAAATTAATTCTACTGAAAAATATCAAAATTAATGTTGTTTAAATTTTTACAATGTGTGTATGTGTAATAATTCAGATTGTTTAAAATTTTAATGTATGCATTGTTGTATGCTACTATTTCCGTAATAAATCTTATAAACTTATGAATTTTATAAGGTTAATTTTTGATTTTCATCGATATGTCCTTTATTTTCCCCAAAAAAATATGGTCACTGTATGTATATTGTATGAGTCATGAGTTACTTAAGTTGTGTGTGTTAATACATTTTCATCACTATCTCTCTAATTCTTGATACTCTGCAAATAAAAACATAACATATTATTAAGCTAATTAAGCCCTTTCATTTGACATATGGTTTGTACACTGTACATATGGTTGTGTGTGTGACATAAAGTATATTTTCCTTGTAAGTACACTTGATGATGATTGTGCAATGAAAAAGTTTCTTAATGACATATTTCTCAGAACATATCCCTCTCATTAAGCAGCACTTACCTGTGTATACTAAACTTTAAAAAATTTGTTTAAATGCCTTGAAATTTCCTCAAAATGCATTTAAACTTACTTTTTTATCCCATTATTAATACCTAAATGCCTAACATACCTAACATGAATAAATAAACATAAATAATCTGTCATTTAGTAGTTAGAGTTTATGGTAAAAGATATTTCATATAATACCTGAAGAATAAATAGTATAAATAATTCACTAGAAGTTTTACATTATTATTTATCATTAAAAAACTTGTAGTTAATGCACCTAATTCTTAATTTAAATGTTAAATTGGTTTCAGGAAGGTTTTGTGCAAGTCAAAATTGTATAAATCTAGTCTAACCTTTATAGAAGTAATCTACCTTATGAATTGAGGATTTGTGTATTTATTTTTTAGTATTATTCGTTTTCATTTCCTTGTAGATACATAGTTTTGTAAAGAAATTGCTCATGTATTTGTATATATTACCAAGGAATTTCTGTATATGATATGAAAGTTGACAAAGAAAAATTAATGCTGACATTTTTATGTTGGCAATGTTTTTAGTTTTTTGTCTACAGCAAATATAATTTGTGCTCTTAATGCATGAATTACAGTCAAATAAGGGAAGAGGATTATTTTTTATGTATATGTTCAATAAAAGTTTATCTTCTAATAAAAATGATATACCAGAGTTTTATTTTATAGTGTGAAGTTTTGATTTTTGGGAAAAAAACTTTACTTCACAATCCAGCTCTAGGGCAAAATCTGATGCTCGTACATTCTATATTCTGTAGGAGTGTTAAATGACTTTCTTTAACACCTGTATTATATTTGATTTAAAATGTTTTTTTAATACTTATTTTGATTTTTATTTTTTAGATTTGGAGAGTTTGAGAAACGATGTTCGTACCAGATTATGGTTTACCTACAGAAAGAACTTCAGCCCCATAGGTAAATATACTTTTGCTTTTGATAGTTGAAGATAAACAATAAAGAATTGAAAATGTTAGAATTTAGATGTAGTTTTTTAATGTAATAGTGTAGATACAAGCTTTTCAAATTCTCTATATACTTAATTTTAATGTATTTCTATTAAATAATTGATGTTAATTTTCATGAAATTTTGCCTTTGCTCATATATCAATTATAAGCACATATAGTCTTACAAATAATAGTTATCATCAGTTATCAAGATTACACTTTTAACTGTTGTCAGACTTTGTAAGATATCAAATATATATGTTTAAAAATTATACATACATATTACAAAAATTGTTAAGAAATAATAATTGTAAATTGATAATTTCAACAATAGTTATTAATATCAATACAGCAAATATAGCAATACAGTAGAGCGTTGATTATGCAAATCAATTGGAGACTGGGGTTGTTCGGAAAATTGATTTTTCGGATAACCGATTATGTACAAAAAATACATTATTAATATAGTATATTAGTATATCCCAATAATACTATATTAATATATCCCATGTTTAAATTTTTCTCCGTTGCGTGTTGCTTCGTGTTGAATTTTCGTCGATGTTTAATCCTAATGAAAATTTTCATAATAATAATCGTGGCTATAATAATAATTGTATTGTTAAAAATTATTTCTTTATTTTGTACAAACAAAATAAATATATTGAAAAATATAAAAACAAAAAAAATTATACTTTAGAAGTTAATCTATTATCAAATACGTTTGATTCAGCACGACACAGTCTGACAGGAATGCTTTCGATTAACCGACGTTTTGGTTGATCAGCATTCAGTTAATCGATGCTCTACTGTAGTTATATCTTTTACCATTATTAATGTATGATGATAAAATAATTTAATAAAATTCAATTTTTTAACCAATTGATAGTTTTTTATATTTTTCATCAGGTGGAACAGGTCCCACGACGGATTCGGGATGGGGATGCATGCTACGATGTGGTCAAATGGTTCTTGCCCAAGCTCTTATTAATAGACATTTAGGAAGAGGTTAACATTATTTAATATTAGTTCTTATTTTAACAGAAACCTTTAACAAATTTTAAGCATAATGTACAATTATTTATGATTTTAGATGTCATTATCTGTGTTAATAACACTAACTTTGTGTAAAATCATCATCTACTATGACCTAGTTTTCATATGTAATGATATATATTAATTAAATAACAACATAGTAAAATTTAATGAATAAACCAATTAAAATTAAATTAAATTATATTGTATTATTTGTTAATACTGTAGTTGAACATAAAAAAATCTTGGTTTGATTAATGCCAAACAATTTGCCGTATAGTATTAAAGCTAGTTTAGTACTATAGCCAACAAATTATTTGGCATTAATCAATAATATGGTCACTGGATTTGTTGTTACATATTTTATTTTTATGCTGACTCTATAAAATAATATTGTTTTGTATTTTATTACAATACATTTATATATGATGCTAATATTTTAAGAAATTTAGATGTTTTAGAGCAATTTGAAATGAATTCATTTATCAACATGTGTTTTTCTTTGTAATTTTACATAAGGGGCAAAATTTAAATATCAAATCCTCAGACTTCATCTTCATCTCAGACTAATGTACTCACTCAGTTCAGATGAACTGAGTGAGTACATTAGTCTGAGATGAAGATGAAGTCTGAGGATTCTCAATAACATTTCTAATGTACTCACTCAGTTCATCTGAACTGAGTGAGTACATTAGAAATGTTATTGAGAATACCGCAATTTCTTCACTTAACATTGTTAAGGAACGATACAAATACATTTGTAATCTTATGTGTTTTTTGGAACCTATTAAGAACTTATCACAAGGAACACTCCTCTTGATGGAAAAGGTGGATTTGTAGTCATTTACAAATATTACTGTTGAGTTTTTCTTATAAACAGTAAAATTGATTCTATGAGGTAAGAATTATATACTGGAAGCTTGAAACATGATTCAATTGGAAGCTTTTAATAAGAGATGGCACCTAATATCTACCTCTAATTTCTAATCCCATAATTTCTAATTTCTTAATTGTAGTGTAATATTGCCCAATTAACTTGGCTGATGGTTGGAAGATTAATAATATATTTGATTATTGAGATGTTCANATTAAAATATTATTTTTGCGTTAAAATGATACATCTTTGTTATTTTGTGAGAAAAAGCAGAAAAGGGAAATAAACTTTTCATTTCAACTCTCAACTTCCCATGGCAAGATGTTATCACATATTTTTGATGAGCATCTGTTAAGTTGAGTCATCATTGCATCATGTCACATGAGAATAACTTAAACATTGATTGGAGAGGATTATGAAATAAAAGGGGAAAAAAATGCATCTCAGAGCAGACTTCACAATCAGAGATAGATAGAAAAAGCCCTGTTCATCAACTCTCTCAGCTCCCAGCTCATTTCCCGTCTCTCCTGAAGGGTCTTCCTACCGATGTGCCGACCACGCCTTGACGATATCAAAAGACATTGATCAACTAGAGGTATTATGAACCGATTTATGTAAACTCTCTCTCTCGGTAATTAGAGGTATAAGTAGTTAGCTATTCGATTCCCTTCAATATTGTAGACGAAACACATTAATCCTACCTAGATGTATTCTATTGTAGTAGTCTATATGTAATCATCAAATTCTTGATAACATTAAACTTGTTGTTTTGTTTAATTGGTTTTGAATTGAATTCTTCCAAGGACAGACACCTACCGACTTATTCATGACCCCTCCACCACTCGATAAAACAAACAAAAGCCATCCACTGACCACGTGAGCAGGCCTCACAGGTCTGATGTCGACAAAGGGAGTTAACAGTATTAAACTGTAACCCCGGCTTCTCACAAAGATTTAAATATATATACTAATAAAAAATAGTTTTTAATCATTTTACAAATGTTGCTGACACTTCTGATCAATTTAGCTTTCATATTCAGTATTAATACTTACATATTAAAACAGATTTCTGATGTAACTATGATTAGGTCATTAAAAAAATTGTATAAATATAAGTAAACATATGTCTACTTCAATAAATTACTATTAGATTACATAAAACTATATGTGTATCATTTACCTCATAAATAATTAACTTAAAAATTATCTCAATGAAATTAATACTCAGATGTAATATGTTAATTTTTTTTTTTATTAAATTACATTTAAACTGACTTTTATATATAAAAAATTTTTAAATATATATGTAATTATAATAATTAATAGTTGCATATAATTATCAATACAATTTAATATTTCCATATACAGGTATCCCTTGTACATGCTTTCGCTCTAATATGGTTTTGGAAATCCTCTGTACAAAATTTCACAATTTTTAAGTGTAAACTTCATTATTCTATATTTGTTTTTATTCAAATAAGCACATGTGCTGTCTCAAATTTGCCCACAGATTTTAGAATATTGAAATTTTCATATTATTTTATGCTTTCATCAAGTTTACTGTAATGAAAATTAATAGGACAAGGAAAAAAAAATTGCACTAACTTTCCTATTAACCAGGTATTGTCGTTGTTTTCACTTTAACTCTTGAGACTTTCACCGTTTTTTTATTTCTATAGATTACTCTTCATATTTAGTAATGTTTATTTATTTAAACATTTTTAGGTAAGTGTTATTAAACTTTTTTTAATTGTAGGTACGCAATCATTCATAAAATGACAAACAAAATATGGCGATATCTCAGTACTCAAACAATTCGTTATTTGAACAAAAATTCTGGAAAAAAATTGCTCAGTACTCAACCAAACAAACACAACCTGCTAGAACAAATTTTTGATTAACAACATATTTTTATTCCATAAAAATTGTTTATGATAAAAATAAAAAATATGAAAATGTTGCTGATACTTCTGATCAAGATCAAAAACAAAGCTGAGATGACAACGATACTTTGTAAAAAGAAAACACCCTTTGTTTAACTAAAATTAATATTAAAGCATGATACAGTACTTTTAATTGTGATTGTTAATTATTGATTGGAAATTATCAACTGATTTAATAAACATTTCTCTCAGTAATGAAAAAGAAATGTAGACTTTTGCTAACTTCTGAAACGTAACCTTATGTTTTGCATTAGTCCTTTGTTTCGTATAGCATGGATTCACATAACACAGCACTTTTTTGGAATGTAACTAGTGTTATATAAGGGATACCTATATAATACACATATACGTAGATCTACATTTACATAACTATATTACAAAAAAAAAATGATATCTTTATTATTATTTATGATTATACATTAATCAAATTACAAATTTTATAAATAAAATTTCAAATTAAACTTACTTAAATAGCCTCTATATTTCAGATCGGTATCACGGCTTTCAGTTCGAGATTTTATTGCATCGAGAATAATATCTGCTTTAACCAATCCAGTTGGACGCACAATATTCAAAAGATCTTGTAATGTCATTAAGGGTAACCTAACACAAGATAAAATTTCCTGTGGTTCTATTCCAGAGTTATGTTGTGTCCAATTATAGACAGCTCGAAAAATATCGACTTCTGGTGCACAAAATGAATCCCTACTTATCATTTCTTTTACTGCAGCCTAAAAATATATCATTGAAAAAACAAAATATTAGGTGTTCAAAATTCTCATTTGCAATTTAATGTACAAACAAAATTCTTATATATTTTTTAATTATTGAAAAGCAGTAAGAATAAAAGTGATTCTAAAATATTTCACAATTAATTTATTTAATTTTTAATGGCATAAAAAAATTTAAATGTTTAGAATGTTTTCTTATATTAAAAATATTTCATAAGGCTAGATTTAAAAAAAAACATTTATAATTATGAAACTTTCAATGAAATGTATTACTTTGTTCCCTATTCTGACAGTCAGTATTACATTGAAAAGAAATACCATAATATATTAACATTAATTATATTTTTTAATCAATCAAGTATTTAATACAGGGTGGGGCAAATAAAAGTGGCCCGGACGAGTGGATACGATTAGCTTTGATCCGCCTTCAGCAACTTGCTGACCAGGGCTCAAAGGTGCCAAGAGATGAATGGTGGTCACTTTCAACATCTGCTATAGTCAGGTTAGTACTGTATTTCCTTTCCTCTGCTGTGTTTCTTTGTACCTGGAACTCGGTTCTCCGGGCCACTTTTATTTGCCCCACCCTGTAATTTAACTGAAAATTAATAATGTTCTTGTTTAAAGTACAGTAGAGCGTCGTTTATCAAAATCAATTGGGGACTGGAGTGATTCGGATAACTTATTTTTCGGATAACGAATCATGTACGAAAAAATATATTAATTTATCCCATGTTGAAATTTCTCTCTGTTTCATGTCGCTTCACGTTGAATTTTCGTCGATGTTAAGCCTAACGAAGACTATTGTATCGTTAAAAATTATTTTTTTATTTTGTACAAACAAAATAAATTTATTGAAAAATATAAAAACAATAAAAAATTATACTTCAGATGTTAATTTAGTATCAAAAACGTAAAATATTTGAGTAGCCCGAGAAATAGCCGAAGATTGCAGCGCCACAGCACTAGCGAAAATTTAAATTTGCCGACTGGAATGCTTTCGGATAACAAATGTTTCAGATAACCAGCTTTCGGATAAACGACGCTCTACTGTATATGTAAATTTATTAAATCTGTAATCAATCATATAACACAAAATATAATAAACTGCATTTTTTATTAAAATTATACAAAAAAATGAACTTAGTTTGAAAATAATCTATAAATTAAGGGATATAGTTTCAAAAATAGCCAACTCCACTTTTTCTGGGTCTGGAACATAAGGGATGTGTGGCTGATTTTGAAACTAACCTCCAATTTTCATTTCTTCTTTCTGTTTTATGGCTAGTTTAGAAATTCATAACAATTATCATTGAACAGAACAAAAAAAAAAGCATACATAAGATCAAGGGATCGGCTAATTTTTTTAAAAGATTGACTTAGCCATCTCTGAAACTATATGCCTCAATTACACACAATTTATGGAATGTTAAAATTCCACATTATAAAGGAAAAATGTTTTAAATAAATATTTTTCAAATTTGGCAATGTTTATTCCTATTATACATATTTATATTCCTACTCTGAATTTACAAAGTATATATATAAACACTTATGATTGCATTCTTACAAATATTGTTAATACAATCCAAAAATAATTTGAATTATGAATGTCTTTACTAATAAGACATCAAAATTTGATGTTTATTAATGACAGTCAAGCATGTTATGTTATGTTATATGTTATATATAAAACTGCAAAACAGTCTATAAAAATGGCTTTACATATTGAAAATTTCTTAATAGCAATTCAATTCTACCTATTAAAGTAATAAATCTAATTTAACACGATGCATGATCTAAATTACTGTTGCAGTGAGCAATACAGATGTTTATAATTTACAAATAAATTGCTTTAAAATACAACTATAGAATAATAAACTTAAGTTTATTCAGTTTTAATGCTAATTTACTCAATTTTAGTAATAATAAAACAAAAAGATCTAATTGGAAGTTTCCTGATTTTTTTTATCGAAACCTTTTTGCTACATATATATATATATATATAGCCATAATGATAGCAACTAAGAAATTCNTATATATACACTAGTTGAAATCATTTTTTTTACATTAAAAAAATATATATGTACATTCAAAAATCAGAATATGTATTAGTTGCAAATGAAACATGATAATGATGATGATAATGATGATACAAGTTAGAGTATTAATATTAGTTTATATATAAATCTTGGCTAATTGAGTTTGATTTAGACTTTAATGTAATATTTTCATTTCCACAAATGTACTTTCACTACATTTGCCAATGTGCTTCTGTATTTTTACAGCGCAACAGATTGTTTCTGGAAAGTCAACTGTCAATTTTAGTCATAATTATCATTGTTTTTGATGCTTTCTAACTTGTCTTGTCCATTATCTGTATTTCACAAAAACAAACACCATCTTTTAACTATTTTTCATAGACTTCAATTCAGATCATATGTCTATTACATCAAACACATGAATACCTGGCCTTCTTGTATCCTAACAAAATAATTCAATTGCAATTACTTTGGTATTCATTTTAATTACAGCAATTTATATTTTAAATTCTAATGAAAGCATACATATGTGTAGTTGAAATTTTTTTTTAATTTAATTAAATAAAAGCATTAAAAAAAATTTTATTTGAAAGAAATTAATTGATATATTTTCATTTATTTATTAAAATATAGTTAGAATTAAGAAAATTCTACTTACTGATGATAATGATAAAAATGATTCATGTTGAATAATTTCTTGGGCATGTTTATCAACAAAACAGCAGCATACTTCTGCCAATGATGATAAATGGAATAAATTTGCTGTATCGTATATCATACAAACATTACGGATGTTCAAAATTGCTTTCAGATATTCAGAAATAGACGTTTCCAGTTCGACAAAACCATACTGATGAGCCAGACCAAGTATATCCAAAATCATATCTTCCTATTTATTTATATAGAAATAAAAATAATTTAAAATCTTATTTATAAACATTTATAATTAAACCTAAAATATTTTAAAAATTAATTTCATTTGAATTTTAATGAAAAAAACCTATAATTTTTTTGATAATTTTGTTTGCTATTTAAATTTTATGTTTTTGCTATCATTTCTTCTATCAACAATATACACAAACTTCTTCTCTATGCTCTCACACAAATTCTTTTGGACTTTATGATATAATGCTCCATTTCTTATATTTTCATTTTGTTAGTTCTCAATGCATTTGTTAACAAACTTGCATAAATCAATAATTTTTTCTAAATATTCAATGTTAAATTTATTATTTCATAAATATTCAAAATACTCTATTCATCTTTTTTCTGTTATTTTTAAATTCAATTTTTTGCTCTTTTTCTTTTAATATATTATTAATACCAAATTCTTAAGACCAACCTAACTTTCCTCTCATAACATCTTAGGATCTATTATTTAATTCTGTTTTAACCTCAGTGTACAGTTTTAAACTCTGTATTAAACAACTGAATACTGTTAGATCTTATTTTATATTTCATTGAATCCTTTGAAAGCATCAGAAACTGAGATGACACGATACTGAATTCTGCTAATATGTATTCAGAATATCAGTTTATAAATAAACTAATACCAGTATATTGGGAACATTCCAATATGCTAATATATCAGTATCAGATAGGTATCAGTTCATCTCTAATCAGAACATCTACATATTTCTTTTCAGTAAATTATGAACTGCACACATTTCAGTTTGTTTCATTATTAGTAAGTCTAAACAATGCTTATTCTCCATATTAAATCATTATCTTTAGAACTAATTTTATAGCATCATCTAAAAAAAAATGTTACAAAATTTACTGATTAATCATCCATATATCTTCTATTATACTGTGTTTGATACCTGTGTGATTTTTTTTACAATCTTCTTATAATCACAATATTATACATGAACAATTTCTAAAAGTAATTTAACATATGTAGTAAATAAAGAAATTATAAAGTAATAATGAGTAAGAATGAAAATTTTGTGCATTAAGCATTTTTTTCTTTTAACTATCAGACATACATTTAAAATTAAATAAAAAAAACATTGTCATAATGCTGGGTTGCAATTTTTAATTTAAAATTTATGTTCTCCACTTCAAATTAGTAATGGCTTGCCCCTGTACATTATACTTTTTCTTTAACAATGGCATCATGCTGGTCATCTATCAAACTCCTTTCAGAGGAAAATTTTTGAATTGAAATAATGTTACATCTGGTTTGCGTCAGAGGTTCGTATATAGTTAATTGGAGCCTCCTGTCCCTAAGCTTTCAATTCTGTTCTTGGATTTTGTCTATTTAACTCTGTTCTTGAGATTAAGGAAAGACAGACAGATAGACAGACAACAACAGTGGGAATTTATAGGTCTACAATTTTTCAAATTGCAGCCCGATGACATGATGCAGAAAGTTACTAACCTGAATTTCTATAGAATATTTTTTACTATAGATATAAAATTTTAAGCGGATTTGAATTGTTAAATATCATTTTACCAAAACATTAAATTATAAAGTACAAATGGGCCAGAGGAAAAGCTGGGGATTTTTCCCCGAGGCCAGAGAGAATTTAGTTGGCCCATAATTGTTTCTACCTATATTAATGTTATCTATACCCAGTTGCATACCAAGCTTTTGATGGCTCTGGTTATAAACAATCATCATTATTAGCAGAAATCAAATATAAGAAGCTCCCTTATTTAAAGGAATTAAGTAATAATTTTAGTTCAGACAATAAAAAAAAAATCAATGAAAATATATTAAAGTTTAATAATTCTTTTAATTATAAATAATTTAATTACATATCTTACTTTAAGATTTGTTAATGTCATACGACCAGTATAAATATAGCGCAATAAGATCTTGAAAGCTACTAAAGATGTTCCTTTTAATTCAATTACATCTTGTGATGATTCTCTCATTCCACCATATAATAATGCTCTAAAAATTAATACATAATAAAAATTAGCCATTTTAAACACACACACATTTAAACTTTTGAATAACAACAAATTAAAATTCATGTAAAAAAAAAAAAGAAAGAAAAAGTGTTCATATAAATTACAAGTTACCATAAATTACTGACTGAATTTTTTTATCATCATATGACTAAAACATTCAATAAAATATAATTTAATATATATTTTTTTGGATTATTTTTAAAAATTAAGATAAATTTTATTAATAACTAATTTGGAAAAATAAACTGCAGAAAATTATATTTTATACGATAATAAGGTATAAAAAAAATATTTAAATACTTTATATAAAATATATTTCAATAGAAATCTTTTTATTCATTTTTGGGATTACTAGACTAAAACATAAATATGTCGTATAATACAATTATGAATCCTAACAAATTCTTTTCAGATAAATGAAAATATACTAGAGAAATACAAGGTGGAACATAATTACATCTCCTATTTTATTTTAAAGCAATCAAATTGAAATTCATACATATTAAATTATATATTAACATATCTTGGCGAAGGATTTTTGCATCTCACTTTATTTTAATATGACAATTTGCAACGTCAATGCACATACATATGAGACATTTTGTTTCCTCAGAGACTTTTGACATTTCTGGTATCACAAGACAGCGTTGCCCCAATTCTGTCCAGAAGCTCCTTAATAGCAAGTGGCTTCATTGCATACATGTGTTCCTTTACAGAACTCCTAAGGAAACATTTAGGGGTAATGTCAGATGATCTTGAAGGCTATGGGATATCATTACTACACTATTCTATGGAAGAGACTGTTCAGAGTTGCACAAACCTCTTGTGGTAAACGTCATTATGGAGAAAATACTGTTGTATCATGTGCAGTAAGCCAATTTCAATTGGGACAGCACAAAAAGTCTCTGCTGTGTTTGACCCAAAAAATAAACACACTAGACTCTAACATCAGACATAGGACATTAACTTTTGGAAAATCTCAATGTTGTCTCTTTGGAAATCAGCTTTACTCCATAACCAGCAATTCCATTGATTCAACAATCCAGATAAGTGAAAGGTTGTCTTATCCAACCAATAAAAATTTACAATATTTGAAACTTTTCACCAGAGTATTTTATAGTACCATGTAATTTAAATTACAATTGCTTTAAAATAAAACAGGAGACATGATTATGTACTACCCTGTACATCTAAAAAGAACATTGGAATTTATAATTACAGTTGAACTTCCATACAATAAATTTCTTCCAGGAAAAGTAGAAAATTTGTCATATAGAAAAGACACTAAATAGAAAATGCACTGGTAGTGAAAACACAGTACATTGTAAATATTTTATTCTCCATGCAGTTCATATTCATAACGAGATAAAATATTAGGTATACATTTTCTTGCTAATAATGGAAGCAATTTCTTAGTTTTAAATGTATCAGTAAGATTTTTATTTGTATTATATATCCATATATAACAATTAACAATCAGTAAGTTTGTTATTTATTATATATTTGTATATTCAGTCACAGATATTTGATCTCACTATGAGAAGAGTACTTTAATAACAACAGACATCTGGCAGCAGCAGCTGTAGAAATGAGTCAACATTTTAATCAATTTTAACAGTTATCAGTAATAAAGACTTTTTTTTATTTATCCAACTTTTGAAACTCCATTAAAGAGATATTTCTGGATATATAAAAAAAATGTAATCTTATTCCCCTATTAAGGATCAGAACTGTGCTGATTATCAGACATTTTTGTATTTTCACAAAATTCAATAAGATATGTAATCTGAACATTGCAGGCATTACTATACACTGCTTATATGCTTCCAATTTGTTTATGAATGCTCTTTAATTAGTCTGAAGATAACAGAGTGCATGACTATACTGTGTTAAAATTGATTGAAAAACCTGAAAAACATTAGTGAACACATTACTACACAAATTCAACATTCACAATGATTCAAATGCTTATGGTATTTATTTTTCAGATATGCACTATATTTCCAGGTTTTTAGCGTAGATATATAAAAACTTATGGAAATGGATGTTAATTTTTATATATATTATATTTGAAAATGAATTTGATTGAAAAATACATAGGTTACTTTCTAAATAATGCCTCTAATTATATTATGTTGGTCCATGATATGAAATAAATATTGGTGGTATGGCAGTAGAGTTTGAACCTTCCCACCAACTGGTTGCCATGCAGCTGATAGCAGCAAAATGGAATATGGCACAGCCATGTGCACAAAGCAGAGGTGTGTCATTAAATTTCTCCTATGGAAAAAAACTGTACCCATTGAAGATACTGACATTCTTTGACACTTGTTCTGAAAGTTTGCTAATACCAAGTAGTAGATGTGAGCATAGTGAAGCAGTGGGCGACACATTTCAGTAGTGATGACATTATGAGAGAAAAGTCACATTCCAAGTGCTAACATTCTATAAAACAGAGCTCCTCAATCAGCTTCATCTACAAGAATTGGCAAATTACAACCTGAGAAATGTGTAAGAGCTGAATGTCAGCTTCCAAGCATTGGAGGTAATTTTGGTAACATCAGGATATCACAAAGTTTGTGCCAAATGGATATCATAGATAATTACACAGGAACAATAAGACTATTGAATGCAAATTTGTCAAAACCTGTTGAACCAATACAAGGCTCAAAGGGACAGTTTCCTAGACCACATCATCACAAGTGATGATATATTGTCACCACTACCAACCAGAGAGCACATAACAGTCTGTAGAGTAATGACAAACAAATTTTTCAGCTAAGGAAAAGTTCAAGACTCAGCTGTCAGCAGACAAAGTAATATACAGTCTCTTTTGGAAAAAGAAAGACATGATCCATCTGGATTTCTTGATATGTGGGCAAATGATCAACTCTGACTGATACATTTCAATGCTGACCAAGCTAAAATCTTGAATTTACAGTCAGGAAAAAGAAGAAAATAGCATTTTGCTTGCAACATGATAATTCTAGGCTCTATATCAGTTTGAAGACCACAAGGAATATTGTAAAGTTTGGCTGAACTCTTACCACATATACCATATAATCCAGATTTGATGTGTTTGGATTTCTATTTGTTCAGGCAGATGAAAGATAGACTACATGTGTAACATTTTCCTAACAATTACTTTTATCATCACAGCTGTAAAAAAGTAGGTCACCTCAGCTGATGTAGATTTTTACAAACACAATTTACTGGTTCTTGTTCATTGCTGGCAAAGATGTATAGCCAATGGTGGCACTGGACCATGTGGAAAAATAGTGCTAAAGACTTCCTCTATCAAACAATGTTATTGTGTTCTCTGCATCTGAACTTTGTAACTTTTGTGGAAATAAAATGCATCACTGTAATTTTGTATGGATAACATGAAATTGCAGTAATGCCTTTTAAAATTATTTTTCAAAAACATACATTTGAAAAATAATTTTAAAGAAAGTGCTGTAAAATAAGAATTACTCTTACTTAACCAAAAGAGGCATTGTCGTCATATTTTTCTTTCCTCGTTACTATATTCTAGCATTCCGTACGTTTCTATATTCAACAGTTGACTCAACGGTGAGAGAACAACGTTTCTAAATGGACCGTTGAGTTCTCCGTTGAGACTAGTGACGTCAGCGCTGTTTCACCGTTGAGCTCAACGGTTTCAACGACCTGAAAGACCGTTGAGTAGTCAACAAACTAACATGGCGGCTTCCACGAAAAAGTAAATTTCGCTTATAGAAACTATCCATTCGCTGCTGTGGATGCTGTAATAGCGNGGAGCTATTGATAATTAACATATTGATTCAAAAAAGATAATTCACTACTAATCACACTGGATTTACTAAAAAATTACATACCAGAACCATTTACGGTGTGATCATGTAAAAAGATCGATAAACAAACGTTTTCGAACCCCATCTGGGCTCTGCTTCAGATTCCAAACAGTTTCTAGATAGATGTTTGATATCCGTTAAAAATCCATTCAGTCAACATGTCGTTTAAAGTTTGAGTTCGAATCGTAAGTTTGAATGAATTTATACAAATCAAGTTGTGCATGTGTCACCAGTTCGCCTGTTTATGTATGACGGGTGAATTAGAGCGTGTTGTGAATTAACTCTTGCCAGGCCAACGACAACAGCATCTCCTCTTTAAAATTTATGCACGTCTTGGTGGTGGAGGATTTAAATATGTGCATAGCCTTAAACATTTGAGGTGTTCAATGGAAGGCAAATCATGGAGGAGATTGGCCTGGGAGAAGTTCGCTACTATATGAGGATTGGTTACATACATAGCAAGGGCCATGGAAGTTCTTTTGTGCTGAATATCAGCTAGATGCTCTTGTATTCTGACGCCCAAAAATCGTTTAGTGGAGCCTGTATCAGGTTCTTATCGCACCTGTCTTCCTTCAAAGGGATACTATAGATTCCAGGGCATCTGGTGGGGTTAGGAGGTTAGTGTTCTTTCCATTACATAAGATGTTGAAAATAGTAGGACACCTCCTAAAAATGAGATGTAGCTGACGTTTGCTGGCAACCTTAGAGTATAGAGATTTTAAGTACGGATTGTATGTGATGGCAATTCGTTCTATGTCCTCTGGATGGCAGTCCTCAAATTGTTCCGATTCCCATGCGTTTTCTGAATATATACGTTGTTGATGTTGTATTAGCTTATGTATATGCTTGTGATACCCGTGTTGGGCGGCTAAGCGGAGTATGTATGCTAGTTCCGTATCCCGAGCCTGGATGTTAGACGAATGCGTAAAGGCTCTTCTGATTAATGCTCTAAAGGCTGCAGTCTTAAATGGATAGTGTAGAGGGCTGGCTAAATGACCAAGGCAGTTAAAGCAACATCCTACTACCATTCTGGAATCCAAGATTGAATCCAGGAAGTCAAAAAATCCCTGAAATTTTTCAGTTATGATCTGTCCTAGATATGTCAGGCTCCATCTGATCACCAACCAGAGATCCTATTGCAAATTTG